GACCTTGCAAAGCCAATTGCTCCTGCCATGTACCCAAGAAAACTGATTAACTGTCTGTCCTCATTTCCTTAAAGCTTAATTCTTGTCTTGTCATGTGAGTAATATGACATATTTAGACTATTAACATAGATATATAGGAAAAGAGCATGCTTTGATCAGTATCCAAAACATCTGATTGAAATAAGTACAAAATACAATCATGCATGTATTTTATTTTTTATTTCTCGTTAAATATTTTCTCTTTTCCTTTATTGTTTGAGGTTTGCATGTTTGTCAAATATATTTAATGTTATGGGGATTTGCACACCATACTGCATGAAAGCAACCAAAAACAAAACACATATATCCTTTACATTTAATGTAAAAAAAAAAAAGTTTATGTAAAAATGTGATTTTCTAAATATAAATCAAACAAAAATAAAAAGAGTTGTAGAAAAGCTAAGACCTGATAAATAACAAATATGTCATAAGTTTAAGCTTTAGCCACCAAATACATTTAACCCAGCTTAAATTAACACCATGTCAAATGTTAGACATGTTGGCCTACTCTTTTTGCATTTGAAGGAAACATTTAGTCTGTCTCTAATAATAAACAGTATGCTCATCTTATTAGTTATGTCGGAAACAAGCAGGTTTGTCAGGTCTTTCAGCTGTGATACCATACACAGCTAAAGAAACTGTCAGAACAACAGATCTTTATCCTAAAATAAAAATATATTTCAGTTCCAAACTGAAAACACTGAAGCAGCTAGGAGCTAATGCATAATCAAAATCTATTTTAATTATTTTGCGTAGGTATTGATAATGCTGGTAACATTACAGATTAAATCTAATTGTAAGGGGATTACTTGGGACATTACCGTGCCAGTATAGTTAATTATATATATTAACTTGACTAGCCTATTGTTTCTTTAAAAATTTAATAGTATATATATATATATATATATAATGCTAGATTTTAAGCATGAAAAGAAACAAAAGGCTAGTCAAGACCGGCAGTGAGAGGGAGAGGAGAAACTGTTACTGACTGAAACAATCGTTTGAAACTCCACTGCCATCGGACCAACCGATGCAAACGATGGCTGCATACGGAATTTAAACCCCTCTGTTACAGGAATGTATAAGTGACGGTTTTACTGTTGTTTTCTTTTTTCTCTTTGAATAAGTTTCTTTGGAACCATCTACATTGAAATATTTAATTCTCATAGACATTACTATAAACACATCTGCACATAATTGCGATTAATAGTCGGTATTCTCATTTTTATCGCGCAAGGAGTTATGGGTAAATGCAGACCAAAACACATGTGACGTGTGACGTAAGCGCAGCAAAGCTACGATAAATTAATACCTATAAACATATAAAAACAAAAAAATATATATTTATAACTACCTTTATTGAATTAAAAAAGAAAAAAAACGCAATTTTAATCTAACCCATTTATTGAAAAAAGCAACATTTCTCCAGCATTCTATAACGCAGTACCATTGAGCGGCACATGATGGTGCTAAAACCCCGTGCTACAGAAATTGATAGACCAAAACAGTATGTCTATAAGGTTAAATTATTGGGACGTGCTGTTCTGTGGCATGCTTGACTGCTGAAAATAAATCCTGTCTATTTATAAGAAGTTCACAAATATACTGCAGTACTATACTATACTATACTATACTATACTATACTATACTATACTGTTTGTATATAAAAAACAAACAAACAAAAAAAAAACCTTTAAAATAGTGGGGCCTCAATTTACGGGAAAGTATACATTATTTTAATACTGCATTAGTTCATTTAAGCAAAGGAGTCTGTTTCTGTTATAGCTGTTAAATGTTTTTGTTTTCTTTTTTTGTTTGTTTTTTTTTTTTTTTTGGCCAAGCAAGGGTCTTGATCTCTAGGAATGTGAAATTAAATAGTAAAATGCCTGTACTTATATAGCATGTTTTCAAGTCAAAGGACTTGAACAAAATCCTTCACACTAAATCAGTCATTGAAGCATTCACGCACACACTTATACACGGTTGGTGGCAAGCTACATTGTAGCTACAGCTGCCCTGGGGCTCACTAACAGAACAATTTATTTTTATAAATAGTTAAAAAAAAATCTAACAGCTGTAAAAATATATTTATATTTGCATAGCTGCAAATAATTATTTGAACACATGAGAAAATCATTGTTAATATTTGGTACAGTTGCCTTTGTATGCGATTATGGGTCAATCGTTTCTTGAAGTTTTTCCCCAGGTTTGCACACACTGCAGGAGGGATTTTGGCCCACTCCTCCACACAGATCTTATTTCTTGCTTTTATTGTCATTACACTGTCACAAGTACAGAGCATCTAACTCGTCCCCTTGGGGAGCAGTGGGCTGCTATTGTGCAGTGCCTACGGAGCAGAGTGGGGGTTAAGGGTCTTTGCTCAGTGAGCCAGAGAGGCAGTCTGTGGGAGTTGGGCTTGAACTTGAACCTCTGGATTCCAAGCTCTATGCCCTAACCACCAAGCCGCCACTCCCCATTTTCTCTAGATGAGTCAGGTTTCTGAGCTGTCACTGAGAAACACAGTTTGAGCTTCCTCCAAAGATTCTCTATTGGGTCTAGGTCTGGAGACTGGCTAGGCCAAGCCAGAACCTTCATATGCTTCCAGAGATGGCAAAAGTACTCACTTTCTGTACTTGAGTAAAAGTACAGATACTTGTGTTAAAAAATACTCTGGTAAAAGTGGAAGTACTGATTAAACTTTTTACTCAAGTAAAAGTAACAAAGTACAGGCTTGTAAATTTACTTAAAGTATAAAAGTAAAAGTAGAAACCACTTTTTTCATGCCGTTGCCTACATTTTAAATGGATGTCTGCCAATAGGACTAGAACTACGTTGTGTTCATTTTTTAATCATCTCGTCGTCCATACTACTATGCTAACGCCACCGCCACCAAGCTGCAATGATTTGCCGCCAATGAATACCGCCGAATCTGTCGATTCATCTTGTAGTGGTGCGTCAAATGCAACATAGATTCCCATCCAATTAGATTGAATTTGGTATTGATGACGTGAAAAATAATAACGGTAACTCCAATGAAATGATTCAAAACTAAAGTAACGAGCCAATTTTTTAAAATGTAAGGAGTAGAAAGTACAGATATTTGTGTAAAAATGTAAGGAGTAGAAGTAAAAAGTCGCCGTAAAAATAAGTAGTAAAGTAAAGTAAAAATATCAGAAAAATCTACTTGAGTACAGTAACGAAGTATTTGTACTTCGTTACTTCCCATCTCTGTATGCTTCTTCCAGAGCCACTCCTTGGTTATCCTGGCTGTCTGCTTTGGGTCATCTTCATTTTGAAAGACCCAGCCTCCCCCAAAATCTTGCCCCCTTTCATCCTCTCCTTAATACAGCGCAGTTGCCCATGTGCAGAAAAACACCCCCATAGCATGATTCTACCACCCCCATGCTTCGCAGTAGGGATGGTGTTCTTGGGATGGTACTCATCATTCTTCTACTCCAAACATGGTTATTGGAATTATGACCCAAAAGTTCTATTTTGGTGTCATGGCTTTCTCCCATGATTCCTCTGGATCATTGGCAAACTTAAGATGGGTCTTGACATGTGTTGGTTTAAGCAGGGGAACCTTCCGTGCCTTGCATGATTTCAAACCATGGCGTCCTAATGCATTACCAACAGTAACCATGGAAACGGTGGTCTCAACTCTTTTCAGGTCATTGACCAGATCCTCCCATGTAGTTCTGGGCTGATTTCTTACCTTTCTTAGGATCTGTGAGACCCCATGAGGTGAGATTTTGCATGGAGCCCCAGTCCATGGAGATTGACAGTCATGTTTAGCTTCTTCCATTTTATAATAATTGATTCTAAAGTGGACCTTTTTTCATCAAGCTGCTTGGTAATTTCCCTGTAGTTCTTTCCAGCCTTATGGAGATGTACAATTTTGTCTGTAGTGTATCTGGACAGCTCTTTGGTCTTGGCCATGTTAGTAGTTGGATCCTGTATGGGGTGGATATGTTTCTTTACGCAGCTAACGATCTCAAACAGGGGCATATAATTCAGAATAATAAATGAAGTGGAGGACAACTTGAAGGCAGACTAACAGGTCTTTGAGGGTAAGAACTCTAGACGATAGACAGGTGTTCAAATACTTATTTGCAGCTGTATCATACACATAAATGATAAAAAAAAAAATAAAAAAAAATGTCTGACAGTGGACATGCACCTATGATGACAATTTCAGACCCCTTTATGATTTCTAAGAGGGAGAACTTGCAAAATAGCAGGGTGTTCAAATCCTGAATTTTTCCAAACTTGTAATTCTCTCTGACAGGAGTCGGAGATAATTAAAAGTTTGGAAAAATTCAGGATTTAAAAGAGAGTTCCCATAAGGGTAGGGCTGGATATACTGTCAGCCATGGAAAATTGCTCTGACTGAAAAGAGACTGAAAGTGCTTTTTGACAATTGAATGAATCTCTTGAGTTTAGAACTAAATACTAAGCAATTAATAAAAATAAATCTATAATGAAAATAAGACCAAAAAAAAAAAAGAAAAAAGATTGATGTGAATAAAAACATACTATATATCATAATTTGTTCCTTTTCTTACCCTTGAATATTGTTTAATGCAGGCATTCCCAAACTCTGTCCTCAAGGCCCCCTGTCCTGCAGGTTTTAGAAGTTTCTCTGCTTCAGCACAGCTGGTTATAATGATTGCAGTAGACCAAAAGCCTGTTAATCAACGTTCAATTAAAATCAGCTGTGCTGGAGCAAGGAAACTTCTAAAACCTGCAGGCCAGGGGGCCTTGAGGACCGAGTTTGAGGATGCCTGGTTTAATGTATATCTAATTTTATCTCGTCATAACCGATGTTTAGGTTGTATTATTTAAATATTTGACATTTTCAATTATATTTCATTTTTATGACATAGGCATGATGACTCTTGAAACAAGTCACAGAATGTGTCTGCATAAAATAAACAGTAAAAATACTAAATGCACCAAGATGAAGATATACCATTTATTATTCATATGAAAATACAAAATTAAGATGCATTGATAATGATAAATATTAACATACAAACATGTATATGTATATAAAAATATATTGATAACATGAACCAAATTGTGGAAGCAGCTTGATTATAGGCAGCAAATAACCATATCCTGGTTTCATCAGGTTAAAACTATTTTTATACCTCTGATGGCTTTGTTCTTTAAAAGAAGCAAAGAAATCATATATACAGTTGGATATACACTTTGGTCAACACAACATTAATCAACGCAAAGCTGGGTGATATTATAGCTATCTACATATAGATATATTATAAAGCTGCATTTATAACTTTAGGACAGTCATTTAAACCATTTTATTAGGGTAATAAATGCAATGCAAAAAAAAAAAATGTTTATGAAGGCAGCAAAATAATAAGTGGGATTCTATTACTAGCTAAGAATGTACCATAGATTTGTCTGCTACGCATCTTAAAAACAACATAATCCTTGGCACAGATTTGAAAACTTACTTTATAAATATTGCATACATATAAAAGAAAAAAAAAATACAGCCACATAAACACCAAAATTAAACCTTATGTGTTGAAGGTGACTGTATTTCAAATAAAACCATGTGCCACTTGTGGCTTTGTGACTTGTTTTACAAAAACAGATGAATATCCTTGTGTTTTATGTTTTTCTTATTTATTTACTCTTTGCATCAGAGGCTGTGATGATTCTCTAGTAAAACCCAGGATAACGATCACAATCCTTATGGTTTTCTGTTTGTATTATTTAATGATGCCCACGATCGATAGATTTTCAAAGAGCACATATCAGAAACCTCTTTATATCTCATGTGGATAATGCAATAAGAATATCCATGCAGGTATGGATACTGCAAAGTTCAGACCCCAGTATCCCACAGGAATAATTTTGATACTTTAAACCATTACAAAATTGAATTATTTAAGTTGTGTAATGTCTATTTACCCTGGAATAAAATTTAAAGTATAACATAAGTTTTCACTGAGCACTGACAAATGAATCCCCTAGTTACAATATTGATAGGAACAATATAATATACAGCTTAAGGTTAGAGCTTCGTTATCCCCAGGCTTTTAGCTAGGAATACTTCATAGGATCTAAACCTTGGTGTATCACATCTTTAGGCTTTGCACAGGGTGTAGGGAACATCATTTAATTTTCAGACTCTCTGAAATGCTATTCCCTGCATTTTGAGGCGGAGCAAACTTTTTGTCTTTGTTACAACAATACTTTTGTCCTGATTTTGGGAAGTATGTGTGCTTGACTAGAGGTGGAAATTTCATAATGAAGATGTGAGAAAATTTTTAGATACAATATTATGTTTCATAGGTTAGTTCAAGCAATCATAAAGAGTAATGCTGCGTTCACACCATGATTTTAGCAGCAAAAGTGCCCACTGCTTAATTTTTAAAGCTTTCATACAGGTCAGGAGCATCTTTGATGCTCCGGAAGCATATCCAGTGAAGTGTGTCCAGAAGCATCTGATGCTTGTGCTGCTCCCGTGTTCAGAGGCAGAGAGTGGCTTTGTTACATTTGTTGTGATAAATGGGTAAAAAGTAGTTTTAATATGTTTTTAAGTGAGAAAGTTAACCTTAAAACATTGTCTATGCAGTCAGTTCATCAAGATTACAGTCTGTCTTAAAATATTATTTCGCCGTTGGAGGTGAACTGTCACTGGGAATCCCCAGCAGGCGGTTTTCCGCTACTGTTCATGGCAGCTGGAAGTAGATGTTAGCATTTTTCAGGTATGTGGTACAAACTGAAAGCACCAGAACAATAAAAAAAATCTCTCAAATCAATATATACTGTACAGCTGTACACATTGCTAGCTAAAAGCCTGGTCATCCCCACGGATTCTACTTTCTTATCAAAAATAAAATGTTGCTGTATTCTCATCTAAACCTGGAGAAGAAATTATTTGATATCTAGGCTAAATTAATAGGTAAGTTAAGATCAACCCTAAGGGGGAGCTGTGAAGAGCAGTACCTGTAAGAGTGACTTGTAGTTTTTTAAAGAGCAAATTACAATTTGTATAATATTGTAATATTAATCCTGCTTTTGTCCACAGTCGGCATGAGCGATGATTTTTCCTTAATTCTCTAGAAAGAAAATCCCAAAAGAGAGATATCCAGAAGACAAAAGAAAAGCCTCCTCCTGTCGCTACACCATGAACTGAGTGTATCCTTCAGCCCCCGTGACGATCACATCCATCCAGATCCTCATGGCCTCAGGAGAGGGAGCCACCATGTAGTACACTCTATCATGCGTTTTTACGCTGAAGGTGAGGGAGGGGTTTGGGCTCTGAAATGAAATGTTTAAAATGAGAAGAAGATATGGAAAAAAAAAAACATAAACAAAGATAATATAGCAAAGACCTTCATATAAACACTTACCTTGTGCGCACTCTTCAAATGATCATAATATACTTCTTCAATAGCTTGAAAGTAAATCACTCCTTTGAGCTTAGCCTCGTGTTTATCTGTAGAGAAATATAAAACCATACAGGGTTAAAAAGCTGTGTTCACTTTCTGTTTTACAACTAATTTCCACATTCTGATAACATTTCCTTACATTACATTACAGTGTTAAAGTCACACAACACGTCTGCATGAGTGTGCTTTCTATAACCACCTGCATAGTAGGACAGCGTGCGGCGGTTGCGGTCGAACACAAACCAACGTTTCTTCCAGGTTTTGATCTTTCCGCCCATCTTGATCAGGTAGCCTCGGCAAGTTTTTTCCGAGATGGATAAATGGAAGCAGGTTTCGGTGTTGTGGCCCGCTGACTCAATGTGAGCCCGCAGGTCAAAGTCGTCCTTTCTTATTGGGAGGTAGCGAGTCAGTGGCCGCGACTGGAGAAGGAGAGAACAGGTCGATCAGGGACTGAACTGGTTGACTTTGATCTCTATGATTCACATACAATGTTCAGATGTAGCTCATGTGTGGAAACATGAAAATGTATGAGGCCAGAGGAAAAGAACGAAGACGACAGACGGATCTATGAGATCTGACAGGAAGGAGTTGACTAAAACCAAACAAAAACAATGTTCTATAGAAAAATTGTTGTTTAACAGAATCCTGTGTAGCTCAGATCTAATGAGAATCAAAGAGTGAAAATAAAATGTTAATGATAAAGTTACTGTTACGTTAAACACATCAGGAAGCCATACTGAAAGTTGAACCCTGGCTTAAGATTAAATGTGATCCTGAAATGTGTGTTACAGAACTATGTAAGTTTTTTTGTTTTTTCCTAAACTACAATGCAATTGTAAACAGAAAGTTTTTGGGGATGTTAACTGGAACTTTCTTTCCATTAGAAAGCATGAGTGTGGAAATGCAAACACTGTACATACATGATCACCCTAACTAGCTGTGTTCAGCACATCAGGACTACAAATATTACCATGTCCGAGTAACATCTTAGACAGAACAGATCCATGGGCTTCATTTGTAAGCAGCTTTAAATATGACCTATAGAACAATGTTTACAAAAGACCCCAAACTGGGACTGGAGTAAAGGACTATTTCAGAGTTTTATAGAGTCTGGATTATCTCTGATTAATGAATTAATTCTTTGTCGGGTTAAACTTTGACTGAATAATTTATAACTAGATAGATAAAACTAACTCTGTTATAAAAAAATACAAATGTCTGCTCAGTTTGTAGCAATCCATTTTAGCTTTACAAACCAAACACACTTCAGCTTATATGCTTGATGCAATGTGATGTTTCAATATGATTGTTTACGTTAACAACACGAAGAGAAATCACTTTTTTGTTGTTATTGTTTAAGCTAATAAAATAAACCTTCAAATAAGCTAACTGTGTTTTTTAGTATTTTAGATTATGCTGATCAAAGCAGTTTCCACATTTTTGTTTCACAGATTCATTTTTTTCTTTATGTTCTGTGAGAACTTAGATTAGGTTTTAGAGGACAACAAAAGATGTAATACTTGGAAGACTAGTTTTGTTCAATATTATATTGATTTCTATTGTTTCGACCATTAATCTAATAATAATCAATCAAATGTAAAAATAATCACTAGCTGGGATTCTAATATGGGGCAATTTGTTTCCAAAACTTTAGGTAGATGAAGGTTTTTATCCTTCCACTGGTTCTTCACCTGTGCCCTTTGTTTTTCTCTCATTTTCACTTCACGATCAATGAGTTTCTGACGTCTGCTCGTCTCCTCCTGTAGCCTCTTCTCCAGGTCCTCTCTCCTTCTCCTCTCCTCCTCCAGGGCCTGTTTGCGCATTTCCATTTCTCGTTCCTAAGAGGCCATGAAAAAAGTCAAATCATGAATGGGGAAAAAAGCAAAAAACAAGTAGTGTTCGTTTCATAATTTTAGCTTATTGTATAAAAAAGAAAACCAGCAGTGAGAGAAATGAAGAGACATTAATGACGTCATTTCTACCTTGTGTTCTAGGAGGCGGTTCTTTTCGGCTTGAGCTTCCCTCAGAAGGCGCTCCATCTCCTCCAGCCTCGCCACATTTGAAGTACTGGCACTGAACAAGTAAAAAAGAAAAATGTATTTAAGCTAAAAGCATCAGAAGAAATTCACTATCTTATTAATAGAAAAAATACAATAACAGAACTAAATAAGGATTAATAAATAGTGAAACTAAAATCTGATGACTCTTCAAAAGAATCCTGATTCGTCATCTCTCCAGAAAGCTTGATTCTCTTGAGAACAGCTCTGATTATTCACTGTTTATGCTTGCAATTATAGCTCCACAACAGGATGTCAAGGAATTTAGGCCAGAACCACTATTCAGTCTCGCTCTCTCTGAAGAGATCACAAGGCATAGTTTATCCTCCATCTTTTAAACCGCAGATGGTCGGCACATGACAGGCATTCTTGAGGGACTTAAAGGCATTTCTGTCTGACTGAATTTCTATGGCTTTGATTGTCCCTTGCTTCGTTCAGTTCTGTTTTTCTCTAGCAAACATACAACAAGCGGCGTCTCCATCCCTTATTGGGTAAATTCCATAGATATTAAGACCTCCACTGATTTCTAGGACTTAATGCAAATCCTAAACCTAATAATTCACCAGAATCTTAGCCTAACAAGCTGTACTATTCATCTCTAAAAGCTAAAGGAATCAGCTAAAGGGGGATAAGAGGGTGGTGCCCTCATTAAAAAAGACAAAATAACTTGATCTGTTTACTCATAAAATGTGTCTGCCTTTATATTCTATTTTTTTGTATATTTATCTAGGAATACAAAAATCCACTCTCTATCAAACCTTTTTCCATATCTGAACCAATCAGCAGTTTTTCTGTCATTCTTCATCCAATCAGATTAAACTATTGTACGCGCCACTCTTAACGTCACTCTTTGCAGTTTGGATGCAAAGCTTAGAGGCTCAGAACTTACAACCCCCCGCACACATTTTTGTTTCAATAGGAGCCAGAATGAAATGGATACTGGATGTTGATGTGTGATGATGTCATAACATATCTGAAAGGAATGGTACGCATTAGACTTCAGTATACACAAACCACAGAGATGTGGGAGAGAAAAGTAGGAACAGAACTGAGTGGGAGGCAGAAAAAAAATGTAAGCATGCAGCCCGTCTTTCTGATCACATTGGACTTCTATTGAAAATAAAACAGTTGTTTTTTTTCCTATATTAAAATATTCATTAATGATTAAAGTTTTTCTCACCGAATGATGTTTTTGGTCTTATGTCATTTTCTAAAATTTATTTTATAAGCAAATATTTGAAAACGAATTGTCATAAGCTTGTACAGGATTCTTTTTGGGGCATTTTTGGTAGAAATTCTGAAGATTTCATTTGTTAAAATCAATATTAAAACTATATCACATCAACCAAAATGAAGAAATATATTGTAAAGCTTTGGCTGCATCGTTCAGCCATGTGTCAACATAAGTCTCAAGATGTATATTACAACTGTAGTTCAGTAAAGTGAAATGTTAGCAGATATTTCACTTTTTTCTCTCCCTTTTATTTTCCTTTGCTCTTTTTTTGCATAATAGTTTTAGATATAACATTTAATTACTTTGTTAAACAAGTTTTATACTGATACAAAGAAGCAGAGAACCTCTATCAACACTTATTACAGGTGTCTCGGATGTTTGGGTTAGCCATTTATATTGGAGGAGTTTAGACTATGTTTTAATGTTTAATTCTGAGCCAAAGAGAATGAGTTATTCCTCTTTATATCTCATGGTGTTTTTATTTGCAGTAAAGCAGCATTTATTTCTTAAAAACAATGTCCTTTCAGGAATCTTACCTGAATCGGTGGGAGGGAAATGTACTCATGGTCATCATTTATAAGACCAGACGGAATCAAAAACAAGACAAAAAACATTTCCCCGAATCCCAAAGCAAGTGTGTCATCCAGTACTGGTTCGTTTTCCGCAGCATACCTCAAAGTTCACTTTACACACGTAGATTCCAGTCCACTAAGAGCAGGAAGATTCCAACTTAGCAGAAATGAAAACAGAGTTCTACTCAAACAGCAGTCTAGTTTAAAAACTGCCTGAAAAACGACTGCAGAGCTTAGAGAAACAAGACAAAGGAACACATACAAGTGTTGTAAATCAGGGCAAAAGAGAGAGCAAGCCCACTCCAGATGGAAGGGAGGCAGCCCCCTCCCCATCCAAACAAATGCATTTGATTCAGTTGCTCTCAACCTGAGGGGGTTGACCGTTGACGAACACATGCAGACACACACACACCTTCATGTTTTCCGTTTTTCGTAACATGATCCTCAGGCCACTAATCAAGAGTCCCCCCTTAACTTATATAACACACACAGAGCAGATCCCACTCTCCAAGGGGGGAACATGAAAGGCGGGAAAACCTCTTGGCAGGCTTTTTACATTAACTCACTTTCTAGTGTTTCTAAGATTCAGCAAAACCCAAATCTCCCGCTTAATTTTTCCATCTTGAAAGGTTTGCATTTTTTCCTCTCAAGTTGTCTAACTTGAGTTCTTTTAAAAGTAGAATAGATATAACATTCAAAATAGAACCACTTGTTATTTTTGCTTTCTGCTTCCTTTTCAGAGCCAGTGGCTGGTGCTTGATTAGCCATGCCCACTCATCCACCATTCGGATGCACACTGAAACTATTATTCAATCTATTAATGCACTTAAAGCTACAGTGTGTAATTTTTAGCGACATCTAGCGGTCAGACTGCAGACTGCAGCAACATGAACATCTCCCCCCCGCTTCTCCCCCCAACAGTACGGCGAGCGTTACGGGACAAAATGTCTTCCACGACGTCAGCATCACCTACCTTCTCAAGTGATGAGGTTTGTTTACATAGATAATTTTAATACTGCCATCTACTGTTCAGTACCGTCTCAGTTCATCTCTCTCAACTTGCCGTAGTTACTTTCGAGCGTAATGAGCGATCTCGCAATCGCTAGTTTGTTGGCTCTGCGCTGCCGTAGCGCAAAGATGTCTGCCTCCGTGGCTGCGAGACCCGCTCCTATGTAATTATAAATAACGAATTCTAAGGCAACGCAAATATTAAGGTTAAGAGGCTGAGCTCGTAGATGATGATAAATAACATAGTTATGTATAATATATTACATTTCTGACTGTATATCCCTGTAATTATTACACACTGTAGCTTTAAGCTAAACACTGTAATTTTAATTGAGGAAAGAAGTCAGTTACCTATACTACTGGGTATAGACATTTAGTTAAGCTAACTGCATTTAGCACGGTAACTGTGTTTAAAGCTCTAAAGTAACTACAGATTAATTAGAAGTCCTTGTTTTGCAGGTTGGAGCTTTAGAAAATCTTATATAAGATTGTTCAGAAAAATCTCCAATTTTATCGTGATATCCAATCAAATTTATCTTTGCAGATCCAACAATGACACTAGAATGAACCTACCTGGAGACATTGTCAGGTGAGCAAGCTGAGATGCTGGTTTCAATGGAGTCACTACTATCTACGCTAAGCGTGTCAAAGGCCTGGTTTTCACGGTATCCAAAGGCGTCGAGGTAGACATTAGTCTGGGATGCGGCTCGCGAGCCGGACTGGCCTGAAACACACAAACAACAACAGAAAAAGCCTGAGTCGCTGCTAAATATATACTTACTTTCCCTCTTTTGTGAACGGTATACCTGTCTCACACGTTCCATCTGGGCTAGTTTGGCCAGATGGTTTTAATTGTGGATCACAATGCCCTGCCACGGTGGCACGTTCAAAAATCACCCCCGGGAGAAAAATAAAACAAAATCCCACTTGAAATGGAATGATTATTTGAAACTAAAATGCTCCAATGCAGGTTAGAAATTAAATTAAACAAACAGCAATAAAAAAAGTAATAGAAATAGCCTTTCCAAATATGTCAGGAATATTTCCTTGTAAGTGGACGCAAAGACTTTGAAGAGAGACTAACTCAGGCTTTGGGGAAAGGAAGAGGCTCACTTAAACAAAATCTGATAGCATCAGACCCACCCAGCAGATGAGCCTGATCAAGGGACCAAGGGGAAAGAGGAAGCAGATACACGGGCCCCTTCTCAGCAAAAAAAGGGCAGTCTAATGATACCAAAGTGGACAGTGGACAAAAATGTAGAACTAGGACAAACTACAAAAGAAAACAAGAAAACTTGGACAACGTCCAAGCATAAGGTGAGTTGGATTAAAAAACAAAAAAAAAACATAGCTATTTTACTTTGATTTCTCCAAGGGTTATCAGCTGTAAACAACTGTCAATAACAGATGCATTGAAAGAAATTAGACGTCTATGCCAATAAGTTAAATTTAAATGTTATTTTATTTAAATTGAAACTTTGTATTTCTGAATGGAAACCATTAATTTCACTTAAAGCTGAAGTCTGTAAGTTTTTAAAAATAATTTTTTTGTCATATTGGCTAAAACTGTCCCTATGCCCAGACAGCAGTACATGTGATATGTAACCTGAGAAAAAAACAGCTTCAATTGGTACCGCCTACTGCCTGTATTTCAATCTGGAAAGAATAATTCAGGACGAGTCAAAACAACCAATCACAGCCAGAGGAGCGTCTGATGGAGTGTCAATCACAGCTCAGACACGCTGAATCACCCCCCCCCCCCCCCCCCCCCCCTTGGAGGGCTTGGAGGTGGGGCATGAGTGAAGCAGAGAGGGTGGGGGAGTGGCGTGAAACCTGTTTTTCTTCAAATTTTCAGTCTAAGTCTGCTCTCTTCTCAATGTTACAGACTGCAGCTTTAACCTAAAGTCAAACATTCCTTACCATGAAAAAAAAAAATCATAATAAAAAATCTTGCCAAGTAAAAATCTAATTCAAGCAAAAGATTATACTGTCAAATCACAATTGTGATTGTGACCTCAATAGATGAATTTTTCACAATGGTTTTAGCAAGTGCTGCAACAGCACATACATGGCTGCTGTGACGATGAATGAGGTGTTTTAGATGTTTCAGAAAGGAAAATTGGCAGTGCAATGTCTCAGATATCAAATGTAGATAATTTGACAACTCGATGATGTTTCAGGTTCTTGGGGCTGTTAAAAAAAATCTATAATAGGGTCAAATCTATCCTGCTGATTGATTCGTCTGTAAAAACCAAAGATTCAGCTCTTTAGATATCATGAGCGATAAATCCTGCATCTATGTTCAATAAATTGAATTGGATCAAATCAAATATCAGGTTTAAGAAAAGCATTACACAATTAGCCTTTGGAATACATACCCTTAGAGTGTATAGTATGGAACAAAATATGTAGGGTATTGATTGTACATGCTCCAAAATACATTTCAAACAACATTTGTGATCAAAGGGTGAAAACCCCCTCCCTTTTTTTTTTTTTTTTACTTAATCAGCCAATGTAGTTTCTGGTGGTACCTTTTTGTAGCCGTCGAGATTCAGTCTCCTTATTGGACAGAGAGAGAATTCTGGGAAGGATGCTGCCACAACTTGTGCTTTGAACCAGAGGCTGATGGGACTATGTAGGAAGAGAAACAAAAGTCATCATAAGAGAGAATAAAACAACTGGAGGGGCAACTTTGGATATTAATACAGACAGTATAGACATGTTGAAGGCTTGAGCAGTCTGTTCATGCATGGGCACCTTTGTTGCATAGCTGCGCCCCAGCGTTGCACATGAAAACTGGGTATTCAGAGTGGGAATGTTTTTCTTCCTGGGCAGAGTGTCACTCATATGTGAACTGCTTTCTTTCTCAGAGCGTGTTCTCTCTTCCAGCAAACGGAGATGCTAATCATACAGACAGGTAGCAAAAGCACACAGATGATTCATTATACGTATTCTTGTTTAATCCTTAAGGAGCATGTTACATTGTAATGATGTAACATATAGATATATCTCTGCTGCCATCTGGTGGTTGTGAATCCAGTTGTCAGGATACATGGCACTATTGTTTTTGTTGTTTATGTAAACAGTATTTTTATGAACTGGAATATGAGATAACAATAAAGATAACAAAATACATAAGAATATGACATTGAATACAGTCATGGCCAAACATTTTGAAACAGGCTGAATATATTAATTCTACAAATTAAAGGGTTTCACTCCAATAATAATCTTATGCAATATCTCAGTAGCTGCCCTACGATGGACTGGTGACCTGTCCAGGGTGAACCCGCCTCTCACCCGTAGACAGCTGGAGATAGGCACCAACGCCCCTTACTACCGTGCTTGGGATAAAAGAGACGGAAAATGGATGGATGGAATATCTCAGTGGCTATGTTTACATGGACCAAATGCCCGGGATCCGATCCAATGGTTGATCGGAAATGTAAAATCTCTGTTAAATGAACACTAAATAAAATGATCCTATCGTAACCTGTGTATACATGTACCAAGCATTTAATCAGATTGAATCATTTAAGCATGTGCTGAACTGTCTAGTTTTCTGTAAAAACGGTGGGAAAATGTCACGCTCACGTTCCACAAATGCCATGTGGAGATTATTTAACTCCAAAGATCCAAATGGGTGCTTACATGGCAGAAACCTTCTCTCTATTTAGGAATGAACTCTCTTTTGTGCCAAACTGGATTAGAATCTTCAGTCTGACAGGTTTACATGAACAATTTTTGATCTGATCAGGCTTTCAATCAGATTATTTGTGTCCATGTAAAAGTAGGTATTGAGGACAAGGCAACCGACCTCATTAATAAGGAATCAGAAAGTAAAATAGTTGTTTTAACATGAATTGGGACAGGAATCCAGTCTTTAGTCAGCCATAGTTATGTAGGCTAGTTGTCAGATAGCAACGAAAAATCAATCATTTCTGAAATCATCAAAATGTCTAAGCTGCTAAGATTAAAACTTCAGAGATCAAGAAAGTTAATCTATAATCAGGAATAAACTATGGAGGTGGTTTTTCACCAGTACAGAGCTTGCTAAGTGGTTGCAAAGACAGGTGTGACTGATTCTGGATAAGACGCATAATTTTCTCTAACAAGATCCTATTAGATTGTTTGGAACATGGCGAAGCAACCTTTGCTCGCTCCTATATCCCATCGCCTCTTATCAAAGCCAACGGGATTCATGACAACAGAGCGTTAATGGTAAAGAGGTCTTTTACGACACAGTAGATATGTTCAAGGTTTAGCTTCAGGAAAAAGGAGGATTGGCCTCGAGGTGCTTAAAAACATCAGCACCCAAACTAGATTGTTCTAGTGCGAGCCAAGAGAACTGAAAATGACACCTGGATAGGTGTCGAAATGTTTTCAGAAAATCTGAGCGAAGGTCCCGTTTCTGTTTGCCAGGACTCTGATCCAAGGGAAAATATCTAAAATTTTGAATGAGGAACAAGAATTCACAAAAAATATATATTTTTTCCAGTCTCAAAACTATTAGCCATAACTGTATATGAACGGTAAATAAAGGCAACCAGACATACATAAGCACACATCGTTACCTGCCTGTGTCGCTGATGATGGTTTTTGACAGGAAGAGGAGGTGGGGGAGAGTCAGGGAGTGGGGAGGGGTCTCGATATGTTACCATGTTTTCTGGCCAGTGCACGGAGGGGGTTTTTGGGAGGGGACGAGAATTTACATGGGAGGAAGAAGAAGAAGAGGTGGAGGAGCAACAGTCGGCAGATGAAGATTGAGAAATCTTTTAAAAGAAAACCAAACATGGTGAGGTACAGAAAAAGAGTAAAAAAAAGAAATATTTCAGGGGGGAAAAAAAAAGACTCATCATCGGCTGGCAACTAAACTAGAGATAGAGACAGTTCACACCACTCCACACACCTCGTCCTCCGTCGGCTTTGTGGTGTCTTCCTCAGGGGAAAGGTTTACCTCAGACCCAATGGGGGCTTTGGCCAGAGAGGAGGAAGGGGCAGGGTTAGGGTCCTGCCCTAGCTGTGAGTAAAGCTCATTGATTTCACTGACAGTGACATAGCCCTGCAGGGTATTATGAGAACAAATAGAGGAAAGAGAATGGGTGAGGCATAGGCTGAAGGGAGTGTGCCAAATTACCAATGCAAACATGGAAATTAGTCGTTAGAATGGTGCAAAATGTAACACAGACACACAGTCACACAGACAGTGGACATTATTCTAGCATTAATAAACAGAGTTTAAGATTAAGTTATTGTCACAATTATCAGTCACTGAGGAAAAACTGAAGGAAAACATGGAAGACTCCAACAAGACAGGAGTACCTTAGTGTTCTTTAGAGATATAGAGCAAAGAAGGGACCGGCATACATCTGCTAAAGAAGCAGTTTCCTAACAAGCAGAGAAGAAGATCCAAATGACTAATTCACCTAGAATGTACCCACTATCAGAACCTGAAGGAGTCACATCCTGTCTACACGCTGTCAATCAAACCTACCTCCCTTAGAGAGAAACTCCGGCCACCGGTGAGGTCAGCATATTTTCTTTCCAGTGTGGCGAGGCTTTCCTTTTCCTAGCAGAGAAAAAAAACAAAACAAATAAACTAAGAAATACACTTTGTCTTAATCTGTGCACGAAGACAGATGCATCAAGGGGGAATGATTTATACTCTTTGCAGCATGGCATCAAGGTTGCTCTTCTCCTTCAGGAAGCTCTCCTGCTCTCTCTGAGCCTGCTCAGTTATCTGCGCTGCTTGCTTCTTCAGAGCCAACAGTCGCTCCTAAAGCAGAGAAAATGAGTTTATCAGTAAGTGACACAACGGCGGTAACCATGTAATCTCCTTGTATCTGGAGTGTAAAACATTTCCCCCCTCCAAAGTTGAACGCAAAAGTAAGAAGCATTACTTTGCGAGTAACAGTGCTGCGCTGGTAGTCTGCGATTTCTCGGAGAAGCTCTTGAGTATGGGTCTCCTTCTCTTCGTCCTGTCTGCTTTCATTTTCCAGCTGCTGGAACTCCAGGTCTTCAAAGCGCTTCGTCTCTGCCTCTAGTGCCTCACAGTCCTAATGCACAGGATAGACAGAAAGAAGGCACAGAAATAAAAACCTTGCAAGACAAGGAACTGATTATTCCCAGGGACAAGTATAAGATTTCATATAGTGCATCCAAGTTTATCAAAGACATGGTATTAAAAATTAGACAATTGCAAATATACTACAGAATCTTCTTTTAATTGAATAGTTTGATAGAGACCTTGTTGATGTGTGGCACACCCTAGAGATTATAGATGTCTCAGTTAGATGTAATCTAAAATATTGAGAAAAACCTACAATGAAACAAAACTAAATATCAGACACAAGTCAACCAGGCAAAGACATGCCATCACCAACCAATTACTTTTGATGTTTGACTATACATGCAATTAAACCTCAATTTATTTTGCCATTTCAACAATGGCAAATTTTAGTGTTGAATTCAACACTAAAAGGAAAAGCTATTATTCTGGTGTTACGACCTTCAACCTTTAATAGATCTAAACGTTTCTAAAGATAGAATTGTATTTGGTAATATAGAATCAAATGGTGTTATATTTAGGAGAAGGATGAAATAAAGGAGAAGATGCATGAAGCAAAGCTTGAGTGAAGCAAAGGACAAGTTGAAGCGGTTTAGCTGAAAAGGTGCAAAATTATACATGCATGTTAATTTGCAAGCATCGTGTGCCTTTTTAGTCCGACTGAACCCTACAATAGTTTTCATGTTTACTTTTATCCTGATCTATGCTTAATATTGCCCTTACATTCTTTTAATCATATTTCTACTAAAAATCACCAATATATAAATTTTTAACTCCTTTATATTTTGTTGCAAAAATAAACTTTGAAATTTTATTAGAAAATTGCATGACTGACCAACATACATTTCTGCATCATGGTCAAATAGAAGAAAAATGATGCACTTTGAACACATTCTTATATTTCATAGTTTTCTATTAAACTAAGGAAATTTTTATGAATTTGAATTGACCCACTAGAAAGGTTGTCTATAGACTAAAGTTTTTCCCCATTTCTTTTTGCAAAATAGTATTTCATATTTCACGGTTGATCTGTTAAAAACAGTCTGGGCACAAATTGTCAATCTAATTTAGGTCTATACCTTGACTAGGCCATTCTAAAAGACAAGCTTGTTTTGATTAGAACCCCTTTTTTATTTTCCTTCCATGCATACCGTTTTGCAAAATGTCCCAAAAGTTGATAGCTATTTGCTACCGTTAACATAGCTTTTTTAAAGGCTTTAAAACTAGCTGCTTTCAACACTCAGTGTCAGTGGAGCAGTGGATCTCTGCAGCTCCTTCGGAGTTACCATGTACTTCCGGGCTGCTTCTAAGATTTGCTGCTTTTCTTGCTTTTGGGTCACAGTCCTTCTATCTTGGATAACAGATTGAACAGTCTTCTGTGAGATTTTCAAAAAGGTTTAGATCTATTATTTTATAACTGGGAGAGTATGATTGAGAGGCCAATGGGAATGCTATTCTGGAGACAAGCATTCCCATGCCAACTTAATTTCTGAAGCCAATTTGCATTCCATTCTTCCACTGTAAACCATGACCTTTTAGCATAACTATCCTTTTATCTGCAGAGCTTACATTGAAGGAACAGTAAGCATGGCTGATTTAAAAGGATTGTGACTGAAATTTCTTTTTCATGGACTCAGCAACTGACTTTAAGCTGAAGAGTGTTTGTTCAGACAAGATCTATTGTTTTATAACTGATTCCCACTTTAAACTACTTCAGAAAGGTATTCATAACTTGGTTGTTGTCGTCTTTGGGCATCATGATGGTATTTGTCTACTAATATTATTAGAAATACCTGTAAGAAAAGCTGTTTGCACATTCTATCCAATAATCCCATCCACTTTAAAACTAGCAATTGCAGTGGATTTTGTTTTGGAGTAAAACTGCCTGCATGGATACTTATGCTTTATTTCTCTAGACTTTCTGGATTCAAATGTTGAAAACCATGTGTCATTTTCCCTCCATTTAACAACTATGCTCCACTCTCTGTTGAAACCTCACACAAATATAGGCTGAAGTGTATTAATGTAATATAACAGAGTATAGAAGAGTCCACTGTGTAAGAACAGGGCTATAATTCACAGTGCAATGCTGTGTGCAGTGTGTGTGTGTGTGTGTGTGTGTGTGTGTGTACTGACCCTGGCTAGCTGCTCCTGCAGGGGCTCCTTGGTGGCTTCAGGGCAGCTGTCCAGCTGGGAGCGCTGCTCACACACAATCTGAGCCAACCTCTCTACTCTGTCCCTTTCTGCCTGCAGCAACTCACACGCCTGGTACACGCATGTTTCCATACATGTACATGTACGCACATTCCCACGCAACAAAACGGACACCATGTACACATTTGTGTATGTGTACATATAAAAAAACAAAAAGAGACAAGAACACATCCACACGCAGGACAGAAAGAGGATGGCTGAGTTAGTGGGAGCTTACAGGATGACAGTTAGTTATCATGGCGTCTAAGTCAGTTACACTAGCCTAAAGGGAGGGAGGGGAAAACGCAGGGGAGAGAAAAAATACACATCTGGCAGGGAAATGGAGAGCTGGTTAAGGGAATGGGAGGTGGTATGTCAGGGTAATATAAATATTGCAACAAATGTACGTCCTGCCTTTTGTCAGGTTTGTTTACAGGAGTGTTATAGAAGTGATGGGTGGGAATGGTAACGAGGACATACGGAATGGTTCAGCAGAGGATTAACTAGCACATTAATGTTCTGGTTTGTTTAAACACAACACAAACAACCACCCAAATATGTACAAGCACTCAGCTTTACTTCACTGATTGATTCGTCTATCTTTCCCTCTCTTTGTCATTTTCCTGACCGCAGCTGTGCCGAAACTAACCAGACGAAAGGACTTAATCTAAGAAAAGGAAATCTCCTGGTGCTGAATTTAAGAACGGGACTGGATCCGCTTCGGGGTGGGGCTGGGTGTTGTTCGGGGATTTTCGGGGTCGGTGCCGGTGCCTTCGCTACGATGCCGGTTCCTGGGCGGTGTTTCTTTCCTATGCCGGTTCTGTGGTATCGGTTCGGGGAGGGGGGGAGCTGCGCGGCATGGTGGGGTGCGGGTCTTGGGTCCTGTTTTGGGCTCCGGTTTTTCCGCTCGCACTTCTCCTCTTGCCTATTTATTTTAATTGTAATTATTAATTTATTTATTTATTTACCTATTTATTTTTATTTTTTTTTTTTTTTTCTCTTCCTCGGTGGGGGGGAGCGGTTGCGGGCGGGTCGGTGTCTGGTGTCCGCTGTCGCATTGTGGGGGCCCCTTTTTTTTTTTTTTTTTTTTTTATTTTTTTTTTCTCTTTTTTTCTTTGGGGGGTTTGGCATGTCTGTTTTCTCGGGGGGCAGGCGGGCCTGCTGGGTGGGGGTCCTGCTGGCGGCGCGCCGCTGGTGTGTGGGGGTCCGGGCGGCTCCGGCGGGGGTAGTGTTGGGGGGCCGGTCTGGGCGGGCTGGCTGCGCTGGCTGGGTATTCGGGTGGGTTTTCCCTCCTGGAGGCATGGCGGGGCTGCTCTGTTCCCACTGATCGCGGCGGGTGGGGCTGCGGGGCGGGTGTGGGCCTGGGGTGGCTATGACCGGCGCGTGGTGGGGGGCCGGGGCGGCGGAGCTGCTCTGGCCGCGTGTCGGGGCCTGGTGCGGGCTGCGGGGGGGGGTGGCGGACGTGGCTGGGCTGCTTTGGCATCGTCCGGTGGGGGGGGCGGCGCGGTTCGCTCCGCTCTGGCTTTGTGCTGCCCCTCGGGCTGCTGGGGGGGGTGGTTGCGCCGGCTGCGGTCTGCTCCTCTTGCGGTTTTGCGCCGGGCGGCTTTTCTGCTCTCGGGCTGATTCTGTGCGCGGTGTGTTTCGTTGCGCGCTGTTGGCATCGGTCTTGGTGGGGTGGGGCTGCGCTTTTGGCCGGGGGGGGCGTTTTGGGGGGGGTCCCGCGGCGCTCGTGGCCGGTTCGCGGCGGATGCGCATGGGCCCCGGCCGGGGGCGGGGCCGTCTTAGTGTTTTCCTGGGTGGTGCGGTCGCGGTGGGTGTTGCGGCCGGTCGGCGGGGCTTGGTGCTGGGGGGCGGGGCGTGTTTCGGTGCTCTGTGGGGCTGGGGCGTTTCGGTCGGCGCCGTGGGGGGGCTGGTGTTCGGCGCCCGGCCCTACTTCGGGGTGGCCGGCTGCCGGCGGGGCCCGCGGACTCGTCCCCGCGGCTCCCCGGGGCGCCGGCATGGCGGTGGCTGGGGGGCTTCCTCGTGGCTGTCTCTCCTCCTGCCTTGGTGGGGTCTGATTTCCGGGGCTGGCCCCGCCTTGGTGCCTTCGCTTCTGGGGTCCCCTTGGGCGCCTGGGGCTTTGGGTCTCCCGGCGCTGGACTCAGTGCTCTGGGGGGTGTGCCTCTCCGGCTCTCCACAACCACTATTGAGCATTTTTTTCTATGGTTAAAACTTTACATGCACAAGTTCACCCTCACAAACAACTACAGGTGCTAGGCTTCAGGTACTTAGAGATTCACTTCCAAACAGAAACCCCACATTCATATCTTCAGGTAACACAGAGTACATGTCAGACTTAATAATATTACTTTAGTGATAGTTTCAAGGTGTTTGCTTTATTGTATATCTCGTACCATGTTTTTTGGTTGTGCTGTTCTTTTTTCTTTTTTTTTTTTTTTTTTTCTCCATCTCATTACAGGTGTTGAAGCAGACTGAAAATGTTTTGTCATTGTCTCCTTCCTATCTCCTCTTTCTTTCATCTTTTGTCCTGTTTTTTTCTTTTTCTTTTTCCTTCTTCTTCTTCTGTTTTTCTGCTCTACTTACATTGCAGTAAAAGAAAAAGAAAAAAAAAAAAAAAAAAAAAAAAAAAAAAAAAAAAGACTTTAAGAACGAGCCACAACTCTTATTATAGATATTTATTCATTTAGACTCTTCTCTCTATCAATGCGGGGGGTCTAAAGGTAAAATGATACGCCCTTGCATATATATATGTAGGTTTCCTGCACTAGGGTGTGTAGGACAGAATAGTTTTAGAGACCGATGCATCCTGGGTAGTATTAGCAGATATATATTTGGAGCAGGGAGAGCATGAGGAGGATTAGCACCTTCCGGATTACACACATGACCCCCGAATATACTGGGCTGCCTTTATATTTACAAGGGTATATTCAATCCGTAAAACCTTTCCATAACAGAAATGTGCACCGGTATCGATGTCACTTACCGACTCTCAAGAGAGAAATGCAAAAATTCAGATAAAGTCAAATAATGGGTCATGGGTTGTAAGAAAAAGGGAAGAATATCACCTTTTCTTTTTCCTGTTGAGATTTTGTCTCCAGGTCTTCAATCTTGGAGTGAAGCTCATCCAAAGCATCTTTTTCTCGCTGGAGAGCAGCTAGTTCCGACTCCTGCTCAGCTTCAACAAGCGCTCGTTCAACTTCCACCTTTAAGAAATAAACCCACATTTTTACTTAGATAAAACATTTCAGCAAAACACAATAAAGATTGAAAACCGATTGAAAGAACAGGAGTCTATGTGTTTTGAAAAGAACACCCTGGTTAGCATAAACTAATCAAGGCACCAGGATGGATCAAGCCATCAGCTACCTCTCTAGCAGATTCCTCCATTTGGTTGTCCAAATCTTTGATTTTCTGCTCCAGCTCCTCGATGTTGTTCAGCACCTGAATTCTCTCCTCCTCCACACGCCTCACTTCCTCTTCTGAAGGCAGCGAGACTCGGCCTAGGCAGGAGGCTGGATCCTCTGCAGACTAGAAAAAAAAAGCGTCACCAAAACGGTCACGGATTTAACGAACTTAAAACAGAGTAAAAACAAGTAGCTGCAGCCCCTTTTAATGCAAAGGCATTAAAGAAATGTATAAGACTACCACCATGTACAGTGTGAAACCAGAGAAACTGACCCAGTTTGTCAAATAACTGATTAGAAAGTGTTTCAAACAATGTTGCAGGATTTTCATTTTGTTTTTTTTTAGATGAGGTACTTTTATAGATATAAACCCACTTAAACAAGCAGCAGGTGTCAATTTAAAATGGTAACACTTGGCCTCTGCTCTAATCTAATTAATGAGCTGTAAATATCTTCCATCTGGGCAAAGGAATGGCATAAAGGCTTTCCAAGTATTACCAAGCAACCCTGTACCTCTCATGCTTTCCAGTGAGAGAATAGAAAACATAAACGCTTCATAAATAATAATCCAGACTAAGGCTGATGTATGCCTCTCTAACCCAAAATTTATTGACAAATATGAATGTTTTACAGGCATTAATGCTCACATAGAGTTACAATGAATCCCACTATAGAAGGTTTATTTTGAAAGGGTAATAAATGCAAATGTTGGAACAAACTATGTCAAGTTTGATTGAAGTATTATACTGATACCTCATTTGTCCTAAGAGCTTTTAAAGAGGGGGACGGAGCAAAGCTTCGAAGGCTGACAGCAGGCGATTCGGCCCTGTAATCTCTGTGTCCGCTGCTGCGCCTCCGCCGCACCTGTAGGTCCTCATCAAGGTAACCGTTCTCTGATCCCAGGGAGGTCATGTGACCACTACCTATGGATCCGTTAACAGCCGAAGAGTCTGAAAACACGGACGGGGCGTCGTCTTCTTCTTCTTCATCATTTACTTGGAGCTTCTCCAGCTCCTGGTTAATCTTCTGGAGGTTGGCGACAGCCGACGTGGAACTGGCCGCCGGCCCACCTCCGTCCCTCTCAGCACGCCCGAGCTCCGAACAAAGAGACAGGATGGTCTCTAGCCGCTGTCGCTCCTGAAACAAACAAATACACACACAGTCACAGGAAGAGCAAGTTAAACTACTTCAAACTTTTTCTTATAGAAAGTGAGTTTCTTTACTAGATCATCAAAACAAGCAGCTGATGGAGAAAAATACAACGCTTATACATTTAATTTGAATTAGGCTCAGATTTGAACAAATCCATACAAACAAAAGATGATAGAAGTTCTGCTCTGAAGTATCAGGATTACCTGGGGAAGCATTGCAGAAATGATGGTGCCAGTTCCTCGTCAGAACATTAATTCTTTAGAACCCAGGGCCATTCTTTTCCTATATTTTAACAGCTACCTAATCATAGCACTTTCATATTGTTTCCTCTCAGTCAGTATAACTCAAAAACAGTTCCCCAACTACTGTACTAACTGCACTAGCACAGCTATATGTGGACAGAGACGGAAGCTGTGAAGAGTCAAAATGACTCCCCTCACTATAATAACCCTGGACAGGGAGGTAGATGAGCCACACATCAGGTAATATTAGAACCAAAGAAAGGAGGAGGGAGAGAAGGGGACTTGTGTGTGTGTGCGTGAGAGAGTGACAGCGAGAGACCAAGCGATCTAATGAGGAGGTGGACAGCTGTCAGCTGCAATCAGAAGCCTGCGAGAAAAAAAGCCATCATCCAAAACACAGGAATGTCTGCAATGCCGCAAAGGAACAAAGATGTGTTCAATGATAGTAAAGGAAGGAATGGTTTCTAATTAGAGATACATGTCTGCTCATTAGAAACAAAGACACTTTAGGGGAAGCATTTTCACTGGGTGGAAAACAGCACTACAGAGACCACAGCGTGATCAGTGAATAGCTTCCAACAAACAACATGAAGCAGAGACGTTTCTTGTTGTTTTGTCACATAATGTTATATTTATACAAAGTGAATGGATGGTAAAGCCCAAATGCAATACCAAGAAAAAAAATATAGAAATAAATCATCAATATGCTAATTGGTTATTGGCAGAGCAAGTGAAACAATCGTATCCCAAAATGTAGTCAGTGAAAGACCTAAATAGTAATCTATTACTTATTTTTATTAGTTTTATTAACAGTTTTTTATATGTATCTTTTAATTCCTATAAGCATTACATAATTATGAATGAGATGGATCTTTTTAATTCGTATTAGATAAAAAAATCTTTAGATTTATGCAGATTTGTTTTGTCTTTATGTATACAAAAGTGCATACAATAATAAATTTCGTTTTTGCATTTTAGAGTTTAACATAAACATAGCATACAAAAATAATGCTTGTTTATTATGTCAAACAAGCTCTGTTGTATTTTCTTCACCTTACATATTAATTTATATTGTCTTTATAATTATAATTTTTATTTTTTCTGACACTTTTTATGTTTTTGTACGGTGACCTTGAGTGTCCAGAAAGGCGCCTTTTTAAATAAAATGTATTATTATTATTATTATTATTTTCCTGATAACATTCCTATTTTTTTTTTAAAGATTGATACAGTAATAATAATGTCTTGACTTTATCTTTTTTAGGTATTGAGACATTTATCTCATTTTTTAATATCATTTAAAAAATTTTCAGTGCAAAAACACTATGTAAGCTTCTCATTTCTAGATGCAGTTAAGGAAAACAACCACTAGATGGCAGCAAATGTATCAACAATGAAAGGGGATTTTAAACCCCAACCTCCAGATTGAACTGAAATCCTCTTCCTAATCAGACTCTTGGGGAAAATAATAATAATAAAAAATAAATAGAATAAAGGAGCTCATTTTCTGCTAACTATCCAACATATTTCTCAGCTAGAGTCAATTAGTAGAACAAGACGATGTGGAAAAAAAGATGTATAAAGACAGAGGAACAGTAACTTTATGATTGCAATTATTATGTTTTATGCATTTGTGTGTTTATCCACCTGCTATACCAAGTCTGTAATCTTGCTTTCTCTGACCCGCATCTAAATGATGGACTCTGTGGCTACTCGGTGGTTGAAACCGCTCTGGGCGGACCTCCAGATGACTGACATAAACACATACCCACATTTATACACACATACACACACACAATCCAAGCGTAAGGTTAAGAATAGTCCTGTTAGTATGGGCTAACTGCCATAAGCATCTGTTGAGTGGTGAACCTCACTGTGTGTGTGTGTGTGTTGAGCTCCCTGGGAGAGTATGTTTGAGAGGCCAAAGAGAATGCTATTCTGGAGACAAGCATTCCTACGTTAACTTGATTTCTGAAGCCCGTTTGGGTGCGTGTGCTTTCCACACTTCCACTGTAAACCATGACCTTTTAGCACAACCATCATTATATCTGCAGAGCTTATATTGAAGGAACAGTAAGCATGGTTGATTTAAAGAATCGTGACGGAAATTTCTGTAACAGAGTTCACGCTGAAGAGTTTTTGTTCAGACAACCTGTGTTTTTGCGTCCAAACAAAAACTGTACACCGGATCACAAGAATCTCACTATTTTCTATTCAACACAGATCATATCACAGGCCAATGCTGGGAAACTTACCAGTCTCTCCACCTCCTGCTCACGAACTCTCTCCTCTTTTTGCCTTTGGTGGTAGTCTGTCAGTTCTTCCTTCCCGCTAAGGGAGCTAATACTTCCCCTTCTCTCCCTAAATCCCCCAGGTGGAGTCACTCCTGCTTTTCCAAATGACTGTCTCCTCTCCCCTAGACCGGTCCCATGATCCAGCCCTGCCTTCCCAAGTGAAGCCCTCGTCTCCCCAGCCCAGGTGTTCTCCAGACCTCCAGATCGCCTTTCTTTCTCCCCTGAGTACCTCTCTACACCTGAAGACACTCCTTGGGTGGAATGAGATCCTGCGTCTGGAGGGCTGGAATTAGTCGAGCTGACTGAGCCAAAGGAGCTGGTGGAGGTCAGGCTAAGTTTTTTGGCGACACGTGGAGAAGAGGAGCCTCCTGCTTTAGACGGGATTGTCACATCTGGTGGGGTAGTTGTTGATGAGATGGAACAAGTTGAGGACGAAGAGTTTTTGGGGGAGGAAAGAGAAATAGATACAACACCTTCCCCCTGAGCGTTGGTTTGGGTATAACTCCTGTTGGATACTTGCTGGAAGGTGTGGTTGAATTCAGAATTTGCATTTGGACTGTTGCTGTAAGTCTCCTTGCTTAATTTGTAACTCCCGTTAATATCCGTCTGTCTCAGAGGGAGTGTTGAAAGAGGCAGCGTTCTGCTGCTATCACCCCGAGGAGACGGGGAGGGACATAGACGTGGGAGTGATCGGCTGTGTCCTCCAGTCATCAGACTGCTCAGCGACCCGGCCGAATATTTCCTGGTTCGACTGGCGGGTAATACTTCCTGGTTGCCGTGGTTACGCCGGCCCAAACGGGGGCTTGAGGGCATGCTGGCAGCACCCCCTGACGATGGAGCACGGGATGCGGAAGAGGGAGGGAGAGAGAGGAGAATGTTATCGCTACTGGCAACAGAAGTAGAGGACCCGCCGCCGTTCCACGTGGACAACAAAGGGGAGGAGCCTGGGTTGTGCAGTCGCCGGGTGTCCTGACCGCGGCTTAGAGAAGTACGAGAGGAAGACGAAGGGTCAGATCGTCTTCCAGGGGGAAGGCTGGAGCCCGATTTCAAGAAAACAGGTGGACGATCGGAGCTGTAGAGACGCCTTGCTTGATCCTGATAGGATGATGAAGACGCAGCAGGACTGGGAGTGGGAGTAGTGGGTGGAGACTAAAATAAAAAAACCAGACACATATCATTTATATATATAAAATGTAATTCTTCCAAGTAAACATCTAGGATCAAACGCCAGTCCTTATAAGCCATCTTTGCTTCCATTGGTGCTGTCAAAGATAAATAAACAGACCTCCCTGAGTTTATAAAAAAGGAGAATAAAATTGAATTTAGGAGTTGAGCTGAACCAATGCTGACCTGCGTGACGCTAAAATAGGAGGGGTTAGCATTCCCATTGGCTCTCAGGCTGTTTTCCAGGGCTATTTTCTTTCGCTGCAGGGTGTCCATCAAATCCCGCAGCTCAGAGGCTGATCGCATCCCTCTAGCACTGCCGGCGCCTCCTACTGCATGACTGTAGTCACTGCTGAACTTCAGATAATCTGCAAAAAAAAATTATATAAAACAATGATTGAACCAAAAGGAAAACGACTAAACTAGATAGAGGGAGTATCGACCGAACAAATAGGCTCAATGTAGAAATGGGAAAGCTAAAAGAAGAAACAATAAATGAGGGTTTGTGAGTCTTCCTGTAAGCTTAGGATAAATAAGCAAAGAAAATATACTGAATGTCAAAAAGAGAGAGAAAAAGAGTGCATTTAAATATTCAGAAATTAGGCTTTTGGCAGAGCAGACTGAGCCAAAACAATCCACAAATGGAGGGGAGTTTCTGATTCTAGGATTTGAATCTCACACTCATTCAGAAGTAGTATGGAAGGGTGCACACAAGAATGATGTACTAGATCCAAAACAAACAGCTCAACTAGAGCTGACTTACTTCACAAAAACGATTTTGGTAGATGAAAAAGTCCACATTGTTTTATGGAGCCCTCCCCCCTTCGATTATATTTACAGCACTTACAGCAGAGTCTGTGGGTTTTTTTCTCCAGACCTCAGCTAAATCTGATTTACTACCTCCTTTCTCAACGAATACACCAAAGTGGAATTTTTCTCCGTGGATCAGCGGAGGTATGTTTGATTAATAGTCCTACTTTGAAGCTCGGTGAAGACTTCTGCAAAGCTCGATGTAAATATCCAATCATCCGGTGTGCAGGTGAAAATACATAAGGTGAGGCAGCCTGGGAGAAACCTGCCCATCTTTTTTAAACCTCCTGTGGTTTTATGTGGAAAAGAGGTTATTACGGCCTTAAGCTTAGACCACCCAGAGTTTAAATGCCACATTTACCCAGAAACACACACACATGCACTGGCAGACACACAGAGACACTTTCCCCTTAACTCAGAACCATAGATCTACTTAAAAAAAATATGAAAAAAAAACTATTAACTCTTCCCATGAACCAAGATTATTATAACAAAGTATTTTCAATCATAAACTAATATACAAAAGTTAAAGATCTTAAAAATAGCAGCAAAGCTGTGCCTGTGGAAGAAACTAAACTTAACTCAACATGGAAATGGGAGCAGAAAATCAAGACATCATGAGATCTAGAACGTCTCACACACACATGCAGTTTGTGTCCATACATGGGCAGCTTAAAAACGGAGGCGTGGTGGTTTGCAGCAACCCGCTTCTACCTTCAAAACTCTCTCTGTGCTAAAGTTATTCTAGCCTTGTGTTGGAGTCTTGCTCTTAAACTGCACATGTCAGATTATCAGTCCTGACAAAATGTACGCCAAAGACAACCAAGCTTTCAACAGCTCAAAAAACATTCCAAGAAAAGAAAAATTTTGAATTGAAAAAGCTTCTTGGGTAGCGAAATGTCTTCCAACTTGGAAACAAAGTCCAGTGGATTGTTTTTTATTTTTTGGAATGACTATGACTTGAATGACTGAGAATCTTCACCAGCAGCTCAAAAACACCTTTGCTATTGTGTGTTAAGCATCTATCTCAGGCTAAAAAGGGCAGAAAAACCACTGATCGAACGATCTCACCTTGATCGTATTAATCACTGAGGAAACATTAAAATCAAGCTGTCTCATAATGTCAACCGAGAGCTACCAGATGAGAAATTTTGGTACAAATTTTGGGTAAAAATTTTGTACATGTGTGAAAATGTTAGAATTAAATGGATTCAAATTATTTCATTGGCATTGCAAGTCTGCTACCATAAAAGCTGGGAAATATTTTTACTTGCTTTGGAGAAATCTGGATTATCTGGTGTATAAATGCATTATATCGCTCTGGTTTTTCCCGTACTGCACAGACTGGGTTGGGGGGGATGATATAAAAGGTAAAAAAGGTTTCAAACGGACAAGGAGGCCAAGATGGGGCTCAATTACAGCTCAGGTTCAGGGAAGTGTTCTATGACTCTCGGTGTAGGTACCTGTGTTATAGGCTAAAGCTGACACTGGGCTCTTCTGAGGAAGCATGCTCTTCATTCGGCTGGCCTCTGCAGGATGGTTGAATCGAAAATAGTAGGACTTACCTAAACAGAGAGAATATCCTGGAAAAAACACACAAAACACAGCAAAGTGAGAGTCTGAGGGCCACAAAAAATTGCTTAACTTTTTTAACATTCAAACCTTGAACGTTGCTGTATTTAAAATAAAGTTCTTAGACTTAGATTTATTTGTTTACACAAGTGTAAAACAAAATGAAATTTCATTTGGAACAGCTCTCTGGACAATCTTATCTTTTAAAAGTGCAGCCTAGAAAAATATTAATGACATATACACTATATTGCCAAAAGTATTTGCTCACCTGCCTTGACTCACATATGAGCTTAAGTGACATCCCGTTCCTAATCCATAGGGTTCAATATGACGTCGGTCCACCCTTTGCAGCTAGAACAGCTTCAACTCTTCTGGGAAGGCTGTCCACAAGGTTTAGGAGTGTGTTTATGGGAATTTTTGACCATTCTTCCAGAAGCGCATTTGTGAGGTCGCACACTGATGTTGGACGAGAAGGCCTGGCTCTCAGTCTCCGCTCTAATTCATCCCAAAGGTGTTCTATCGGGTTGAGATCAGGACTCTGTGCAGGCCAGTCAAGTTCATCCACACCAGACTCTGTCATCCATGTCTTTATGGACCTTGCTTTGTGCACTGGTGCACAGTCATGTTGGAAGAGGAAGGGGCCAGCTCCAAACTGTTCCCACAAAGTTGGGAGCATGGAATTGTCCAAAATGTCTTGGTATGCTGAAGCATTCAGAGTTCCTTTCACTGGAACTAAGGGGCCAAGCCCAGCTCCTGAAAAACAACCTCACACCATAATCCCCCCTTCACCAAACTTTACACTTGGCACAATGCAGTCAGACAAGTACCGTTCTCCTGGCAACCGCCAAACCCAGACCCGTCCATCAGATTGCCAGATGGAGAAGCGCGATTCGTCACTCCAGAGAACGCGTCTCCACTGCTCTAGAGTCCAGTGGCGGCGTGCTTTACACCACCGCATCCGACGCTTTGCATTGCACTTGGTGATGTATGGCTTGGATGCAGCTGCTCGACCATGGAAACCCATTCCATGAAGCTCTCTGCGCACTGTTCTTGAGCTAATCTGAAGGCCACATGAAGTTTGGAGGTCTGTAGTGATTGACTCTGCAGAAAGTTGGCGACCTCTTCGCACTATGCGCTTCAGCATCCGCTGACCCCGCTCCGTCAGTTTACGTGGCCTACCACTTCGTGGCTGAGTTGCTGTCGTTCCCAAACACTTCCATTTTCTTATAATACAGCTGACAGTTGACTGTGGAATATTTAGGAGCGAGGAAATTTCACGACTGGATTTGTTGCACAGGTGGCATCCTATCACAGTTCCACGCTGGAATTCACTGAGCTCCTGAGAGCGACCCATTCTTTCACAAATGTTTGTAAAAACAGTCTGCATGCCTAGGTGCTTGAATTTATACACCTGTGGCCATGGAAGTGATTGGAACACCTGATTCCAATAATTTGGATGGGTGAGCAAATACTTTTGGCAATATAGTGTATATAAAAACATTAATATAAACATATGAATGTAAATTTACAGTTCTGATTAATTAGTCTTTAAAGTCAGAAAAGATGGCAATTATTTACATTCAGGATCCCTGGATTGCTCTGTATTTAACTCCATCCATCTTCCTATTAACTTTGACCAGCTTTCCTGTCCCTCCCCACAACATAATGCTGCCACCACTGTGTTAAACATTGGGGTGAACAGATGGCAAACTGCAACAGAGATTTTGTTTAGCGTCCTCTTAACTTCTCTTCTGCCGACCTTTCAAAAAGGTGACATTTATTTCTGAATTTAAAAGTCATCCTGCTGACGAGGGGGAAAAAAGCCGATTGATTGTTACCATTAAATGATAAATATTATTAATAAAGGCTTCTCCAGTTGGGATTTAATTACATGGATCGTTAATTGAGGATAATTTATCAACCATGACACAATGAGTCACAGGAGCTTGGTTATGCCTGAGTCATGTTTTTAAGTAACCATGACAACTTGGAGGATAAAAAGTGATGTATAGAGCTATTTTTTCCAGATTTGCAGCGGAAAGGAGCTTATATACAGTTAAGTAAAAAATTAATGCTGCTTAAGAGGCCAATGGACCGAACGAAATCTTTTCAGGAAACCAATCCAATTACATTAACGTGCATATATTTAAATATTCTGTATATAGCAATGAGTTCAGAGGCAGCAAATGGCTTTAAATTAAAATAGGCTTGGGCTGTATTTATGCAAAGGCAGACGCTCTCCTGCACAGCTAAGGCCCTCAGTGTTTGCTCTGGCCATCAATTAGGCTGAGAGGGCCAGGTATTAAACAAGATGTCAGGGTCACAACCTCTATAATACACGGCCGGCCACAGCTGTCCAAATACTTCAGAGGGCCGCAGAAAAACAGCATGGCAGCAAGAAAACCAATGCACAGAGAGAAAGAAAGAAGAAAGAAAGCTGCTCAACATGTCTTCTTATGGTTTAGTCGCCTTTCTTTTTGCTAAGGAGGGAAGATTCAGGTAAAGCCTGAAGGATTCCACAACATAAGCACACGTGTAAAGGGCTGAGAAAGCAGCTCCTGAGCAGCTCTGTTACATCAGATTCCTTAGATCTGAAGTCAGACACCACACTGCGGCAGGAGGGGGATAACAAGAGGGCGAATGGAAAAAGACTCCATGGAAAAATATTGACGCTTCCATTTTTTTCCTTTTCTTTCTTCTGGCTGCTTGTTACAGTAAATTTACCCTTTTTCTTATTCTCATTCACAACTACCGTTTAAAAGCGAGAGCGTGCATCTATACCTTAATTAAATCCAAGATCTCCTATACTTGCATTTTGCCTTGAACAGCACATTTTTTCTTTACCATCAGTCGTAATTCTTAACACAAAGGGAGACCCGACTGTGGTGCTGAGCGAACGCCACACAAAAACACACCCACACGTATATAGAGGATGTGTTTAGTCTACACAGCTGGACTGTGAACTGTTCAAATCCATACCTATGTAAACAGAATCCTACAAGTTTAGGCAGAGATGAAGAGGAAGGGGCATCAAGACAGGAAGATCAAAAAGATGAGTTTAAGTGAGCCAGAAGTCCTGAACACACACACATTCATGTCAGCAATTCAAACAGATCTAATAATACATGTTTGTCTCTGCCAGACATGAGTAATAAGCGTCTAAAAGACGTTGTGCATCATCTGTGTGTGAGGAAACACATCTTTACAATGTCTGCTTAATGAATCACATCACCTCTCAGAATTTAGCAGGACTCAAATTAACAACACTTGGATTTTCACGAGTTAACTCTTGTGAAAATCCAATTTCCTTCCCTCAATAACCTCACCATGGGCCACCTTTTAAGTGGGGAGTAAATGAACGCCCCGATTTGTTCACAGCCTCTCCATCTTCTTCATTTCCTCTCAGCTCCTTCATCTATAAAATCTATTAACTAACCTGCTCTCCCTTGTTATTTTTTAGAGGATTTATTACCCTTATTTGTGACACCAGCCATTGCATACAGACAAAAACAACCCCCTACTTAATGTGTTTAAAAAAATAGAGGCTAAGCTTTTAATACATTGTTAAAGGATTTTTTTTCTATTATTTTTCCCCCACTGTCACATAACAAAACATAAATTTTTCTAACTTGGATTTTATGTAATGGATAAGCAACTGCTATTATTTTTTAAATCTTTTTTTTTTTTGGTAATAAATAGCAACTTGAAGTCGGACATAAATTCATATTTTACTCGATTTGCAAAGAAAATCCATGCTGACCACCCTAAACACATCAGAAATGGAGATACGTTTTCAGAAGGGAGAAGGACGTTGGTCTGAGTTGGTTGAATAAAAACAAAACAAAAAAAACGGACATGCTAACTAGATAGGGGCTACGAAATTTCGACCTACAGACTTGGGCTTAGTGTTGAGCTTTCACCAGGACCTTGATCGTAAAACTTAGAGCCAGAATGAATGGTTTAGATCAGGGTTCTGCCACTCAACTCTTCCAAAACTTTTGTCCTGGAACGTTTGGGTTCATCCCTGATCCAGCACATCTGAATGAAATCTGTTAGAATTTTTCACTCAAAATTCAGATTGAAATACACCTGAGAATAGGTAGTATGGCTTAAAAAAAGCTATTGTATCAACTGGAATAAGTTGGACAAACAACAAACAAAATTTAAGTCTCTAGACGAGCATGTTTGGATTTAAAGGAGTTGAATAAAAACACCCATTATGCTTTCCAGATTTATATTTGTTAAAAAAACATGGAAACTGATTCATTAATCCTTTGGGATATCAGTAAGGTAGCAATACCCTAAGTTTTTAATTGCTTAAATGAAGTAAAATTAGGTCTCCTGTTATTAGAGGCTTAAAAAAAAAAAAAAAAAAAAACTCCTCGCTGCTCTACACACAGATTAAGACACGTTGGGCACCATAAAACCCATTTGATCTCAGTCATCTGCTCCCTTGTTAACCCGCGAATTGAGTTTGCTTCCCATGTCGGAGCATGCATTACCCACAACACACACGCAACATTCAAAGACCCTCTTCCATAACAAGGAAAAAAAAAACTTTAAATTTGTCTGTAGATACATTTATAGGATAATTTAAAGTATGTGATCTACAAAGTCAGACCTCAGAGTCTTTGAGGACACAGATGTAGGAGCCGCTTCATGTCTGGAGCCAATTTCTGCAGATCTACGGATGCCACAATCTTATGGGAGGGGAACACTCTCTGCTCCGTTTGGTTAACACGAGGGGAAGGAATTGCAAGATTGAGACCATTTGGGTAGCGTGTAAAAATAAACCGGTTGTCATGATCCCATGTCCAACAAGTGTCTGGGATAGGCTAAGTGACCTGTGGCTTTTTCAGATTAGAAATGCAATGTACAGAGGTGTCAAGTAATGAAGTACAAATACTTTGTTACTGTACTTAAGTAAACTTTTTTACTCCATTACTTATTTTTCTTCCAACTTCTGACTTCTACTCATTACATTTTCACAGAAGTATCTGTATTTTCCACTCCTTACATTTTTAATACAAACGTTACTTCTTACGCTTCGGTTTAATGTTTATAAATATTTATTTCACGTCATGTGCGCCATCCAATCATTGGCGCCATCCACATCTAATGAAAACTAGTGTAATTGGATGAGTCATATAACGCAAGCACATATTGGTTAGCTGAAGGAAATCATCAGAAGCAAGCAGGTGTTCTTCAAACTGCAAACATGAATGATCTATGCTATGCTACAATGTTGGATTCAGAAAAAGATGTCGAAATGTCTGAAAGTTCGGACACAGGCGAGAGCGTATCGGGAGACGGAGACCAACAAGACCTCCCTCATCCTTGGCCCTATCTTAAAGGATTTTTCCAAATAGTCGAAAAATTGAGCTTTCAATTCATATAGTGGCATCTGGCTGTTTTTTTTTAAAGGTTACTTAACACTTTTACACTGGAGCACATACTTTTTTACTTTTACCTGAGTAAACAGTTCATGTTGATACTTCAACTTTTACCAGAGTGTTTTTAAACTGCAGTATCTACTTAAGTAACAAATGTGTGTACTTTTGACACCACTGGCAATGTAATCACTCAAACACTTAAAAGTAAAATCAGAAAATCTCATCGGAATGAAGAGATCAATAACAAAAAAATGTTGCGGTTAAGAAGTTGTAGAGAACACTTAGATCTAGATTGGACAGAAGCTAAAATGGAGGTTATTCATTCATGAAATGATGCATAAATACAGGTCCCAGCGGGAGAGTAAAATAGTTTAAAACCACAAATTAACCCTCTGTGGTGCAAAGGCAAAAACAGACACTGATCTTTCTCAGGGGAGACATTTAAGACTGAAATTCTTCCATTCAGTTCAGGAGCTATAACTTCTAAACCTTTGACCCATGCAGCATTAATCAATACAAAAATCTTCTGTTTTAAATGAGAAAAAAAAGACCAAAGAAGTGAACAAAACAAACATATTGAAAAGCGTCTGTGTCATCATCTATGACAGCATAACCAGTACAAATGCTGAGCAGATGATAGTACCTGGAAGAGCAATAACCTCAGGGATACTGACACAGGTTTTGAATTCAGGTGTCAGGTATCTATCCCACTGTGGCTGCCTTCATTACCATAGCCTGCTTCTCTTTTGTGTGCTCACTCTTAAAAGCTTAACTCCAAGCCAACCACGTTGAAGTTTCATTAAAACTGCTTTTAATATGGAGCAACAGATTGTGATACAATGCAGCTGGAGCCTGACTATAAATGAGAAATGTGACTTTCAACACTGTGTGGTTTGGATCACTCTGGAGCAACAGCAGTGATTTACACCTCAGATCAATCTGTAACTAGCTGGGCCATTTCACAAGTCGTTTAATTTTATCTTCATTGCTTTTTATCCTGTTAATAAAAGTGGGGAAATTAGCTTATTTCAGGGTAATTTACAATTATAAACAGGCTGAGTTTAGCTTCACTCTCTTCAGGTTTAAAACATTAAGCAGCTATCTTGAGGACAACCAGACAAAGAGGGAAGAGATAACCGAGGCTTATTAAAGTCATACAGATTACATTTAGCAAATGCACAAAGAAGCAGATGACCCATCGTTAAAGAAGAGCAGGAAGTGGATGAAGGTAAATATTCTTAACCATTTTTGTTATATAACGTCGAAATATTGGTAGTAAGTAGTAAGGAATCCAATAGAGACCTAAAACATATTATCCTGTAAGTAATAAAGAGTTAAATGTCAGTAAAATAAAGAAAAGCAAAAAAAAAAAAAAGCCAGTCGGAATGTAGCTTCAACACTAATAAATCCGTTACTTACCTTTTGAGTCCCATTCAGCAAAGACTTAACGAATGAAATTAATATATATGTGTGTATAATTTTTCTTTTTTAGTCTTTATAAAGAGCTTGCTTATACAGAACCGCCTCTGGAGAATAAAAACTAAAATAATAGCTTGTTATTAAAATGTGGGGAGCTTCTGTTTGTTTCCCTGCTCCAATCGTCCTGACTCCGTTCATCTCGGAGAAAGTTCAGTGATTTAGCACCGGCCTGAGACTCCGGACTGTACCAAGTTTCCACTATACAAAGGGGGGGAGGGCAGTCGCTGACTATGTGAGAAAAAGGACCAAAACTTTAAAATAAGCCAAATAAAAAAATAAAACATCTATTAATCCACTAAGAAGACAAAACACAGATATTTTATATGCTACAATGTAAAAGCGTGGTATGCTATCACCCCTCGCCCTGCGTAGATGGTACGTTCACAGACAAAAGTGAGGTATGTGGAGGACGCCCCCTCAGCTTTCTTTGTCCTCCTACCTATTTCTATTCAACTTTTAGAATCAACAGGACAAGTGTAACCTTAAAAATGCAAATTTATCCAACCGTCTTCCCATTTTAGGGTTAACAATGTATAATTATAACACAATATCAGAACAAAGGTAATGTTTGTACAATTAAAAGCACTGATGGGCTCAAAACAGGCAAAACAGGATTCAGATTTAACAGAAGGTAAAATATTGTAGTAAAATGCTTTACAGCTGCTTTGCTCCACTGCTTTGATGAGGGATGGCTGTAAGACATTAAGAGGGAGGGACAAATAAGAGATAAAGTGGAGCTGCCTTGATTTGTTAGTGCTGGGAGGCTGACTTGTTTGCTTAGTGTTTTTTTTTTACCCTTCCATCACATTCCTCATAACATATATAGCTTTATAGATCCTAGTTTCCAGACTCAAATCATGGGATTCTTTTTAGTTTATATTTAGCCCGTTCTATAGTATAAATCTGGATGGAGATGGACTGAAAATGGATGCAACTTTATAGACAACAAGGGATCAAAGTCTGGATTTTTTTCCACACTTTCGTTGCACCATACCTAGGTCTTCTAAACATTTAAATCAAATTCTTTACATTTTCCAGGTTTATCAAGACTGTGTTGTAACTCTGAATTGAAAAGATTAACAATGATCCTAGACAGATTAATCTTTCCCCACATTAAACTTAATGTGTCATAAACATAAAATCCTATGTGGATGTCAGCACTTTTACCTCTCAGCATGGAGGTACTGGTTTCAAATCCTGCAGTGGATCTTTACGATGAGGGGATTGTGTGCAATTCTCATGCAAAAGTGGGCTCTGACTTCCTCCTGAAAAGTTTATTGGGGACTAAATTGCCTATAGGTGTGTTTACATGGGTGGTTGTTTGTCTTTGTGTTTCCCAATGAGGGGCACACAGCTGCTTACTGCTGGAGAAAGGCGCCCATACAACTATTATAGTCTTTAGAAAATAAATGGATAATTTGACACTTAGTTATTCTTGGTGGCTTTAGTTTAACTGCTTGTTTGTTTTTGCTTCCTTTAATAAGCTTAATGCTTTTTAAGTTCCTTCCAGCTGCTCTTGAGACCTGCCAGTGATACTGATGTGATGCCAGGTCAACCCTTAAATTCCAGAATGCAAAACAGATCATTTCCTAAACATAGTAAACCGGCTCCAGATGTCCCATGTGTATTTTTGATGGAAGTTTGATTAGTGTAACTCAACCTGGATAATATGAGGCCATAGGATGTTCCTTAAATAGGCCCTCTATTTCAGGTTTTGCATTCCCTTCTCCTTCCTTTAGGCTTTTCCCTTAAGAGTCGCCTACTCCTCCCCCACAACCTCACAATGCCCTCGGCTCGTGTGTGCGAATACTCTGAGGTGATGTCAATATTTGAATCAGCCAGGCTCCCCACAAAGATAAATATGCTTGTCAATATTTAACTAGAAATAACTAGGCTAAGAGAGCAGAAGGAAAGGACCCAAAAAAGGTAAACGGAATAGGGGCTGTAACCCAGGGTGCTGTGGGTTAACTGAAACTGAATTAAAAAAGCAGCAAGGTTTCAAAAACTGAAAACTTTCAGAAAAAAAAAGAAAAGTTTTGCATGAGAAAAAATTCTTAGGAACTGGATAAGGGAAAATAGCACATAGGGTAGACAAGCAACAGATGAATGGATGAGGATACGTATTCCCTGAAAACAGAGCTGCGCTCTGGGGCCAGGATGAAAAGCAATGTAAGATAAGAACGCTTAGAGGAATTGTGAGAATGTTTCAGTGAGCTAAGACTGCTTTTTGAAGTTCACACTGACAGAATGTGAAGACCTATATATTATGCTGTAAATTCTGGAAGTAGTGACTCATGATAGTGGCTCACTGTTCCAAACCACTATGAATTCAGCTTAACCAGAGGTACAGTATACTCACACACCCACAAACACACATAAACACCAACCTTATGCATCATTTTAAACACAGACAAACCAGTGGGAAAAACTCCACACACACATTAGCACAATGTTTCCCAACAGAACATCAGCATAACATTGTCCATCATGTGACTCATGCACACAAAGAGAGGAATACAAGCTTACTAAACCACAGGATACCCTCTTTATTTTTATTTTTTTTTACACACAGATACACACAAACTAAAGTTATGAAATAGTGAAAGTATGGACACAAAGCAACAAACTGAATTCTCATTTTAATCATGTTCTATGGTTATCCAGTAGGTGGCAATCTTTTAAGCAATTACAGTGAAGTTTTTATGCGCAAACAAGAGGAATGGATAATAATGTCTCCATGACTGAGTACCTTACCCTGTGTAAGCGGTGTGGGTATGTTGACCTGGACTCCATCCAGACTGCAGAGGTGACCACAGGGGTCAAGGGTCACAACTCCTCCTGTTGTTGTTATTATAAAGTAAGGACATTGTTAGGTATATATATATATATATATATATATATATATATATATATATATATTTATAAGACATATAAGGTTTTAATGTGAACCCTGCAATGAACATCACAGAACAAATCTTTAGAGGGATAGTTTTAGATTTTGCTATTAGCTCTGTTAGAAGCTTATACGTCATGCATATTTTCCTTAGCTGTAGTAAATTGCTCTTATAGCAAATTTCTTTGCATAAATTCAGATTATTTGATCAAATTTATGCCAAGAACTTACTAGATTTCTATTGTGTTGAAACAACACAGTTTTAAGGACATTGTTGCAGTTAATGTAAGAGTTACGTTTTGAATCTTGAAACCATACTAACATTTAGCAAGAGGGCCATTAAACCATTTTTTGGGTCAGTGGCAAACCTCATTTCAAATATTAATTTGATTCCTTAAAAATAACTTGCAAAAGTATTACATTGATTTCAGTGTTGGAATAAAAACAGCATTTTTAGACTGGAGTTGTCTTAGAAATATAAAAGTAATTTTCAGTTTCAACCATAGGGGTATACTCACATTTTCGCACCCAGACTGCCTAAACCAGAATGAATCATTTAATAATGCATATTTGTTTTTGTAAGCATGCATAACTGTTAATAATAATAATAAAAAAAACTCCTTCAAATTAACTACCTAACACTGTCAAAAAAAAACACCATCATATTAAAGTGAACTGATGACAACCTTCATTGATGATAAGGCAATGCTCAGCCTCGATTCCAGGCCCCTCAATCGTGATGTCTTGAGGGACTGGAGCATCTTCTCGGCCTATACGTGTGACCCCTGTGACACAAAGAGGAGATAAATAATTATTTGTTTAACAAACATACACAAAGATACGGAAGAGGATTAGGGCCACTGAAAAAAAAAATCACTAATTTTTTTATTTAATTTCAGTTTAATATGGGGAAAAGTCAGAATTATGACTTTATTCCAAGAATTCTGACTTTAAACTTAAAATTCTGACTTTAATCTCAGAATTCTAACTTAAATCTCAGAATTTTGGATCTTAATGTAGATGGGCACCATGAAGAAAGGGATGTGGGAGAACTCAGCTTCACTGACAAAGATGTGAGTTGTTTGGGAGGGCCAGTGACACATTGGTGGAAAATGAAGGAGTTAGGCAACTTTTTACATGCCTGAGGGGTTCCCTGTGATGCTATTTCAATAACAGAAGAGCAGGAGGTGATTAAAACAAGAGAGCTAGTCTCTAAAACAAACATCGCTATGGCTTGATGTTTGTTAGCTGTCAGAATTCAGTCAGCACTCTGAGATTAAAGTCAGAATTCTGACTTTTTTCCCCATATTAAACTGAAATGAAATTCAAAAATCAATTAACTTTTTTTTTTTCATTGGCCCTAATCCTCTTCCGTAGTCAGATAAATCTTTCATGTCTGCATGACTCATTTTTAAACTGAGCAATCTTGCACAATGTCAGAACAAGTCCAATTGAAATAGACAACAAAGTCTTTTTTTTATTTTAGTAGCGACTTGGGATGCAAAATTTTACCAAAATGCAGGGAACATTTTATCACTCTGCAGATAATCCTACATTGAAATTACTCTCTAAAAAGCTGTCAGTGTACTAGAATTATAAATCTTCTGAAGAAATTTTAAATTCTTACTCTTATGCTATTTATTATGTGTGAGTCAGTATTCATTAGCATTCCTTGTAATATCCAGAGGCTATTAAATAACAAGCATCCCCCTCATGTTGTACTACTTCCTACTTGGACAGCTTCACTGTTATATTTTGGCAACTATCAAGAATACTAATGTGGACACCAGCTTTAGAGAATGATACGTTTGTGCTGCAAATTATTTAGATATTTTTACAGAAGATTGGTAAAGAATTTTCCCCACAAAAAAAAAAACATTGTTGTAAAACACATTTTCTTCCAATGCTTTAAAATTGTGCAGCGATCCTTCCCTTCCTAGATTTGTTTGACTTGTGATCCCTTTGGGCATTTTTTTCTTACCATAACTATCCCTCTCAGTCAAAAGTATTGATGACTGTCTAAAAGTTAAACATACAATAACTAATTATGAAATATACCATTTTACTTAATCTTTTAACTTGGTCATTTAATTCTGAGGCATTTTATGCTTTCCATCTCAGATAAAGAAAAACAAATACGCTGCCTGGAAGTTAGTAAGGATAAAAAAAAAAAAACATATTATAAAACTGTATTTATAAAACTGGAGCTCCTGTGAGTAAAATTGTAGTCAGTCTGACTTATATAGTTTTACTCTACATCATTCTGCTTGATTTTGATGTGTGAACTCAAACATATAACAATAACTTACTTTCTGGTTTATAAAAGCTTGTGTAATTTTTCAATTTGGTCCTCAGACAGAGCCAAGCCCTATTTTATTTTATTTCCTAAGAAATAAAATATGTTTATGTACCCCTTGCGATGCACTCATGGACCACTAGGGGTACGAGTAAACCCTGTTGGGAATCGCTGTCTTAAATGACAAAAAAAAAAGAAAGAAACTAAACATACTTACTAAACAACATCCAAATCAGCGATATAGAGTGAGTTTTCTACAGTACATTGCAAACATATATGTACACATAACTTTTACTAATTTTGGTACCTGCAAACCCAAAACTACAGTGTTTTTTATAAACAGTCTTCCAGAAGGTATTCCATAACATGTAAAGTTTAAGAAAAATGATACATGGTTTTCACAATTTGAATGAACAAATTGAAAATTAATTTATAAGCTTTGCAAAGATTCTGTTTATAAAAGCTCTCCATCCAATCTGTAGAAGTTATTTTGCAGGACAAAATCTAGCAGACTTGTACATGTAATGGCAAAACATGATGGTTCTATTGACTTACTGGGATGAATACAAATGCACATTTTGAACTCTAAATGTGTTTTATTGAAATCAGGCCAATGACGGGTTTCCACTCCGTAAACACAGGCAATATTAAATATATATATATATATTTTCATCTCTCTGTGTAGCTCAATGATTTAAAAAAGAGAGAATAATTGGTATATAGATGAGGATATCTCTCAATAACTGTAGATCAATCGTTTAAATGTATGAATCTAAGTCAACTTTTATTTGTTTTCCTAGCTGATTATGCTTTTTTTATTTGAAATGTTTAACGTTTCTTTTTATGAAATGTTTGTTGTGATTATTTGTAGCAGTTTTCCTTTATCCGAGAAAGCAAAAAAAAAAAAAAATCATAATTTTTAGATTTTTATTTGTAATCTTTGAAACTATGTGTATTTCTTCTTTTAAGTTTAAATAACACTGTGCTTTGTGTTTATCTAGCATTAAATCCCAATAAAATGCACTGATGTTTTGGATGGTCATTAGACCTGCTAGAATACCTCATTGCATTATATGTAGAAAAACATATTGCTTGCATTTAACATTGTAGACATATGTTAGCTTCTAGGACACATGAAGCACTTGGTCTGCAGATACAGAAGGTGGGGGGAAAAACAACAACCTGGGAGTAAAACTAGATAAAATACAGGCAGGAGTAGTGATTAGAGGCCATCTGGTTTCACTCCAGAATACAAGTCAAAGATCTGCATGGTGGGTGAGAATTTACATTGAAAGATCAGCAATGTAAGTAAAAGAAATGGCCTTGTATTTGCTGTGGGTTTTTGTAGCGTATATGTTACCTTCTTTTAGTGGCAGCAGGGTGATAGCAACACTCAGCCTCCCACTGCCAAGGCTAACCAGATGAGGCGTAGCAGTCTGGACTTTCAAGCCTTTCCCCGTGTCTATCAGGTCCAAAGGTGGAGACTAAACGCATAAAAACAAACAAACAAAATATGGTATTTGTTGCATTTTATACAATGATCTCATGTAAAAACGGATTCTTTGTGTATATATAGTGTTTGACAAATGCATGAAGATGTGAAACTTAAGTAATAGCACTTGTTTGTGTGAGAGCTTTGTTTCACCTTGGGTTCTGGTGCACACATCTGATCCGACTCTGGCTTAAACATCATCTCAGATTCCTAAACATGCACACAGACAAAATTTTCTGTGAAAGCTATCAACATTTCTTGGGACATTATGGACTAGAAATGCATATGACATGCATACTGTATGGTGGATTAGCTATGAGACATATGCTTAAGAAATGGTTTATACAGCTTTCTTTTGACTCAAGTGTAACAGGAAGAGAACACCTTTAGACAGAAAGTATGATTAAAGTATGTTTCTATAAGTCATATGTTTTTAGATTTGTGTAACAGAATGGGAAAGAGACAATACCCTTAGTTGGTCTGGTACTTACAGTCATACAGGAATGTTAGTTGTCTTTATATAAGAAATAAGTTACTTCATTTATACTCAGAGAGAGCAAGTAAATACAGTATAGATAAAAAAAAATCCGAGGCTTCCAGCTGCAAACAAAAAATCCTGTAAGATGTGCCTAAAATAGTTATTTTCACTTAGTTTTGTTGACTAAATTTACTCAACCTTTATTAGTAAAGTGTATCTAATTTCAATAGCTATATAACACAATATAAAATTAGGCAGTCCACTCAAACTTAAATATTTTCAACACAAAAGCCTTCAGAATGGTATTAAATTTATAATCTCTGTTCTACAAGGCAGCAGTCTCACAGTCTATGCCACCATCCATCCAAAAGGGCTTCACAATTAGTCTAAATCGAAGTGGCTCTTAACTCAAACAAAAATAAGGAAACATGGTTATGATAGTTTATATACAGGTTAACTATGGGACTCATTTTGAACATTGTACTGTTTTCTGGTTTCAGGATTCTCTTGTTCTGAATGGTTAAGCAGAGCATTTACTCCTTAGTCTCTCACCCGTAGACAGCTGGAGATAGACACCAGCACCCCTTGCGACCCCAATTGGGACAAGCATGTTAGATAATGGATGGATGGATGGATGGATGGATGGTTGATTAGCTGCATCCAAGCCATACATCACCAACTGCAATGCAAAGTGTTGGATGTGGATGTGTAAAGTACGCTGCCATTGGACTTCAGAGAAGTGGTGACAAGTTTTTTGGAGTGTCAAATCACGCCTCTCCATCTGGAAATCTGATGGACGTGTCAAATGTGTAAAGTTTTTTGGAGGGGGTATTATGGTGGTGGATCACTGTTCCAGGAGCTGGGCTTGGCTCTTTAGTTCCAGTGAAAGGAACCCTAAAAGCTTCAAAATACAAAGACAGTTTGGACAATTCCATGCTACCAACATTGTGTGAACAGTTTGGAGCTGGCCACTTCCTCTTCCAACATGACTATCCACCATGCAAGGTCCTTAAAGACATGGATGGAAGAATCAGGTGTGGATGAACTTGACTGACCTAAACCTGATAGAGCGCCTTTAGGATGCATTAGAGCAGAGGCTGAGAGCCGGGCATTCTTGTCCAACATCAGTGTAGGATCCCACGAATTCACTTTTGGAAGAATGGTCAAAACTTTCCATACACACACTCCTAAACCTTGTAGACAGCCTTCCCACAGCTTTTCTAGCTGTAAAGGATAGACCAAAGTCATATTAAACACCTATGGAGCAGGAATGGGATGCCAAGCTCAAATCTAAGTCAATACTTTCAACTATAGTATATTTAATCTTCTCAAAAAAGATTCTAACTAATAGCTTTGTTTCTTAGCTTCAATTGTCTGAGAACATGTCAGAAGAACCAAAGCATTTTTGCTTTTAAGCTTATTTGGCACTGCAACTATGCTTTAGAATGACAATGGTGTGCTTTTAATTATAGAGGGTTTATTTTATATTTTAAATACAAATTCATTTTTACCTTGCTAATTTCTCTCAATACTGCAGACATTGCTTTAGCTCACAGCATCTTCTGAAATTATTATTTCCTCTTGAATATTTCTGTTCTTTATCAATTAAAAACCACCCAGTTACTATCACACATTAGGATTTTAGGTAACAGACTAACATAAAACAGTCAGATACTTTTTTTAAAATAAGCCTTGTTTTGCTGCATGCATGTCTAAAACTCATTTCCACATTCTGAATCTCAGACTGTTTTTCAAACATTTCTGAAAAAGTTTAAGCTCAGTTGGATGGGAAGCATTGCTGAGGATTCATTTTCAGGTTTTTCCACATATTCTCAATTTGATTTAGGTATGGATTGCCATCCTACCTTCTAAAAAGAAAAAATGCATCTCCAACTTCAAATAATCACTTAAATTGATAACAATTAATTGACTCATGTTGATCCAAATAATTTTTTAAGCTTATAAGTAGAAAACTTAAAAACATAAAGTTGAGGAAACTATTATATTCTTGTTACCTAACTGAAGTGAGTCATTAAAGTTTGAGCTGCGTTTTCGTTTTAGATTGTAGAATGGGAATTTGCTTTAAACAAAGATGTCTCCAGCCTGTAAGAGGACGTACCTTCCTCCATGAGATTGTTTCTGGCTCCATCCACCTTTTCATCGACTTTGAAAGGCTAAAGAAAAAAGCATCCTCACCTTTCTTTTACCTGAAATCTTATCTTTAAGGGGATTATAATTGTTTCAGTTCTGATTTAATCCAAGTTTTTTTTTTTTTTGGATCTAGAATTTTTTTGGGGAAAAAAAATTCTTTCCCATCTACCTCACAACTATTGCTTTGTGTAAATCACACCAAACTTCAATAAAATAACTAGGTTATTACGGGATACCACTACCACTGCTCTCCCAGCAACATGGAAAGGTATATTTAAAAGGGAGTTTTTCCTCTCCACTGTCGCTACAAGCATGCTTAATGTGAGGGATTGTATTTGAGTCAATGAGTCAATGCAATCAACTGTTTTCCTTAGAGAGAAAACTTTGTATCAATTTGACTGTATGATCTGGTTGAACTGTAAAGTGCCTTCAGATGACATGTGTTGTGAATTTGGCGCTATATAAATAAACTGAATTGAACTATTCTCATAAAGGGACATTTATCACAAAATGTGTCAATCCCATTTCTTCCTTTGTTAGATTGCATGATCTGCAACACTATTTTGTCATAATTTTAACTTAACATATACACAATTTAACATCTTAACATCTACACAAAAAGTTAGTTACATGCTTAGAGGCAAAATGTTAAATAACAGGACAGGAGGGGAAATGTAAAAATGAATGACAAATCTTCAAGTTTTGGATTAAAATGAAGAGAATGGAAAACTTTGAAGTTGAGAAGAGGCAGAGGAAGATGAGAGGGATAAAAATCACAAGTGTGGCAGTGTACGTTTTTATGTAAACATCCTCAGATCCTGTGCCAAGGACTTCCCCTGCACTACCCTACAATTCAACAACAACAAAAAAAAAAACATTTGCTACTATTTGTGTGCCCCCACAACCTAAACACATAACAGACCCACATCAGGCTGGGTGAAACACTGCTCACCAAAGCAATGAATATTACAGCATATGGGGATCCAACACAACCACTGTGTTCTACACCTCATGGCATTTCCCTACTCTCTTTCACTAGTGTCTGCTTTTCAACCTGTCATAATCTTTAAATAGCCTGGAATAACCCCCTGAAATAGCTCATAATAACTAACCTCATCTTTTTTTATGTATTTTCCTTCCTTTAGATTCATTCTTAATCTGTGTTCCCAAACTCTATACCTCATCTTAGTCTCTTCCTCTCATCCTTTTTGCGCCTCTGCCCTTTCTTCCTGTCTTTTTTAATCTCCCTTCCTGTCTTTTCCACTGTTTTCTAACTTGTGGCAAAGGGAAAAGCAAATGGAGCTCTGCCCTGCACAACTTCCTCTAATTCAGCCACCTATTCCTTTCTGAGGACGTTTCCTTTGCTGCTTTGACACCCTCATTACCTCCGGACAACCCCCCATCTCACAGACACAGTCATGCTTGCAACTACCCTCATAACCTCTAACCATGCGTGCACATCCACAAATAAACCCATATATCAGCTCTTTATCTTCTTTTATGTGGGTATGGGCTCCACATTCCACTGACTTTTCCGCCAATATTGTAGACAAAGCAAATGTGCAAGCTGTTTTAGCAACATCCTCTGAAGGTAAAATGTTTAAAAGTCCGGCAGGGGGAAAGGATTTCTTTAATCTTAAAACAGAATGTTAAAGAAAGAAAAAAGGACAAAAATATCCCCATTTCCCTACCGATATGCCACAGTTTCTTGGTTCCATCCTTTCTCTGTCTTTCGCAAACAGCTTCTCTCATTCTTTTGTTCTTCTTCGTTATTATTTTCTCCCCACAGCTTAGAATCACCTTCTTCCTCCAGGTGAGCCCCTTCCAGGGCAGGTCAGGGCAGGTCTGTGGCTTTGTTTGCTTTGGTTAAAACAGCAGCGAGCTGTTTCAAGCCCCCTTCTGGATATCCACCCATTAATTTTAAGTTTTTTTTTTTTTCTTTGTGTGTTCATAATTTTAGTAAAACAACGCGGCAGACCTGAAACGATAAGCTAAAGCATGACATTGAACTTTGTTTGCCTTTTATGAGCAGCAACCTTTTAAATAGTTTCTGCCATGGCTATTCGATGACTTGACTTGATAAATTGTCTTCACTTAAAAACCTCTTTGATGCCATCTGTGAAACAGCTGAATCTGAAATGTTCTGTTTTCCGTAGATATAGGGAGATAGTTTAAGATAAAAAATGAGAATTCATGCCAATAAAAAAAAAAAAAAAGAAAAGTACATTTAGAGCAACTTTAAAAGTATCTCAGCTGTCTTCTATATCTCTGCCTATAATCCATTTGCCCTTATTTTACATCTGGTATGACTTTCTAAATTTTACCATTTATAACAGAGCTACAGTCAATTTGCAGTAGTGTATATTACTTCTGGTGATCTTTTTCAGCACAGTGATAGACCTATATCTTAGATCTCTGCAAGAGGTGTGTAATTTTAAGTTGCGCTTAGCCTGCTCTGATGTTTAATATCAAAATCCTAATTGTGCAGTTTAAGTATAAAACCCCAGATACAAGAGGCTTGGATAGGCTTTCTCTGCAGAGTTGCTGGGCATAGGCAGATAATTTTTAGAGGAGCTTTATCATTCAGGTCATACAGTTGGGGCTCCTTTGTATTGGAAGAGTCCTTTATTGGGGTTTGGGCATCTGAGCAGGATACCTCTTGGTCAACTTCCTTTGAAAGGCTCTAGAATACCAACATATTGGGAGTGAGAATGTGTTCAGAGACTGAATATAATGGTACCCTGTATAGACAGATAGATGGATGGACGGACTAATATGGGTGGACGTATTTTGTCCTTTTTTGATGTTGATAATTGTGTTTGGCTTTGAAGACAATGACAAAAGTCAATTTTACATTAACAAACCTCTTGAATTAACAACACATCTGTAACACAACTCTCTGCTGTATTCTTATAGGTATTCAAAGCCATTTGTTTCTCTGTATCTCAGTTAGCTTAATGTCCCACCAGCTAAGAGAGGGAAACTCTTCATGTAGGCTTGGGCCGACCAACTGAACATCAAAAATGAAAACTGGAAAAATTATTACCTCCATGTTTAATAATCCTTAACATTACTTGTATCTCTTATTTTGTGAACTGGACACTCTGTCTTTCTTATTTCATCTTGCTGTATCTTATAAAGACCCCTCCCCTTACATTCCAGTGTTAACCTCTCCTCCTCCCACCTGACAAAGCCAGCATTGTATTGGAGACGTTGATTAATATGGAGCCATTCTGTGTCCCTCTTATTAACCATCTCATCGGCCTTAATATGGTTTATATTTCTCTTCTACATGTCCTCAGGTCTTTGTGCGTGTAAAATGGTACAAATGACATTCATTTATTGAGACTAGGATGTACAAAGGCAAACAGTCATGTGTGTCTGTTTTAGGAAAAAATATCTGAAAGCTGATTATCACAATCTGACCTGGATCTCCTGTTAGAGAAAAAAACATTGAATGTTTATCAGAGTCAAACTCTCACACTCCTTGTGTCATTGGGAAAGGTCCAAGATCCTTGCAGGAAAGAAAGTGCATTGTTGTTGCAGCTGACTCAAAGGAAATCAAACCTGAATTGTGTGCGTGGCCTGTGGAAAAGCCCAGATTACTTTTGCTGCCATATGCAGAGGATCAACTGATATTTGCTTTCCAAAGGGGCAGGAAATTACCAAGAGACAAGGAAGGACATTGCTTTAGGAAAGGGGAATATTGCAATATAACTAAAGCTTTTAAAGGAGATAAAATAGGACTTTCAAGCTAAAAAAGTGAATATGAAAAATGGGATATCATTTATGATCAGCAAAAAAAGGAATTATCCACAAGAAATTTAGAACTACAAAAATAACAGGAAGATAACAGAGGTTATAAGACCCAAAACAGTTAATAAGAAAGAGCTGAAGCAGGTCTGACTGCACTTAAGACCGCTTCTAAACCCAACAATGAGAAAGCTGAACGTTAAACAGTCCTCCTCTTTCAAATGAGTCACATTAAATACAGAAACTAACATCTTTAGTCAAAGGTTTCCATGTTTTGTGTGAATGTGCCAATTTCTTTCCTAATGTCCATTTGTCAGTTTTGAAAACTGACAATGTTTCTTTGTTTTTGAAATACAACTCACTGAAATAAACTAGATATGTTACAAATATATTACAAATACAATTATAAAACACTCAATCTTGCTCAAATCTTCCATTTAGGGATAAAAGCCACATTTAGCAGCATTGCACAAATGTCTAATTAGTTCTAAAATATCAGTGTTAATAATATTCTAAATATTTTGGTCCTTGTAATAAAGAGAGATAATTAATTGCTCAGATTGAATACATATCAGTTTAATCTAAATTGTATCATAAAAAATAAATGATGAACTTTTCTCCTGACATTTATTCAAATAAATCAAATTAAGCAAACTAGAGAGAAAGTGTACCCTTAGTGTCATAAAGTCTTTTTTTTGTGAACAACAAGGTAGAAGTGTTTAATGCAGAAATGTCCACCACTTTTAAGTACTTCATTAAATTATGTATTAAGTACTTAATTTAAGTATTTATTAAGTACTTAAAAAGTGGAATAAAGGTTCTGGTGAAAAAGAGAGACACACAGGGATATTTTTTGCTTTGTTTTGGACAATAAAACATAAGCAATTGTCTAACCCTAAGGAAATAACAAATACATAAAAAAAATAAAGAAATAAAATTACGTGCTTACCATTCCAGATGCGCAATTGGCCACTTCTGTCATTGCGCAGAACCAGACAGATCAGTCCAGGATCTCAGGAGCTCCTCAATGATAATGTTACCCCTCCTTCTAATACTCCTGGCATTCCTACCATGAACAATCCCTTCAACTGTTTACGTCTAAGCAAAGTCCTATAATCCAGTGTTGCATTTACGCACAGAAGTGCAACTAAAAAGCAGACGCAAAACTTAGAGAAGAAGAAAAAATGCCCGGCGGCCTGAGCTGACTGCGACCAGAAGAGGAATGCAGCAACAGCTGGAAGCAGAGTTGGACAGGGAACAAGGGGAGGGAGTGTGTCCGCCTCTCCTCCTTGCCCCCTCACACACCCAGAGCGTAATGTGCAGGTGTTAACAGACCCACACTTGACCAACAATGAATAAAAGTGCTTAAAAGTGAGCCAGACAAAGCAGCATGGAAGACAGAAGGGGAAGGCAGTAAGAGGCAGCATTCCTCTCCCTTTACTTGGTTGGCAGCTGGAGATAAGAAACCAAGATAGGTGTGTTTTTAGTAATCATATTACATTAGGACTACATTCAGGATATAATCCAGCTCTCACGTTGCAGCCAGTTTATCAGCAAATAAGATTATGTTTCAAACACTTTCAGATGGTCAAATATTTAAATCAAAAGCGGAATTTCCTCCACAGAAAATTCATATTAAAGCAAACAGTGACGGAGATTTGTAGTTTATCTAATAAAGGTATTAAATGTTCCTGTAAATATAAGATAAAAAGTTAGAAATTACAGCTTCAAAGAGATGGATGCTGCATAAACATTTTATGTTCAACTGGCATCAAGTTGAGAAATAAACAAGGTTCTTAGCATTGTATTCCAGATAGCCTGTGAGGAACTGCTCTAAAAACATTACAAAAAAAGCGGAAACACTAGTGTGCTAATTGCACGCTCGTTGAAGTGCCTCAGACCTGGTCAATGAAGAGCTGAAACCAATAAGTTTTACTTAATGGGATGTCAGATATTTATATTTATAGCATAGCAGCTCTGTTTCACTTTAGTCACTGGATCAGACGCAGTCTAGGGAATGGTTGACTTTATGACTGCTAAAGGGTCCCACTAACCTGGGGACACCCAGAAGCTCCTCTTCTGAGGGTGTGTTTCCTTATATTACTCTGGTTAATACAATATTTTGTCGGCTCTGCTCAGAATTCTTCGAACCTCGCCTAAAGTGTTAAGGATGGTTCTTGTAAAGTAAAAACAGTAAAAGCCAAGAAAAACTAAATATATTTTTGAATTTTGAAAAAGCTATAATCAATGTACATTTTTCTCCAGTAAAGGCACTGACGATGGACGTGCATGGACCACACATTTGTTTTCCTTCAAATGTCAAAAATGAGATGACATTTTGAATTATATTGTATTTGAAAACTGAGACTGTAAAATGATGCATTCATTTGAGAGTGTGAATATTCAGAGAGGCTTGTGTCTTTCTTGAAAGTTTTCAGATATATTTTTTTTCATTTTGACAGAGCATTAATTAAAATACTGAAGATAAAAAAATGCTTTTGGCTTGAAAGCTAAACAGGATACATGTACAATCTAAATGAAACAAAATCTCATTGGAAATAAATGGAAGTGATAATCACACTAATGTGTTGATATCGTCTCCACATTGACCCTATTTTGGTTTTACCTTTCTTATACCCCATCCAAAATAGTTAGTTATCCTGAGCTCTTTTCTGTATTTGTGCTGCTATATGTTTGTGCTGCTGGATCACATAGGGGCCACTTTTCCTCATTCTGCTTCATTCTATGTCTATTCACCCATTCTGCAGTATTTAAGTTCTAGTCATAACTTTATGTTCTCTTTGCTTTTGCTCATCGTAGCTTGAACTGGTCTTTTTCTCTTAGTCTCTTACTCCATCCTGGAGTAAAATATCAACTGTGCTGCTGCCATCAACAAATCTGATTTTAGATGTTGGAGCTTGGCCTGTTCCCCGTGTAATCCTGTTTCTTCTACAGTGATTCACTGTATGTGCTGTCTTTTATCCTCTGACAAGAGAATTGTCTCTCTTGGAAGGAGGAACCTGTGGAGCTAGTTAATGGTTACCTTTTTTATATCTGCTTCTTTTTGCATGTCTGCTTCTGTCTCCTTGAACCCCAGTCGGCCTCTGTAGATGGCCGTTCACTCTGAACCTGGTGGTGCTGGAGGTGAGGGATTGCTGAAGAGTCAACCATAAAATACAAGCAAAAATTATTGTTGCAAGCTCCTTCATGAGGAGCATTTCTTCTAAGTCAATTACTGGGTTTCCAAACCAATCTGACAGTATTGTCTCTGTAAAGTGCCTTGAGATGACACGTGTTGGGAATTGGTGCTATATAAATAAAATAAATAGAATTTTTGAAGCAAAACTACAAACTTTAAATATATTTCAACAGGAGTCAGTAAAGTTGTCTTAAAATTTCAGAACTAACGTAATTCTATAGTCTTATTGGTAAACAAGCTGTAATGTCTTGTTTAAATAATAAATAATGAATGGGAATATTAACTCAAGACAAACCGCAGTTCTTAGCTATGTAAATGGTTGTAGATGTTTTGTACCAATTTGAAATGTATGGATTTATGTACATGATGTCGAGCCAGATATCACTCGGACACAGGCTGGTGTCATTATTTAATGTTTTAAAGATTTTTCTCACTTTGGCCAAGCCTTTTGCATTGCACAATTCGACTGCAGTGCAATGCAAAATGTGTTTTTGTGGCAGAACAAAAGTGTTGCTGTGAAAAGTTCAGTTCAAGAAAGAACACACACTGCACTTTCATCCAAAATAAGTGAAGTGTGCTGACATCTTGTTGTGTTTTCTCTTAGGTAAAGATTTCATCCCTTAAAAGATCAACTTCTTAATGCACTACATTATTAAAAAAAAAAGATCATGAAGCGCAATTTAAAACTTCAGGGTGGATTCATTGGAATGTGTTTTTTAAGTATATTTTTGTGAAAAGTGGTTCAATCTAAAAAAAATCACAGCATGCTTGCAAAAATACAGATACAAATCAGGCTTTGAGACAAGTTCAATCATCATGTTTACTGATTTTCTGTGTCTACCTCTAAGAAACGCTCTGCCGCAGAAATGTCAAACGATGTAGGCTGGGTTTTGCATGTGTTGGATGTGTTTTGCATTTGTTGGATGCACAGTAGGAAAAGGATCCCAACTACACTCTCATTTATGCATTTTTCTGGGGAACAAGTTTGTCAGATTTCGTTTCGCAATATTTTCTTGCCATCATATAAAAGTAGCTGCATTACACAAAGAGCAATTTTATGCTTTGTCATCATTAAACAAAAACTTTTATGCAAGAAGAATTTGTTTTTGTTTTTTTTTTCTCCTGTGCTTGCAATTCACATGTTGTACAGTGCAAAATGTGCATTTGTGGTAGAACACCAGATTGTAGTGTAAGACTTTATTATACATAAAGATAATGTTGAGACTGAAAAAATTCCGACAGAGGCTTGTGTCCTTTAAGATTTTCAGATTTTGCTCATTTTGGTCGAATGTTTTGCATTTCACTCAACTGTTGTGCAATGCAAAATGTGCTTTCGTGGCAGAACAAAAGTGTTTCTGTACAAATTTCAGTTCAAGAAAGATTTAACTCTTGGTGTAATGTTTTGTCCCTCAGGTACAGATTTAATCTAACAAGAAAAGAAAAACGTCTTATTTTAACCCACCGCTCTTTCTTAGCATTCCATGATGCGTAGATACCATTAAGTCACCAAAATTAGTCATCGGAAAGGTTTTGGACTTACAGAATCAAATTTATTTGTTAGCCTTCTGGAACTGCAGGAAGCACACACTGTTAGGACTACTCTGTGCTTTAAATATTTACAACACTTCACAAGGGTTGCATGCTAATTTAAACCATTTAGGGCTTATTTACCAAAGCATGCGTGGAGACTTTTGTCTCCGAGCAAATACAAAGATGCAAAGTTAAGTGTTACCAGACTATTGCCACCAGAAACATCATTGCAGCTCCTTTAAAAATTCTTTCTGCCCAAATGTTTCCAGAACCTATTACACAACCACGTCTTCATGGGTAAGAAATATCAAGCGTTCCCAGTGACATCATTCCAAAGCCTGTGGGATTAAGTTAGCACCACAGTGACTGAGTGCATTCCTTCAAGAATTCCATTATTCCCTTGTGTTTCCAAAATATGGTGCAGGAAATCTACACCTATAAGAAAAGGAATGTTTGTCTATAGGTCATTGTGAGGTAGTTAGGTATTTATTTCATTCAATAGATTCTAATATGCTTTCAGAAGGTTATCTACTTCCTCACTTAAAGTGCCTTGAAATTTTAAGGCTTTGTTAACACTAGACCAGATGAGCGAGGTTAATAATCTCTAAGTGGGATTAACGTTACATTTTTTCTTTTACGTTTAAATGACACAAGTATAAGACAGGCTTGATTAATACAAGTTTGTCACACTTTATGAAACATGTTTAGCTATGTTTATACGTTTAGGAAATATGGTGATGTTGCTATTTTTTTATAATTCCTAATTGTTAATGACATGTACTCTTATTGCACCTTTTCAAGCACTAAACATATGTTTATTTCTTCTTCTGAAAGTCAATCCTGACCAATGATTATTCAATGACTGTGTTAAAAGCGTGAAAGCTGTTTGTTACAGTTGTTAAAAAAATGGGGCTACTGATCAGAGAGAGTGATGGACTTAATTAATCCACACTTCATTTTTGATGACTAGATATTTTAGTTTATCACGATAGAACTCCTGTATGTTTTTTAATGGGGTGGAAATATTCAGTCATGTTTTAAGTCATAGACATAATGTGGTTAATTTTCCCAAATTTTCAGCTTCTTTGCTTGATTTATTTAGCCCTAGTCTGTCTTTAATCACCTTTAATTCATTTAAAGGAAAGGTAGTCATAAGATACACAGTCAGCTGTTTTTACAGCTGAATAAATATCCCAGTCTCTAGTTGGTTCGGGCATACTGAATATTTGTGTGTAACAGATGTTGGTGACCTGGTTACCTCCGGTATTTCATGTCACGAAACGGAAATAGCAGACATTAAATGAACCAAACCCAAGTTTACTCATCTGTTAAGTGTTAAACCATTAGACCCACCTGGGACAGATGCTTAAGGGTGCTTTTCCTTTTCTTAACACGTTCAAACCATCAAACCAACTGCGACAGTAATCCTTGCACACAAATACTAATAATAAAACTGCAACCATGTTTGGTCAGCATGGAGAGGTCTGCTGAGAATTTCTGCATAGCAAAGTGTTTATACTAGGCTGTGTGGAGAGCAGAGCTGAAATAGACTGATGCTGTGGATTCATTGAGAGAAAAGTGAGACATGACTGGAAATAAATGCCAAACAAAACAGAAATGTGATGCATATGGATTCAACTTCAAAGAAAATAAAATCATTCAGTCAAGTGAAGAAGTTCACTCCTAAACAAGAAAACTGATTATTTATTATTATTACAAAGGGTCTATCCTTAGTTGTCACTCACGCCCTGGAAGCCGACGTTGAATACAGTAAAGCAGGACACTGGGAGAAGGAAAGGGGACCAAACCAAACAACAGAGGAATGCTTTCAGTTCAGTTTGCTGTTGCTCTCTGTTCTCCCACTTGTCTTCCATGGTATGTGTAATTACAGCACAATTAAAGTGCCTCTGCTCGTATCTCAGTGTGAGCGTGGACCTCATAGTGCTCAGTGACCACACTCAGTCGTGTCAACAATGTGGCCTGGATAGAGGCGGGCACTTAGATAGGGTGTGAAGAGAAGTGACAAAACAGACATATTATGCAAAAAACAAAACAAAAAAACATCAGAATTCTCTTTTAGATCCCTCTGGAGAAAACTTAATTCAAGTATTTGTCATTGTTGAAACTAAACCCTTCTCTGTTTGTCACAGTTGTTTGACATATTTAAGATTCTGTCAAATTGCTGATTCTCTTGCCTTGCTCCTCATTTGTGTTTAATTGTTATTAGAAAGCACAGGCTTTCAGAGCAGTCTAGTCAATGGCATTCATAGAAATCACTAAGTCTGCAAGGCACAAGCCAACAAACAGGAGCACATACAATGCACATAACTCTAATATAGATGTTAATATAGAGATAACACAGTTACTAAAGTTAGCATGCATACTTTGATATGTGTACAGTTTAATGGCTAAGTCTGCTTAGTATTTTCCCAGCATCCCTTTGCATTGAGGCTGCTTATATTTTTGCATCAAAACCAACAATTTATAACCATAAAGATGTATAGATGTTTATTTTTATGGGTGCATATGTTTTATGGGGATTGTGGTAAAAGTTCCACACATATTTAGCCTTTCAGAGTTTACGCCCTAAAGGTGTCACCATTTATGGCTGTTGTGAAATGCCATTCATGTTGAGACACAGCTGGCCCAGAGGGCTCCCTGCCCAAAACCAAGAAATAAACAAAAAGCTGCACAGGATTTTGCCTTAACTTAAATTCATCACCAGGGAAATGTGTTTAAAAAAAAACAAAAAAACAAGCTAGACCAAATTGAAAGAATAGTTTTAATTGCATGCATTTTCTTAACGTTTACAGCTACAGTCACTATTAATAGACACTACACCCATTTTTGATTGGTAGGGGTTAAGGTATCAGTACCCCCCAAACCAATGTGAGCTTTATCATGTTTTTTGTTATTATCCATCATCTGAAACAGTCAACACATGTGACATTATTATTTATAATGAAATTTATTATTATTATTATATGTAGAATTTAAGAGAGAAATTAAAAGCTGGAGCCTCTGATGTAATGAACTTGATTCACCGCCCATTAAATGTGGAAACATTCTAGCCTGGTGCATGGGTGTGTGTGTGTAACACAATGCCAAGAAAAGACTCCAACAATCATTTTAGAGAAGTTATTATTGCCACCTATAAATCCGTAAAGACTTATAAACCTATTTACAGCCAATTGAAGTTGTCATTGAAAAATTCACAAAGATTATTAATAAATGGAAAACGTCTGAAAAGATCTGCAGGATCTTCCAGGAACGGACGGACTGATATTTCAGCATAAAGTCATGCCACATGATGCACAGAGAAACTATGAAATCTAAGATTCACCAGTTCTAAGCTGGCTTGTTGTATGATTAGGTTCACCAAAGTAAAATTAGAAAAATGACTGAAAAAGAATGGCTTGTATGAAAAGCTTGTCAGTTGAAAGCATCCTTCCTCAAAAGAAATATAGCTGCAAGGCATGGGTTTGCAAAAACGTATCTGAATGAACCACAAAACTTATAACAAGAACAACTCATTGAGGGATTAGACCAGTAGAGGTATTTGGCAATAATGATCAGCAAAGTCTTCCATGAAAACTTCCAAAAAAGAAAAACAGCAAATAAGACACATAATCACTATGTAGCATAATGGTGGACTAGTTGTGCTTTAGGTTTTATCTTGCTGCTCTGGCATTCCTGCATGTTACTGCAGTTTGCCAAGGTATGAATATAAAATGTCCATTATATGGTTATTTAGCTAGAGGGGTTCAATTTGGAGCAGTTGGTAGCACTGTTGCCTTGCAGCAAGAAAGTCCTGGGTTTGATTTCCTGCCCGGGGTCTTTCTGGACTTTGCATGTTCTCCCAATGGATGCGTGGGCTTTTTCTGAGCAACACTCACAGTCCAAAAAAAAAAAACAAGGCTGTAAGTTTAATTGGCTTTTCTAAAATGTCCTTTGGTATGAGTGTGTGTTCAAGGTTGTGGGTCTCTGAGTTGCTCTGTGATGGGCAGGTGACTTCACTGGTGTTTACTCTAGTGTTCCTTTCACCTGAAGACTGCTAGAGATAGGCACCAACCCTATTGCAACCCAGACAGATTAAGTGGGATCAGATAGATAGATAGATAGATAGATAGATAGATAGATAGATAGATAGATAGATAGATAGATAGATAGATAGATAGATAGATAGATAGATAGATAGATAGATAGATAGATAGATAGATAGATGCACGGATGGACATAAAGATGGATGTTCTAGCTTGAGGGAAACATTTTCATAAAAGAATAAAGCGAGTGGCCAGTTTGCACCAGTATGATGTGACTTTACTTATAATGACTGTTGCTGCAAGTGGAAGATTTATTTTTTACACAGAGTTGTTTATCTTTTTACTTAACTCTTTGTTGAAGAAAACATGGTAGGTGGAGGCTCTTGGGGGCTTTGATTCCCTTAAGGCTAGCTAAACATATTTCGAGAATCTTGCATGGACTAATTTGTATTAATACCAAATACAAGAAAAGCTTGTAATTTATTTTATCAAAACCTTAAAATTTTGAATATATAAATTCTCTGCCAATGTGCCTGTTTAATTCATATACCTTAGTTACATTTATGATAGGTAACACAGATAATTTTTTCCTTTTACTATTCTATAGTTATTACACCCCGGATAAATGCTAGAGTATACATCAAAATGGAGGATGTGTGTTACAGTTACTTTTCATTGCAGCAATATATGGTGCATTTTGAAAATAGAGAATTTACTTTTCTTTTGGTTTGCTCTCTTCTTTCCATAAGCTTTCTAAAATCCTTTTTGCTGTATTTGAAACACATGGGCTAAAAGACTTGTCTGCAAAAAATATTGAAGAGTTCTGGGAATATCAAAAGGCTTAAAATGTCATTAAACACTGGCATTTTATGTTTAGTCATTTAATTAGAAAGTCTAAATCTCTGCAATCAGCAGAAAAGTTACCAGCAAAAAATATGAAAATCCTACTTAAAATCAATAACGTTGCTTCCCCCTTTGATGCAATGTTATTGAAGCAGTAAACCAAACCATAAGAGCGCCATTCAAACTAGGACGTGTGTCATCTCGCTTTGTGTTCCGACTCTGAAAGCAGCAGGTTGTTTAGTTTAATTACAATGTTGGCAAAGTCAGTGAGCTCCACAAAGTCAGAGGTAATGATGTTGACTCCGTCCACCCCTGGTCGTTGAGTCTGAACCCAGGACATTATGATTGGCAGGTTTCTAGATTGACAAAAGAAGAGGGACTGTGTTAAAAAAATAAAAAAAGGAAAAAATGTTTTCTTTGTCACCTTAACCTAATTTCCTAAAACTTTAAATCATCTTTAAGTTATCTTTCTTTAAAAAGAATCTGTTTCATTGCATGTATGATCCTTCTAAATGTATTTTAAAAGTGCCAAAATGTTTTAAATCAATTTTATAACTGTAAAGAAAACAAATTGAAAAAAGAAAAAGAAAATAAGAGGTAGTGTCTGTCTGTCAGTCTGTAACCTATGACTCCAGCACTCATGCCTTAGTCACTCCTCTGCATTCCTTCTTTTTTTTTCTTCATTCCGACCAGGCACACACATTCAGAAACACATCTACTGAGGCGGCTGTATCACTTTAAACAGCCAGATACATTTCCCCGTGTGAACCTAACAGAACAAAACCTGGAAGCTTATGTGTTTATCTGCCTGTGGTACACAATCACATTTCCTTAAAAGTGCAAATTTAGACCACCTCCTGTCTCCAACTAGTCCATTTTTTATGATAACACTTAATATAACATGCTTTTTTCTAAGAAAGGTATGAATGGTATTTTCTCAGGGTTTGGATTGTAGCTGCATTTTTTTAGCCTGAAGCTAAGGCAAGTTGATATAGATCCCTGGGAATTTAGTGCAAACTGTGTAAGGATTTATTAGTTAAATAGAGATCTTATCAGATCTACATGTGCAAACGCTTAACTCTGTACATTGCAATGTGAACAGATAATGCTCTGTATGAGAACAAATAGCTGCTAGTTAATAGCGTTGAATAAGATGGGTTCAGATGACAAAAATAACATGTCCATGAAGCCTCACTTAAATAATAATCTTATATAGTTTCCAGCCATGACACTAACCTTTCTACCAGGTAATCGCGTAGCCCCCAGACCAAACCCTTGGCCACAGTGTTGACTGTAGGAGTGAGGATGGCCTGGGTGACATGGAAGGATCCCTGTTTCTTTCTTTCTTTTAAAGTAGTTTCCAGGAACTAAGAGAAAGTAGCATAAAAGAAAATAGAGATCATGCAGTATCTAATAGAATTATGCATGGATGATTGTGCAAGGTAGAGCTGTAAATGTGTTGATAATCTATTACTAGAGAATCCTCTCCTTTCAGGTTTGTCTACAGCATCTCCTTCTGTTTAGATCTGAACTTTGACCTCTAATTTCTAGACATAACCTTGACAGTTACTTAACCATTTCCTGGACAAATCTCTTGTGAGTTCAGGTTGTTTTTTCCCCCGTTGGATTCATTTTCTTTTTTCTACTTACAGACCGATATCTTGACATTTCTTATTCGCTAAAAGACAGTTGTTGTAGCTGCTGTGCATAGAAATCAGATTATTTCCTTTAAACTTAAGGACAACAGAGCAAAGTAAGAGTTAGTGTTGTTGTCTTACCTGTATAAGCTTGTTTGGCTCAGTGGTGTTTGCCCAAGGAGCAGGGATTTTATTGCCAGGCCACATGACAGGGATACCTTGTGCTGAAGGATGGTGGTAGAAAACAATAACCTGTGAAGAGGCACAGACACCACATGGTGAAAAATTTGTGAAAAAATACTCACTTAAGGGAGCATATGATATTTGATAAGATATTTTCAGATTAATATATATTTTGTTTTATAATTTTCCTGTAAGAAATCTGTATTTAGTCACAGCTTAAAGAATCCTCTTTATCTCATTTTCTACTGTTTAGACATATCTAGAATTTCCTGTTAACAATTTCAAAGAAATCATTTTAAAAAATCTGTTTTTTAAAAACATAAGCTGCAAATAATTGTTTTGAATTGGAAAAGCGTAAAGAGAAATGTCGCCACCTTCAGGTTCTAACTGCACAGCTCAACCTATATTCTTTCTGTTCTTTTGCTGTCTCCTGCTCTATCACTGATACCTTTGGGACGGAAGTGAGCAAAAGATTAGGGTCATGGGAAGAGGGATGATAGTAGCCTACTTTTATGTGACTGAGCCCTGAACTTTGTTCAGTAGTGTTGTTTCAGATAATGTAAGGATCTATATAAATGGTTACAATCTCTTTGATACGTATATAAAGTAAATGCATTTAAAATGTGCAGTATAAATAAAATAAAGTACAGAAAAGTGTTATTATTTGTTTGAGATGGTGATGCGAAAATGTATGTATAGATTATGCAAAGCATTGGAGAACTTAAATTAAACAGAGATGAGAAAATCTAATGTTTAAGTCTACGAAGTGAAAGTCAGACTGCATGGTGGAAAAAGTGTTAATGGACTGATACCCACTTCTAATTCCTTCTCAAGACTATCAAAGGTAATGAGGATTACCTGACATCCGTTGATCTGTTCACCACACGCACACCAGCATGCCGGTTTTATTTTACGTGCCATTAGAAAACTTTGCAGTATATACATTTGTGAATGGGCTCTACTTTTTAAACCAATTTTCTGATCTCACCTGGTATTTCTTCTCCCAGAGGTAGTTCAGAGTGATGTTCTCCACTGCACAGTCGCTGCACAGCTTACTGCCAAACACTTCCTGCAGCATTTCGATGAGGTACACGTGGTGCTCTGAATCCATTGCATAGTAATGATTGAAGTCTAAAAACACAACCTTTATCGAAAATATAGTCAGTTAGTCATCTAAACATCTATCTGTGTTTTAAAACATGTTAGAAGTGTTGAAGTGTTTCTCTTACCTCTTTTTTGTGTCTGCATAAGAAGGAGTTAATTTCTAACAGGCCGTCCCTCACCTTTACACACAGATAGGAGACACATTTATAAATAGATGATGCATGAAACAAAAAGTTTTGTTACTTGTGCAAGAATGGCAAAAACACCACAACTTATTGGGTCACAGTTTTAGACCTTTAACACCAAGGGACAAAATTACAACAAGCAATATACAAAACAAAGGAAATGAGGGCATAACTATTTTTTCATGTTAAAATTTAGAAAACATGGCATAAAATATTTTTCTTTTTCATTTAAAAGCTCAAATTTAATAAATACCTCATCAAAACATTTCTGCAAAAAGTGCTTTTAAGAAAAATTTGGTTCACACAAACATGCAAAATGCATCTTAATCTAATTTTGATTTGGATTTATTTATTTGAAATGTAATAAGTTAATCTGAACAGCAGGTCCAAGTTAGGTCAGAAAAGTTTTCATCTAGTGCCGCTTTTTAGGTAAAAGTAAATTCATATGCTAGAGAAGGAATGAAAGATTATAACAGATCTGCAAAAGTAACGTTCTGAATGACCCATTATAAACAAGGGATGTTTACAGCCAGCCACGCCTTTTGATACCTGCAAGACCTTCCAAGACTTTGGTTTTGGAAAAAAAATAATTCCTGCTGCACTGAGAAAAACAAAACAAAAGCTAAGATAGAACTTTACAGTAAGTTGAAAAAAATGAGACATTTAGAGAATGTGCACTGAATTTAACTTTTTTTTTTATTATATATATATTTAAAAAAAGCAAACCCAACCAATAAAATAGCACTTGAAGAAGAATAACAGCACTGGATTAAAACTAATTACAGGAAAGTGCCAGCATTTGTTTTTCTTCTCTACTCACCTTGTGTCCAAAGAGGCCATGGATGAAATAGATCTCATTTCCAGCTTCACAGGGTTTAGAAGATACTCTGAGGTCAAAGTAACGGATTCCTGCATCTAACTGCTCTCTAAACGTCAGATTCTGGGAATATTGATCACATTGCATATTACCAGTGGCTCCACATCCTTACAGGGATGCAAGTTGCATGCTGTTGGATGCATTTTGAGAGTACTACCTGTGTCATTGACCACTTCACCATGAATTTCTTGGCTAACACACTGAACATGGTGACCAAGTACTTCACATAGGTCTTCTGATCAGGGCCGACAGGTGCATGGACATCCACCCAGAAAGTGAAGGAGTCATGAGAACCTGGAGCAAAGTGTAAGACTCGTTGGTGCTAATGGGACATGTATAGAGGAAGCTTACATTTGTATGGAAACTACGGAGCAGACGAGGCAACGAAAACCAGTTAAAACTATAAAACTCTGAACAAAGGCCTCATTTGGAGGTTTTTGAAATTTTGGTTATGTGGGTCATCAGTGCCAGACCGGATATCATTCACCCCATACACACAACACTGAAACTAAAAGTCATTCCACCCTGTTGTCGAATGTTTCATCTTTCCATTGAGCATTTTATTATCCCTAAGTTCTTCTGCTCACCTGGCACAGCGAGGTACTTCAGAGGCATGGCACTGAGTTTGGAGGGAAGTAAACCCATCCAGTCGGCATTGACGTTGCCAATCCCAGCAGGTCTTGTCCTCATGTCCCTCAGGAGGCTGCCCGCCAATGTCCCAGTCAGGAAACTGCTCTTTGGTGCTGAGGCACCCTGTAAAACTCATCACGAAGCGCTCCAAATTCGGAACAATCAAAGCAGGTCATCCTGGATTTTTTACATTTCATTTTAATATCATATCTTAAAAACTAATGAAGAAAACTACTAATTTGGTTGGGACTCCATTCTGACAAGCATTGCCGGGCATCCTTAAGAAGACCGGCAGGGAACTAATGTCCACAGTAATCCTCTTAAGTGAATTTCCACTTGTTACAGCCTCTTCCCCTCCCATGCTGATACTTCTGAGCTTAACCTGGCTCGTATGTGTGCTAGAAGCATCTGTGAGAAACACGGGCACAAAAAAGGTGCAGGAAGATGAGGACATTTTCCAGGATTTTCAAGTTGTACAGGAGCAGAAATGCTGATTTATGAATTGGTTAGATGACTGTGCACAAAGAACTAATCTGATCATATGGATCAGATTATGGTGGCCACAGATTTAATGTAGAATGACACAACCAAGCTCTCATCACCAACTATCTTTTCAAAGCTACTAGGCAGACTATACTGCCTAATTAATGAAAGTCATTGTAGATAGAATAGCTGGTTTCAACTTCTTTCAAAAAAAAACTTTGACTGCTAAAAAGAATAGAATATAATTCTAAAATAAAACAAACTTGTGAAGTTAAAGTACTTATCATACAATTTTTTAAACAATCTATTTCTCAGAATAAAAGGGGTATCATTACTTTTAGATCGATAAATTACCTTACCGATAAACTTTGTACGCAATAATGTGATGAAACAAAATTTTCTTGGTATGTATTTCATAATGCAGGCTTATTAACAGAAAGGCAAACAATTTCCATTTTCTGAATTTGCTTTTTGTTTCCTGTTAGATATAATTATCTGTCTGTTATTATAAATATAACTTTCCATCAGAATAAATTTTCAATTGTCGGGAACTAAAGACATTACAAAAAGTTTCAACTTGTGCTTGCAACACAGATTTGTACCACCATAAAATTGTGGACATGTACAAAATAATTCTAAGGGCCATATGTTGCTGTCGGTCGGCATTTCAGACACACCTGATCCAATTATTACATTTTAGCTATGGCTATATGTTTGGTGTCAGATCACATAACAAACCTCTGATCACCTTTAATGTCATCAAAGAAAACCACCACCACAACATTATGCTACCAGAACCATGTCTCACTGTATAGTCCTAATTTCTTTATTTTTTTAACATAACTTGTTTTTGAAATACCGATGTTAGATTTTAGCTTAAAGCACCTTCCTCCGAGTTTCACTTTTAGCATATACTGACAGAAATACTGATGACGCCCAGTTTAATATTGTGTTTAATTTCAGGTGACACTGAAAGCTGTTCTTTTGTGTGAGACTCTGTCCACTCTGGAAGACAATTTTATATCTATGCTAACTAAAATATGTTTGTTCTTTTATTTTTTTCTTTATTATAATACATTAAATACATTCTAGGACTTAATCCTTTGCTTCAAATATTTTAGTAGCCCACCATTTTATTCTCCTCACTAATTTTCTTTACTTTAAAGTCTCTTTCCAAAAATGATTTCAGGGCTGCAATCTTAATTTATACATTTAGGCTGATGTCTCCTATAGTGTAATACATTTTAAGGTCATCTCAGGACAATCAAATCTGGTGACCTGAGATTTTCTGAGTACATTTTGCTGTGAAGCATCTGAGCTATTTAAAGAAAGCCCTCTATTAGCAGAACGTTTGATATAGATTTATTTATGAATATAACAAATTTCTCTTGGCTTAGGTTCACCAATCAGCCCAAATGTATTCCAGTAGCGCCATCTATCGGTATAAATAGCTATGCACCTCCAATTTGATTAGATTATTTTTTTCCTGATCCATAGTAGTGCATTTAGATCTTTGCAAAAAATATGGATACAATTAACTACCTAACCGCAACCACCTATTAGTTTTTTGGTATACAACATGTAGGGTTATCAACATGAAAAAAAAAGAGAACTAGGTCAAAGATGATTGATGGTTTTCCTTTTTGACATATCGGTGAAATATTATAATATTGGTAAGATATTGAAATACACCCACTGGATAAAAAAAAGACATTTTTTTTTTTTTTTTTTATCATTAAACGATGCGCGTTATTGTTCCATGTAAAAGAACAACGTTTCCCACAAATCAGTGCGGCCGCGTGATCACCCCCCTGTCAACTGCTGGCCGGATCAGTAGAGCGCGGAGTCGCGTTTGTGTGTACGTTTCCATGGAGATAGCTCACGCACACACACAACTAAAAGGAGTTTATCGTGAGTGCGTCGCTACTGCTTCTCCCTTCAGTTTATCTGGAGCTGACAGGCAACGGTTGAAGAAAGTCGCCCTAACTGGTGAGTCTAAAAACACAACAGCGGAAACTGGAAGGAAGGAAGCTGATAAGACATAAAACAAAGTGTATTTTCCAGGTATTTAATGTAGGCTACTTTAAAACTCTGCCAGTTTGATCTGTTTGTCTCTTCTGGAAACTATGGCGGCTTAATACGTTCGGATAAACTGTTTTTATTGTTTAATATAACTTTTATAGGCTATATCATCAGCACATGTGAAGTTTTTGTTTTGTATGAAGGACTGTGTGTAATTGACATTGATTAGCTTCTTAATGTAATGTGGCCTTGGTACATCCTAATCCCTTTAAATCCCCTCCAGCACATTTTAGGCCAATGAACCTCCGGCCTTTTTCATTCATTGTCCTCACATTCTCAGAGTTACTGGGCGATAGAGCTGCTATTTGTTTTGATAAAGTAGTGGGACTACCTTAAAAGAAAGATAAATACAATCCCTGGGTTGGAAACACAATATTTATTTGTTAAGATGTGTCACATTCACAACACATGTCATCTCTAGTTACTTTACAGGTCACCAGATTATACAGTCAAATTGATTCAGAATTTTCTATCTAAGGAAAACCAGTTGATTGCATTGACTAATTGACTTCAGCAATCCCTCACACTAAGCATGCCTGTAGGGACAGTGGAGAGGAAAAACTCCCTTTTAACAGGGAGGCCGACTGGGGTTCAAGGAGACAGAAGCAGAGATACATATATATATATATATATATATATATATATATATATATATATATATATATATATATATATATATATATACCACTTTTGCTAGACTCTTTTGCAGCTGTAACACCACAATTTCCCCATTGTGGGACAATGAAGGGATTTTCTATTTTATTTTTACATACATTTGCCTTTAAATGATAAATCATATATGGATATTTAAAGTACTGCAGGGATTTTCAGCATACATGCATACACACAGTATAAATAATGCATCATCCAAATGCTGTCAATGTCTTTTCTCAGAGGAGTCATCCCCTGAGAATCAGGGAAGCTTAGGAACTGCAAAACTTTCTAAAGAAAAAAAAAAATCTGAAAGAAATCTAAATACTGTGTGCGCGTTGAAGTAGATGTTCTTGCCGATGTTTTTTTAGAAAGCCTGACGAGGTAACCGGTTGATATCAGCTTGTTAGGCTCCCAGAGTGACATAATAAAAAGTAGAAGAAAAAAAGGGTAAAATATTCTGTGCAAAAACTAAATTTAGCAGGGATATATTATATTTCCAAGTCTGGCACTGAACTGTATGAATTTCATTCAGAATAACACAAAAACATTTTAGATAACTTTTAGATAAATTTTAGAATATAATACATTAAGTCAACTATTAATATTGTTCGTTTTATGTCAGAACAACCAAATTATGTAAAAGCTGTTACTTTTAGAATGTTTGTAAACACTGTAAAATTTAAATAGCTAAACTATGAGATTCTCTCACCAGCCCATGCCTGTTACTAAGATTATCACATTTCCATAATAAGCTTTGTCTGAAAACAAACAGAAATAAACCAAAACATGTCCATATTCATTGGAATATTCAAGTAGCATATCAGTTCCTCGCACCGTGCAGCAAACTAAAGGAGAACAGGAGATATGTTTTGTAAACTCTGTAGCTCTGGTCCCTGTAGTTTTTTCTGAAACCCTCAGGAGAGATGATTTGCATGAACATAACAGCCAAACAGTTTGATCACTTTGCCCTGTGGCGTCAATCAAATCCTCTTGCCAGGCAGGGAGGCTGGGGAGTGCTGTGGACGCTGGTAAGCATGTTGGTGATGTAACAACCTATTTACATCTCCTGAGACTAATCCCTCTAGGGCGATCTGTGTCATCACACTGGGGGTTCATCTCGCAGCTTCCTACAAGACTAATGTGCTGCACACCTGATCCTTCTCATTTAGGCAAGCAAGCAGGAAGTGGAAGCATCATCTTTGTCCTGACCTAAGCTGAGTAGGTGTATGTTAATAATAGTGACATATTACTGATGGATTTCACTTTATCTTTCTTCTCAGATGCGTCTTTTCTGCAAACTTGTCTGCATCACGAAGATCCGCTCCTTATAAAGATGGACAACGGACTGCAAGATCACATTTAAGCTCTTGACGAGATTTTAGCTGTTGGAGTGTTTTTGGAAAAGGAACAGGAAACTTTTGAGTGCCGGACTGTAGTCTACGCCAGAGAAAATGAACAGGGAAGATATTTGAGTAACACATTTGAGCTGTGTATCTAAAAAACAGAAGTGCAACCAAGAGGCTGATGAAATCGCTTTAAGAGAAGATGAATTGCTACACGATCCTGAAGCAGCTGGGCGATGGCACCTACGGCAATGTGCTGATGGCGAGAAGCAATGAGTCTGGAGAACTTGTAGCTATCAAGAGGTAAGGATTGAATTTATCATTGAATGTTGGTGACTATTTTTCTGCCAATTATAAAATACCTATCAAGAATATAATTTAGACAAATTAATAATATGACACTTTTACATTATTTTGAATAGCAATCTTTTGAGTGATTATTTTCATTGCTAAAATATGTTTTTGTGCATAGTAAATAAAAGGAAAAAATACATCTAATGTATTTTACTAAAGACATAGAAACAAGCAATATAACATTGATGCTAAAAATGTAACATATGGATTAGTGCGGTTATTAGGGCTGCAACTAACGATTATTTTAAAAATCGATGAATCGGCCGATTATTTTTTCGATTAATCAATGAATCGGACAAAAAAAATTTTTTATATTAACCTCTTTATTCCAAAATAAACATTTTAGACAAACAAGCACACAAGTACAGGTTGCTCATTAACTGTACTGGTGCAATATGAAAAAATAAATGTTTGTGTAAAAACTACGCAAACTTACATGAGAAATGTAGCTGTACATCCACAAAATATAGGCTACTTTGTTTCATAAAGCGCAAAAAGAGACAGGCATTTTTGTTTTTTAAAGCCCCTAAGGGGTTCAAACAATAGGTCCCCCCATTTCAACAAATGAGTTTTTTTAGACTAGAAGAGTTCTGCCTTTTAAGACAGGAAAGTATAGCAGTTAAAGTTGCTACTTGAGAAAATACTGAACCATAGAGATAAAAATAGCCCTGTGATTCTAATTATAAATTGTATTTGGAATAAAAATGAGAGAACTAGGGGTGGTAAAAAAAACACATCCTCCAAAGACAGATATTTAGACTTAGACTTCTTTATTTGTCATTTTGTATGCACAGGGTGCATACAGAACGAAATTGCGTTACATACAGCTTATGAACGTTGCATTGATATTTCAAATATCAATGCAACGTTCATAAGCTGTATGTAACTTATGAACGTTGCATTGATATTTACATGGGAATGTGGCAGATAATTAATTGACATATTACTGATCTTGCTGGATTTTGTTCTGCTTTACTTCCATAAATTGCAGGATCTTCTTTTCTTTATCTTTGCCAGAAGATTTAAACTTTAAAAGCCTTGCCCTCATAATTTGCAAGTTAATTTATTTATAAAGAAAATATAAACGCTGCTTAAACAAATTTAAATGAAATTAAAAGTAAAATAAGTAGCCAACCTTATCACTGTCTGTAACCTACTAACAAGGTAAGGAAAGCATCAGATGAGCTACCTGAGAAACTAACGTTACGTTTCCCCTCTTTAAAATGAAACAAACATGGTTACTCATCCTGCTGATCAGCTCTCTTCACTGCCATTGAAGGCTCCAACGTGTTTTCTTTTCAGGTGCTGCGTCATAACAGTGGTGCTTCCGTGCCATGGTCATTTGTTTTTACAAAAGTTGCATGTTACGACTTTTTTCACTTTACAAAGCGCAGGCTATTTTAATTATTGTGATCAATTTGCGCCGTCAATCCCGGCGCATGCGCGCTTCATTTGCAGTCTGGACGCTGAGGGTAAACTCCTCACTAAAATCCTGCGGCTCTGACTCTGACTGCCGCGCTGAGAGGGATTCCTGTGGGAGAGGGAGAAAGGGGTTGGGATGGGGGAGGCGCCCCACGGCAGGCAAAAGCCGCCAGTGACACCGTAAAAAGTCGCCAGATTTGTCGCCAGTCGCTTTTTTGAAAAATAGTCGCTGGAGGGGTCTGAAAAGTCGCTGAGTTGGCAACACTGCAACTGCGGCGCTGACTCGCTCCGCCATATTTTTTTTTCTTCCCCCGGATGACGGCGGCGGCGGATGACGCATTAATCGCGCGACACAACTAATCGATGATTAAATTCGTTGCCAACGCTTTTAAAAGTCGATTTTTATCGATTTTATCGATTCGTTGTTGCAGCCCTAGCGGTTATAATGTTATCTATAACAGGTTTGTTTTCATTTTGGCATTGATAAGACTGTATCACAATTAGAATTTGAAGTTAAAATGACAAATCATATATATCGCTTTCAGGAACTAGTTATAAATGTTATTTCAATCATCCCCTCTGGGAAGCTGACCTTCATTTGCAGGGCAACCAAATTCAATCTGTGTAGCATGCTTGTAAAAAAAACAACAATGTTTTTAAAACAAAAAACACCCCAAAGGTTTGCAGCCATAGTTATTACACAGCTAGTTTATTAATTATAAGTACACATCTAAGAAAAATAAGTGACGAATTGATGTTACTCTGAGCTATGGAAGGCTAAGAAATGCATTGGTAAAAAAAAACAAAAAAAAAAAACAAAGCATAATCTTCAAAAAATAAATTGCCATAAACAAAAAATCGGATTCATCAAATTGAATTGATTAAACGAAAACCCTACTCGGTGGTTAATTTGTATTTTTTGCATTAGAGCCTGCAGCTGGTTGCTTCAGACATTTCATGTGTAGCTTGCTAGTTGTTGTTTTAAGGCACTGTTCCTTTAAAGTCGTAGGGAAGTAATATTTAAATTTCAAATCCTTCTGGCTTAAACATGTATGTAAATGTACTCTTTATCAGACCATGTTGTCCCAAAAGTTAGAAAATTTCTATTTAAAAAGAAATCCTGTCCTAAAATCCGTGTTTTTTTCAGTTATGTTATGCAGGCCTGTTAGTTATACGTCAGCTTGTACACCTAAATTCGGGCCAGTCGTATATCAACGGTCATCTGTCAATCAAATTTTTTAGGTCATAGCATCTTGATTCATATGTCGCAGGTAATATACGCAATGGTTGAAATAAGAAATCAGAATCCTTTCCATTCCCATTGAGTTACGTCCCAGTGTTCACAGGGATGGACGTCTGTGTCTTCCGCAGGCTTAGAGCTAACAACTGGCAGCGTTGCGAGGCAAGGGCTCAAACATGTACAGCTGTAAACCTTCTACACCAAACCAAGCTTCTGCTGCCCTGGCGTCCTCTTCCACAACAACTTTGTCCCCGCTTTTCTCCTCTAAATAAAAAATGTACAATGGAGGAGACTCATCCACGACCTCACAAAACTCTCCTCTTGCATGTTTCCGCTGTCCATAGCGTTCCTTGACAGTGACATTTCTACGTCACCAATTTAGTGCTACTTGGTCCCAGTGGAATTTCCCATTGGGAACCTACTAGCACTAAGTTGCTAACTGGTTAGCAAGATGTTTTGGACAAATCAGCTACAACCAAACTTGTTGCGAACCTTCCACCACAACAATCCTGCCCCCTTAATAATCAACCAGTCGCATTCGGTTTATTCACTGTAAAGTCAGGCACCACTCTGGAGAATTCGGAAGTGCAACTGTTGGAACAGCCGCTTCCCTACGACTTTAAAAAGAAAAATAGGTGACACTTTTTACTTTGTACTGCATGAGTATCCACTTTTTTTAAGACCAGAAGTATTTCCAGATATAAATTTGCCTTTCCTGTATCTAAAGGAGAAGTATAGGAGCCATCTTTAGCCAACTGACCAAGATTGAGCAGCAACAGGTGGGGAGGGCCATTGCTACTTTGTTGTATTTTCCATACAACCTGAATGAGTCTGCACCACCTCTGGCATTTCATTTAAAACATTTGGAATTATATAAACGGTCTGTTTTAAAACCTTGGTATTTGCTTATACCGATTATCTTGTACGTTATAGTGTTATACATGTTAACATACAACTCTTTGAACTGTTTAAAGTGGCTGCACATTGGAGTAGCTTTGCAAGCTGCACATTAGCTGCTCTGTAGATCAGGTTTTCTTTTTCTGATGTTTGTTTTTGTCTATGGTGTTGAATGTTGTGAAACTGGAAGGATTATAGGGATATCTTTTGTTATTTTTAGACACTTGATATGATGTGTAACCATAGCTACCATGGCAAATTAATTTTTTTTTTTACAGATGGGAGCATTTCATTAAAAAAGGAGGTGTCAGGGTTGCAGAGCAGGAGTAAGAAGAGAAAGGAGCAAGAAATTCAAGTCTTCTCTTCCATCAATCATTGAAATATGATATACAAGCCTGAGATAATTTGTTTATTTCAGGTTTCTTGAGATCAGTAGTGCAAATAAACCAGGAGTTTTTGTTTCATACACATAGCCACAGTGTTCAATAATAGACAAGAAACCTGGGTGAAGGCTCCACTGGTTGTAGTCTGATTACCATGCAAGATAATACATGGAGTGACGGTAAAAGGCAGTGAAAGTGTAGAGGGGGCGTGTCAGGTTCCTGAGAGTGTGGAGGATATTAGGAGAAAAAGATACGTATGTGCTCACTCTTTAGCTCTTATGTAATTCCCAAGAGAGAGAGGGATATTGTTGATTTGAGGAGATAAACCCATGCCAGCTGCCACACAGCTCCTCACGTGTTTTGTTATATGTATTATATAAAACAAACCCAAAAAAAAAGAAACTGACAAAACAAACAAATTGGTTAAGTCCACACTAGAAAAAAAAGTCATGTTTGACAGCAAGAGCACTGTTACTCTTGAAGTTTTGCTCTTAAAATAATGTTAGCTGTAATTTGACATCTCAAAGGAGCTGCATTATTTATGGAGAAAGACAAATAATAGTACTATGTAGTCCATTTGTTGTTACCTGGAGACAGGGCGTCTCTTTTTACAGCGTCTCTATGCAGCAGAAGCTCATTTCTCTTTCCTGTCGCCTAGGATGAAGCGGAAGTTCTACTCATGGGAAGAATGTATAAATCTAAAGGAAGTCAAGGTATGGATAGCAGCATCAGTATTAGTGATTGACACAGCAGCTTTAGTATTGATGTCCCATTTAAAAATGAAGTTAGAAAAGCACTGATTGGAATGCTATTTTCATGTAGGTTGTTCCTCTCTTTAAGATAAACTAGTCTGAAATAGTCAAAGCTTTAAAAAACGACCCAACTAAAGGCTGTGAAAATTTTTTTGCAGGCTTCATAGTATGTTTTCCTGTCTTTCACATTTTCTCTCACTACAGTCTTTGAAGAAGCTGAACCATACAAATGTGGTGAAACTAAAGGAGGTTATCAGAGAGGATGATCAACTCTACTTTGTTTTTGAGTACATGAAAGAAAACCTGTATCAGCTGATGAAGGATAGGTAAGAAGACTGCAGCCGGTGTACAAAAATGTTTAAAGATGGTGTTCTATGATGATATTAAAACAACACACAACGTCCATCAACATATTTTACACATTTTATATTATAGTTGTTAGTTTAATACTGAGATATAGTAGTTACAGAGGTAGTAACTAGTTATATATTCACTTGAGTAACTTTTTTAAGATAACTTACTTGTAGGAATAGTTTTACTGTATCGTATGTCTCACTTTTACTTAATGTTCTTGTGAAGAATCACTACTCTTACTTGTTAAAACATATATATTTATAGCCTACTGAGGATTGTTTCATAAAGTTAATGTTAAAAAAATGTATTCGGAAAACAGTTTTTTTCTACCTGCTTTTTCCATTTGTAACTTTTTTTGTGCTTTTGTTTTACTCTAGTCTTTAGAATACCAGACTTTACCGACTTTTTTTTACAGACGTTATCATTTTTAAATGTTAAATCAGAGGATTTGATCAAACAGTTCTTGAGAAGTCTTCTTACCAAATACTTAAAAAAAAAAAAATCTTAACTCACTAACATTACTTGGTACCTACCTCTGGTTGAATATTTGAAATTTCTTTAAAGATTTGTTAGCGATGTGTAAACTTGCAGAGGAAACTGGTTTGTTTCTGTCAAATAAAAAAAAACAAAAAAAAAACACAGAAGCTGTTTGCTTTAGTCTAAAATCAGAAAGAATAGCAGTTAAAGATGCTATGTATGAAGGCTGTATTATGTCATGAAAGATGTGTCTGCCTGCCCCTTTAAATTCAAATATTAATTCTATGTTTACAGAAGAAAATTGTTTCCTGAGTCAGTGATCAGAAACATAAGCTTTCAGATTTTGCAAGGTCTGGCATTTATTCATAAGAACGGTAGGTACACTGTAATGGGTTCATGCCTCCAGATTTTTGGGAGTGGTTTCATTCTGCAAGATTCAGCAACACATATTTACTGTCAAAGTATTGGCACTGTTTAAAGATTAAATATGAAAGAAAACCAAAAGAATAGATTCTCTAAAGAAAAATAGCTTGATTGATTTAAATTCTTATAATTCTTGTAGTATGGGACCCCTCCATCACTCTCTTGATGGAAACATTTATCTAACTCTGGTCTAACTCTGTTTTCTGTGCCATGAAAGGATGCATGGATGCTCTTAGTTTCACCTTAAAGGCTTTTTAGGACATCTGAAAGTTTTTTTTAAGTATATATAAATTGCAAATTACATGGATAAAAAGATCCATAGAAAAGCATGTCTGTGTACAGACAATCATTCGGCAGAGCGATGCGAAGGTATTCAAACCCCTGCATGAATCAGTGCTGTTTTTTTTTATGGAAGAACTGAAAAAAAGAAAAAAAAAGCAAGCCACATATAGTTCCATTGTTTGTAATGACCAATGTTGAGGCCACAGAGAGTATGAAAAAAGAACTCTGGTCACAGAAAAGGATTAAAACAGAAAAGCATGGCAGTACTTTCAGATTTTGATTCATATTCATTTTGATAAATTTAATATAAATTCATGAACCACGTATATTCTACACTATGTAGATGCATGACAGAAAACCGCAATAAAAAACTTTTAATATGTGACAAAATTAAAAATAGGGAATGAATATTGCACTGTAAACATCCATGTGTCCTTTAACCATAAGGCATGTACCTTTCCATGCATGAATTTTACATTTTTCTTTTATGTCCTTTTTGCACCTTTCTTTTTCCCCCCTATTTTTTCCTCTTTTCTGGTGTTAAGAGAGAACAAGATGTTCACAGAGAATGAAATTAGGAACATCATGTTTCAAGTGCTGTCTGGGTTGGCTTTTGTGCATAAGCATGGTAAGGGGCTTCACTTTGTCATTTTTCTCTTTTGGAAAAAATAACATGACCTTTTGCTTTTTTAGGTTTGATATATTTCATGTAAGCAACCTTGTTAGTGTGACCAATAGGTAGGGAGGTATTATATATGCAAATATGTTTATATGTTGTTATTTATGTTAGTATGTTATTGGTTATAGCTACTAGGTATGCTCATGCTCTCTCCTAAATAAATTATATAGACGAATGGAGCAAAATATATCTTTTCAGACCATTAAACACCTTCACCCCTGTAGCTAAATTTGATTAATTTACAGCCGTGATTTTTTTTTATAGATGTTTTTCAGTTCTCCTCATGATGCAACATGCTGAACTGATGAATTTGATGTTGAAGAAAAACTAGCTACACTTAAAAATTCATAAAATATGAATCTATTTAGTAAAAAAACAAACAAACACACCTTAAAAGATTCTACAGCTGACTGATTGCAACAGAATACAGTTACCCAAAATCTGGTTAACCCTAGAATACTGGAGGAAGGTGTATGTCTTTTTATGTCATGACAAATTTGCTTTTTTTTGGTCTGAATAATTGATATAAACCTTAATTAGCCTGATCTGTCTTTTAAAGCTTATCTGACATTTATTTATTTAAAGTATGAGTGGTAATATGATATAGTAATCTTTCCTATTCTTTGCATAATATACCATTTATGTTGTTTTTTTAAAAACAATCAGAGATTAAATTCAATTTTTTTCCCTATTAAAGTTTACAAATTGTTTTCTTTCTGGTTATTGTTTTATATTATGACTTTTTGTCCCCAGGGTTCTTCCATAGAGACATGAAGCCTGAGAATCTGCTGTGCATGGGTCCAGATCTGGTGAAAATAGCCGACTTTGGGCTAGCCAGAGAGATCCGCTCCAAACCACCTTACACAGATTATGTCTCAACAAGATGGTAAAAAAACAAACAATTAATGCTAGTTGATGAATGTGATATCTAACTGCAACACATGTTTTTACTTAGAAAGTTTTACAGTTGAGATGATTTTATATCACTTCAAATCAACTTTTACATTTTGCTCTCCATCAAGGTACCGAGCTCCTGAGGTGCTGCTAAGGTCCTCTACCTACAGCTCCCCTATTGATCTGTGGGCTGTTGGCTGCATCATGGCTGAACTCTATACCCTTAGACCTCTTTTCCCTGGAGTTAGTGAAGTGGATGTAATCTTTAAGATCTGCCAAGTCCTGGGCACATTTAAAAAGGTGAGAAGGTCCAGGAGTGAAAGAGGTAGAAGTGTAGACTTGTCTTCTACATTTTGAAAATCCCACTGCAGCAATTTCTGTCTCGCTTTTTTTTATTTTTATTTTTTTACAGATGGTTTAATTTATAGGATACACTGACATTGCTAGTTGATATATAAAGTGAATTGTATCTTTAAAATGCAACGGCAGTTGAACATGTAATCGTAAAAATCTGTTTTTCTTTGTGTTCCTTTTAAAAAAGGGGCTAGTGCATGCAATAAAACATGTGGGGTTAAAAACAATCCCATTTGAGTAGTTTCCCAACCCATCGCTGGTTAAATGTTGGACAGAACACACGCTGGGTTGATTTAACCTAACAAATTGGGTTGATATTCTTAATAAAACATTTGGGTTGCTTATATAATCCAATCAAGTGTTCATATTGACAACACTGGTGGGTTATTTTAACCCAGCAAGTTGGGTTGTTAACATATATTATACATTTGGATTCTAAAATATATAATATTATTATATTATGTTATACCTATGATAATTTTTTTCATATATTACAACTATCACTTCAGTATCCTTGCTGGAGATCACAGTCAAGGCATGAGAGCAAAGAAAACTATTTGCAAACAGAAGCACAAATGAGTGCGACAGTTTCTTGTAAATAACGATTCTGTTACTTACAATGTTAACTTTAAAGAAAAAATACTGAATGCATTAGTAATTGATTTATTATTGACTTATATTCTTAGTAATTCTACAGAAAAAAACTTACAAAAAAACACAGAATCATCAGTGTGTAAGCTGACGTCTAGCTTTTTAACATACAACTACATTCATTCCATTACATTCAATTCATGAAGCTAATACTCAACAGTGCCTCAAAATCTTACGTCTTAATGACTATATAAAGCCTCTTATAACAATTTAAATCATATATGGTTAAAAAAAAAAAGGCTAAGTATGTCACAAACCTTACTTTGTGCTGAATTGAGTGTGGTCCGTCTCATCAGCTGTTGTTGAGGTACAGTTGATGGGCGGTGCTATGTTGCACATTGCTCGAACATCAACCCAGTTCGATGTCCAACTAAGCCAACACAACATTATAGAATTTACAACCCAATACAGCATCATGCCCAAGAGAAATAAACTAGTGAGTTTTCGGAATATCCTATGAAAATAACCTAATTAAATGACCCAACAGGCTCAACCCAGCAGTTGGGTTAAAGAACCAACTAGCATTTCGTAGAGAGTGGAAGTAACAACAGGTCTTTTGATAAAGTACCAAACCTTATAAACATATTTTTGAATGCATAATTTGGTACCACTAATATAATCTCTTTCCATTAGCCTGATTGGCCGGAGGGCTACCAACTAGCCACTTCTATGAACTTTCGCTTCCCCCACTGTGTGCCGACCAACCTGAAGACCCTTATTCCAAATGCCAGCAAGGGGGCTATTGCACTGATGCATGACCTCCTGCAGTGGGACCCCAAAAAAAGGCCCACCGCTGTACAGGTGAGTGAAGATCTGAAGTGAAGCCTCATATGACACCTTTGTATAATGTCTTTTTGTTAGTTTATTGGGAAGATTTTAAGATTTGCCTTCCCTTTCTCGTTGCTCTCCACGGCAAGGCCTTGTGGTACCCTTATTTCCAAGTAGGCCAATTGTTGGGGCCTCGTTCTCAGAGCCAAGAAGTTAAGAAGGTCCAGACTCGACCGATTGTTCAGAAGCAGCTCTCCGAATCAAAACCAGATCCCCAGGAGCCATCATCAGATTACAAAGCTTCCTCCTCTAAAAGCCATCAGCATCATCAACCCATTCATCAGATTCAACTGCCTCAGATTGACAGTAAAATAGATGGAGTCACCCAGGCAGTGAGTATCTTCACGAAACTCCAGCCTTTTATTTCCAGATGAATTGCGTAGAATATATAGATTTTTGTTTTTAACAGAAGACGGCATCAGTTGGCAGTGAAAATGTTATAGGGAGCAGCGGGATGGGGCTGCTAAAGAACGGCCGACGTCGCTGGGGACAGGCAGTTTCCAAGACATCGGACAGCTGGGACGAATCCGACCAATCAGAAACGGCAGCTTCCACTTCTAAGAAGCCTAGCCTGGGGACTGGAGAAGAGGCCAGGCGCTCTAAAGAGAACTGCTCACAGTAAGTGTTATCATGTCATAAAAGGTGCAGGCACGTTTGTGCTGCAGGATTCATTAGATTGTAGGAATACAGCTTATTTTTTAACAAAAACAAACTAAAACATCTATTTTTTAATCATCTAATTTGTACACAGATCCAAGGAGCAGAAACCTCTATATTCATTCAGCACAGTAACAAAAATACCCAGCAATGTTAAACTTGGCCAAACGGATATTATTCCTGGATCAGCAGCACGGCAGCGCTATCTAACCCAGTCCCGTTACCTGCCAGGTAAGACAAATAGGCAGCCTTCTATTGAGAGTCAATGAGAAATTATCTAAAACAAAATGTCCAAACACAGTTAAAAAAACAGTTTGTGGTCATTAAATGTTAAAAATATATGTAACTGTTTATTTTAGCTTTTATCACTACAAAGTAACAGGAGTTGATGTGGTTAGCACTGCTTTAGATAAGATGACTAATCTGCCGTTAAGTTGCTGTGCAGGATAATCAGCCACATGAGAGAGTCTTCCCCTCACCCCTATCTTATCAGTGCACATTTTCCAACAAGCCTTTCTGTAACAAGACATTCTGTGATTATCTGTAACACAGAATATCCCAAACATTAAAAGCTAAAATTAAGGAGTAAAACATTTATTTTGTGCCTTCCATTGGCCTTTTATCAAAACACCAGCTGGCGAATGTATACGTCTACCTCTATTCGAAACATTGAAATGTTTGGATATGAATCTGTTAATAGGGAAATATTTCTGCATTTTATTAAATAGTTGCAATAACGGACATAGAAAAGCCTCCTCCTGTATTTCGGTACATAAAAAAAAAAAAAAAAGTAAGTAATAATAAACGTTTTTCTACCAATGAAAAGACATTAGATATCACTACACTGCCTTTGCGTTTCCTAGCAGTGAAGGAGTCAATTTCCAATTTGCATGTATTCAATGCAAGAAGAAACACTCGATTTTTATGTATTTTTTTCTTTTAGGTTTAATTAGCAAGAATCAGACTCCCTCTGGAGAGAAGGGGTTGAGGGGAATGACACTGCGGGACCTGTTGGAGAACTCAAACACTGTAAATAAACCACTCTGCCCTATTGGGGGAGGAGTGGCCGGAGCCAATGCAGGTAATGACTGCTAATGCAGCCATGTTTGGAGATGTTTGATAGAGTGCAGAGGGGAGAAAACTCAGCTTCCCAGATTATTCTAACATGTAATAATGTTTACAAACGGAAAAATGGTCACGTCTGTTGCTTGACTGCTGCACAAGATATTTCCTTTTACGAGACTGATGATACCTTTTACACAACATGTGTAAATTGTATTCTTTCTGTAGTCCAACAATTATCCTAGGGCTTTATTGTCTCTTACTTTGTTGCTTTTGTATTTTTTTTTCTTACTTTTCTGTAAAACTGAATGCTTAAATTTCTCTTTAACTTTCCTGAATTCCCCCACTGTTGGACGCATATTTCTATTCTACTTTATTCTTTAGCGGCTAAAGTACCACCAATGTCTTTGGTTCAGGACTCTTGAATTGTCCACAGCTTTAAAGACAGGAGACATCTATAAATCATTCGTTGTGTAGACAGTCACACAATAGCCACCTCATTCCTTTGCTGTCCTTCTTTCACCTCAGGTTTTCCTTTCATTATCTATGTATGAGATGCAGTCTGTTAAAAATCAATTGCTCCCTAAATATCCACAAAGTTTATTCACCTCTCTTTACCTTTTCTTCTCCTGTTGTTTCTTTGCTCCTATTTTAACATATTTCCTTTTATAATCATTTTCTCTTGCTTTTTTATTGCATGCATATGCATTTCTTCTCCTTCTCTACAATTTGTGAGATTAGAAGAGAATGCCTCTAAATCTATGGATAGCACTCCAGAGAAAACTGTTATCAAAGAACGAATCCTGGAGAAAACGGATCTTCTAAAAGGTGCTTAAGTAAAAAACAAAACCTAACATTTTGGCTGTGTTACGGTGTGTGTGTATGTGTGTGTTTGAGCGCATCTCTGTCCTGAACATGTCTGCATGTCAGGAAGTACACGTGTGGTGGACCTAGCAGAAGCTTGCAGTATAGCTGGAGTCTTAGCGGCTGATATTGACCTCCTAAATCTTTAGGTTATGCTTAATGTATTCTGTTTATGTGTGAAACAGTAGCACATCTCGTAATCACTGTCTAAACTAGTAAAAATTGCAGGACTTTGTTCATGGTGTATTGAATAGTTTTAGGTGAAAATATGACTAACAGCCGCTGTGGCAGCAAATGCAACCTGATATTCAAGTTAAGACTTCAACAAGTGCATAAAAACAGCGGAAACATACATGAAGTTATGGTCAAGAAAATAACCCACTTGCCATTTATAGTTGATACAAGTGAAATAATGTTGTAGGACAGCTATGGTTTCAGTTTTTTTGGTGCATTTTCCTTTTTTTTATCTCACAATTTTTCTTTTTCTTTTCTAGACCAGTGATGTTTGTATGGTGTAATCTTAACATATAATACCAACTCCTTTAATGGTCTGTTTTCTCTTTAAAAGGAAACTTCATTAGCACCAAATACAACCTCTCAGGTGGCTACATCCCTACCTTCCAAAAGAAAGAGGTTGGTGCCGCGGGACAGAGAATCCAGCTCGCCCCCTTGGCGGGCCAGCACTACAGTAAGACTTTCAGCTGTTATTTGTAGTCGGATATAAACGCTTTCCCACCTGTTGCTTCTTTCCATGTCAATGACACTTTTTTTTTTCTGTTCCATCACTTCATATATCTCAGTCACTAAAGTCATCCAAACCTTGTCTCTTATTTCTTTACTTTAGTCACTCTTTCTTCTAACTCTCCTCCTGATCATAAAAAAGAAAATAAGCCTGTAAAGCTCAAGCCCATTTCCAACTCTTCTTTGAGTGAAACTAATGAAGGTACTAACTTTGTAAATTATTCTGGTGGTTGGTTTATTTTTATTTATTTGCTGTTATTAAATCATTTAAAACTACAGTAGCAATTTTAAACCTTTTCTTTTAGACACCTTCTTACCAATAAAAAAGTATGGGGTTATATTCAATAACTTTGGATGTGTTTAGTCAGGATAAATTAACCTTTTAAGGGTTTTTTTTTATTGATCTGATGTAAATATTCTAATTCTAAATGATGTGATTTCATTTGCTTTAAAGAAGAAAATAACCCTTATTATAGAAACTGATGAAAACATAAATCTGTGGTACATCATCTATAGAAGACTTTTGGTGGTTAGTTACTGAAATAAGCGTTTTAATCATATTCTGACCCACTGAATGTGACTTTAGTAAGCTGCTATGTGGAAAAAACTGACTAACGTTTCTCTTTAGATTACGAAGGCTTGAAGCGGCGGGCAGACAGGACTCAGGTGAAGGGCAGCAGCTTTTCAGCGCTAGAGAAAACTCCTGGTAGCCTACTGAGCCGAGCTCCTGGTGTGCAGCCGGTCCACGGCAGGGTGGATTGGACAGCCAAGTACGGCAGAAAGTGATTATCCAAAAAAAACAGGTGGCAGCAACTGATCACCATGCTTGGGAGCTATCTTAAATCCTGAGCACCTGGATGCATATTTTATTCCAAGAGGAGTTCAACTTTGCTGCTATTACACATACTTCCTATGGTCGAATGTTTGCCAAGAGTGTTACTGTCTACGAGGAAATCTCAAAGTATTCATGGGTGATCCAGTGTAACCCAATCAAATGCATAATGCTTGCATGTTATAAATTAAACCTTTTTTAAATTTTATTTTGTACATTTGTTGTTCAGAGATTTGCAACGTTTCATGCAGGTAGCAGGATCATAATGTTCATAATGTAAAAGTACTCCTAGATTATTTGTATCATGCAATGAAATATTTTGTAATTATTTTATATTCATAAATTAATAGAAGTTCAAAGTGTAATAAAAAAACAAGTCTTGAATTTTTTTGTACAAACTACATTTCACCAAACATTTTTTTGTATTTTTGACCAAAATAATAGTGCATGTTCAATTCTGAGAGGCTGTTTTAAAACATGACCAAACTGGAGCTGAAGAGCTTCCACCTACCGCGGACGTTGCAGGCTCCTGGAGCAGCGTCAAACTCAGCTTCCCCACCACCAGGAGGTTTTTTGTTTTTGTTTCAGAAACCCAGATATTTCACCTTCTGAAATTTAATAAATCTACTGATGTATGGGCTGCAGTTTCTTAATTACCTATCAGTTATTGCTCATTAATTACTAATGTGTAATTTGTTCAGCTTTTTCTGACACCAAGAGTGGGAAAGGATTTAATGTTGTCATTTACGCAGTCAACAAATTATTGTAGAGGTGAGCTGGAGCTCTTGGCTCTGGTGGTCTGCCTTTTGGGGGAATCTCACTGATTGGCAGCTTTTGGTCATATTCATTCAGGATCTAATGAAAATTGTTTTGAATTACACACAGCAGATACAGTATTAATTCCAAAAGGAAAAATATAAATCAGAGTCAAAGTACTCCAAGATATTTGTATTATACAAGGAAATAATGAAACCTTTTGTAATTTTATATTCGTAAATTAATAGTTCAGTGTTCATAAAAAAACAAGACATTTATCATCAAACTTTTTTGTATTTTTGACCAAAATAACAGTGCATGTACAATTCTGAGATGCTGTTTTAAAACGTGACCAAACTGCAGCTGAAGACTGTTCTTGAAGAGCTTTCACCTCACGAGGACGCTGCAGGCTTCTGGAGCAGCGTCAAACCCAGCTTCCCCACCATCAGCAGGCTGAAATGAGAAATTCACACTTCTAAACAAATAAATAAATAAAATAAAAAAGACGTACTACAACTTGACTGGAAACAAAAAAAACAACTATTACTGGTTATCTGAAATCCTTTGCGACAGTCGACCCAAATACCACCTTTAAATCCCTTTTATGTTGTCTGTAGTTTGTTGCGCTATTAGAGATGTATTTCAGAACAAACCTTGCTCCTGCCATCAAACCAGCTGGCATGAACTTCCTCGACCCATAGAACCTCTTCCCCATGACGGCAGACAAAGCTCCAGAGGTAGCTGCATCATTAGACATGACAGTTAATAAACCAAGTCACAAAAAAAGTTGATTACCTTGTTAAGATATATTTTACTCAGACTTTTTCACAAAATTATTTTATTACTTTTTGGATTTTATTAATCATTTTTGACAAAAGTTAACCTGAAGACCCATCTCTGACACCATTCCCAATCAGATGATTAGTTACTATATGTGTTCAAAATATTTGCACATACCTAAAGACACCCAAATATTCTTGGGGTCATTGGAGATCTGGTAGGCTCCAAAACCTGCGAGCCCCCCAAAGAGCAGTCCAGCAGCCAGTGAGGGGACACTGCCTGTGTTGGGGAGAGAGAACAACACTACACTTATGAACCCGTCTCCATTTTATTTTTAATTTTTTTGAGAACATTTGCTCACTTTATTAAATTAGAATCCATCTGTATTATAAAATGTTTTTATTGCCTAGAAAGATGCATATTTGTCTTCAAGGAAAAGGTAAGCTTTGCTTATTTTCATGGGATTTATTAATGCATTAACTAAAATGCTTTATAAGACCTAAAGGAAAATGTTTTAACTTTGTTATAAACTGTTAGAAGAAAAAGCAAAAGCAAAATATCACTTAACTAGCCATATGATAAATAAATAGTAATCTCTGAAATGTAATTCCATTTGTTGTGAAACTGACTTTTATAAATAGGCTGCCACCATCTGCCTTTAAAACATCACAAAACAGACATTCAACAAATTCATCAGCTTTATCATAAAATCAAACTAAGATCCCACCTTCAAGCAGTCTTGTGACATTTCAGGACTTAATGTAATAACACCATCTGACATTTAAAATTTTGATTTTTTAACCACTTATAATACGTTTTTATTAATTTAACAGTTAAAACTATAGCCCACTGCTCCCCAAGGGGATGGGTTAAATGTAGATTGTTAATTTCTCCAGTGTGAGATTAAGAAAGTTCAACTAATATTTATTATTATTAAATATGAAAAATGTGGAAACACTTTCCAATGGTAGTGCATATTTGTATGGCAGACTCTTTAGTCAACTAAACAGATGGATATAGAGAAATTAATTTGAAAAAATGTTAAAACAGTGCTAAGGTAAAACACATGTTTTTTTTTTTTTGTCTTTTGTTTGTTCTTGATTGAAAAAAAAAGAGATTAGAAATATCCCTTAGCAAAAAATAATACTAGAAGTAAATTCTATTAAGAATACTTAAGTATACCGAACAATGTACTTTTGGTGTACTTGAAGTATTGCTAAAGTAATATTTATTCAAACTAAATTGGGGCATTTTTAAGTTTACTAAAGTATACTTTAGTAAACACTAAAATAAACAATAGTATAGTCAAGTACACTTGACTATACTATTGTTAAGTATATGAAATATAGTTTAGAATAAGTAAACTCTAAGTGCACTGCCTGATTTTAAGTATGAAATTAGTGCACTTTTAGTAAACTTGAATAAACTACTTTTTGCTAAGGGATTTCCTCCAAGAGTGGTGGAGTATGCAGGAGTGGTTTAAAACTTACTGAATGCACTAAAGTGAACAGACTGGATTTGCTTTCAGGAAAACATGAAACATTTCTCACCTGCTTTCACGTAACCAACGACTCCTCCTGATGCCACAAGAGTAGCATATCCATATCCGATCCAATCTACAGACATGTTGTTAGGCGCCTGGAACAACAACCCATAAGAGGATGAGCGCAAAAACAAAAACACTTGATGCTGAAAACATTAAAAGGCCTATTTAACCTGTTTGACACTAATTCTACTTACAAAGGAAGAGCCATTATTAAAGAAGCTGTCTGTGTCCTCATGTAACAATGAATTGTTAGAGATAAATAAGTGAACGAGGAGAACCAAAGGAAACATTATAACCTAAGAAATGTCCACGCTGTTATTTATTAGGAAGACATCTCAATAAACAGATGGACACATGGTTAGGTAAGCGCGTTTGGCTTAAAAGATAAGATAAACTGCTGCACAGAGCTATGCCCCAAATATTTGACAAGAACCACAACAAACACGGAGAAAATATTTACCCAACGAACACATTGTGACTTTTGGTGGCATATTAATTCAAAATGACAAGAGAGGAATGTTTAAAAATGTACAAATATAAACTGAGATCCAACCTTGCTCCTTGTTTGTCCTCTGTCCCCCACAAACCTTCTTTGTTTCCCGCCGGACACAAATTAAGGTTGCGCACAAAGCCGGAATCTTATTTGGTGGCTCACGGGAAATGTAGGAGTAGCTTTTTCATAACAGGGGGCGGTGCTGCGTTAATCAGGCATTTCAAGCCGAAACATTACTCTTCAGATAACGCAAGTTAGAATAGAAATTAAGATATTATTTATAAAAATATACTAGCTCATTAATTTATTAAAAAAAATATTAAAACAAATACTCATGAATGATTTAAATTTTTATACTAGTGGTTACGTTTTTAGGCCTTATGTTGGCTTTTCCATCGCCCACGTTATAATCAAACAGTCGCATTTGCAAAAATGACTTACAAAGAACAAGATAAAGAAGAAGAAAAAATAAAATAAAAACATGACTTATCATATGTATTTCAGTTATTATGTAAGTTAATGTTTTTATCTGAGGAAAACCTAATCAGTTTCTTGGAGAGGTAAAAAGAGCAAATAGCCTAGAAAATTGCACAAGTAACAGAAAGGACACATTTTGGTTAATATAATTCCAGTGTTGCAGAGTTTAATGGAGGGTGATAATTCTGTCTTTGGATAAAAATTAAAAACCAAGTGGAACATCACCAGCTGTGTACATTTGTTTCCTGCCGCTCCCCTCCTTCTCCACCGCAATGGAACCCAAAATGTAATGTTTAAAGTAAAAAAGAATTATAATGTCTACTTCTTGTGAAAAGTAGACATTGGGTAAAAAAATCCAGTACATCGCCACCAAAATCCAAATTAGGATTCCACATTTTCTCTTAATTTAATCATATTCCTCTGGAATCATTATGGTAACATTAAAATAACTTGACAAGAAGCGTTGATTACTTTTTTTTTAATAAAAGCTAAATGTTATTCTAATATTGGCCACGAGGTGGCACCAGAGGACTATATTAGCAATGAATCTGAGCTCGCAGGCGTCTTTTATTTAAAGTCATTTCGCTCATTTAGAATTTCCATATGATAAATAAAGAAAAAAGGCAATAAATGATGGGGTTTTATGCATAAAAGAAAAATGAATAATCCTGTTCGAACTATTTTTTTCTTGATTAAGTCAAATGTTTATAAAAATAAACAAAGAGAGAGCTCTGGTCGGTGCTTATTTATACACAATCTGGAGTAAATGCAAATTATTGTCTTATCAATTGATTACCTAATTGAGAAATTATTTATTTCAACGGCTCCCATGCAAAGATTAATCTCATCAGGAGGTTCCATAGCCTAACCTACTTTACCTTTCCGCGCACTTCTGCAGAAGAAAGGTGGCGCTAGACTACAATTCAATTATCTACAGAGAGCAGAGTTTGGATTCATAAGATTTTCAACACTTGTTAAAAAATGACTTCTGATTACTCAATGCACTTCAGCCATGGAGCGATTGGCGTGATGGTTACCGATGCTCTCCGGTCAAAGGCCACACATTGGCTCCATTCCACACCAAGGAGAAAGGTGCTCATGTGTTTGGAAATGGAGAAATAATAAACTAAATGACATTGAGATAGAAAGAAGGAAACACAGATAATCAAATTATAAAATATTTGTAATAATTAAATGAATAGAATGAAGATTAATAATAATAATAATAATAATAATAATAATAATAATAATAATAATAATAATAATAATAATAATAATAATAATAATAATAATAATAATAATAATAATAATAATACATTTCTGCTTACCCCTGTTAACCAGATCGGGTAATTTGACAGACCTTACCTGAGGCCCAGTGCCTGCTGTGTGCAGCGCCTGCAGCCATGCAGGCCCCATTCATGCAGGCTGGATATTCAAACGGGACCCGGCTCCATTTTGAGAGGAGCCAACCCTCTAAAGGTTACGCTTCAAAAGTTATTCCTCTCCTGAGTAGACCCTGAAACAATATTTCTGATCCCAGGACTATCTCTCTAAACCCCCCCATCTTCTTTGTCCAGGTCTGCGCTATATAGCTGCAGGTATTGTGTGTGTGTGTGCGTGTGTGTAGTTAAAACGTGTTTCCTTTTGAAGTCAAACATCTTGTTTTAAATATTAACACCAGAAAAAATCTATAGAGAGACTCCGCGTGGAATTATGCAACTGAGAGGAAGAAAAAGAAGAGCAGAAAAGTGAAAATTAAATAATAAAAGAATTCAGTTCTATCATAAACTTGAGTAAATGCATTACCTAAAACTTGGTTTTATATTAAAAAACGCAGTCAGTTGGTTTATAGACTATATTTGAAGCAGGATGAGGTTATCAGCAAGTTAAAGAAATTGGGGTGTAGAACAGGAACAAAAAGGGAAAGGGGGGTTTAAAACGTTTGACCACAACATCACCTATAAGAGCGCGCGCCTTTCTCTACTGTTTGTGTGAGGGAGAGTGTGTGAGTGTGAACGAGTGTGTAAGAGGGAGAGATCATTCGCTCTCAGCCCGAGGGCTTCACATAAGTATGTATTAGAAATAAACAGCGGATAAATAAATAATGACCCTCACAATAGCAGGACCCCCCCTCCCTCCCCCAGTAATAATGATGCTGGCAGTTAACCTTCAAGTTTTTTTTCCTTCTTTTTAAATTGACACAGTTTCATTTGCAGAGAGAATTCATGTTTTACACCAAAACAGATCATATAATAAAACAACCAGGGGAAGACTAAACGACTTAGAGAACGACTCTTTATTAGTCTTTTCTTCACTCAGTGCAAAGCTCCAATGAAAGTTTTACATTTTTATGCAGGTTTCTGCAGTTATAGCACTACAAATTAGGATGCATTGCACTTTCATACAGAGAAGAAATGAGACTTTTAGTCTTAATTTTAATTTGAAGACTGAAAAAAGATTTAAAAAATAATATATATATATATGTATATATATATATATATTTTTTTTTTTTTTTTCATTTGTGATTAATTAATTATTTCCTTCAAAGTCTGACAGCTCTGACTTATTCAGCATTCAACCAATTCCTTGCCTTCTTCAGGCTTTTGCCTGTCCACACCCGCGTCAGTGCGCATGCGTCAGGTGGGCCTACACGGCTTTCCTTTTTTACGGCCAGGTGAAGCGATCAGGTCCAAGTAAAAAAAAAAAAAAAAAGGGGGAAAGGTTTACTTTGGGACCCGAGGCTCAATGAGATAGACACGGTACCGGAGCGACCAAACCCACCACAGGCAACAGAGGACAAAGAATGTCAATTATGGGCAAAATGGGAGAATGGCAGGTATGTGCTGCTTATACCTTATAGGAAAAAGAGGCTGTAGCGAGAGAGAGAAAAAAGAAATCCGCTAAATGTGTCAAAGTGTTAGCTTGTTGTGGCATGAAGTTGGTCTGTAAAATCTGGTTTGGTCTTCTGCTATGTTAGATTTCTCAAACGAGGTGAAACAAAATTGTTTAACATCCTTTATTCTTATTTTTGAAGTTTTCTTTCAGGATTATTCTAATGCATACATAAGTCTTTATCTTTTTATTCTTACTTTTAAAATGTTCCTACATATTATGCGTCATAAAAGCGCACTCCTTAATCGGAAAAAGTAAAAGTTGTTCAAGTTGCATTTCTTTGATTTCTTTAACACTTTCTACAAACCAGTAAATCCTCAATCCGTGCCAGCTGCAGATTAACGCTAAAAAACTCCACCATTCAGTTTTGTGTATTCTTATTCTGCAGATATCTAAAAGTTTTATTAAAAACTGACCTTTTCTACACGACCTGGACTCTTGATCGAGGGTAAAAAAAAAAAAAAAAAAAAAAAAGAACATCAATTGGGTTTCGTTCGCTTAAACCCAGCCGCTTTGGATTCATTAATAACAAATGCCTGAAAGAAAAACAGGGTGCTCCACCAAAAATGGTAATCCGCTGGTTAAAAGCACACAAAAAAAAGAAAGAGGGGAGACAACGCCTTAAAGGAGGCCGTCGACCTGTCTGCTGACCCGCGACCTGCTGAGGTGAGGGGCTCTGCCGGCGACAGGGCAGAGCCAGGCTCCCAGTAGCCGCTCATTCAAATGAAACAGGAGCCATGTTGTTGTGTTAATTATTTACACTCCCCTCCTAAACCCTGCTACCTTACAGGTAAAGTCAATGAAGCTGCAGAGCTGTTTGGAATGGCTCACCTTTAACATGAAAGGAAAAGCCACACTCTCAGTGGGATTAAAAACAATTTGGAAGTTAGAGAGCTTAAAAAACATTGCTGGGAATTTACATTAAATACACTTAAACTAATACAAAATTTTAAAAAGCGCAATATTACCGATCAGCTTTTAGTTACTTTTTGCTTCTATGTTCTAGATTTATAATTCATAAGGTAAAAATCCGAAGCATCCGAAGAAGAAAATCCGAAGCATCCGAAGAAGTCGTCCCGGTTGCATGCAGGAGCCCCATGCATGGATGCAAACACCTCAGAAACAATAAACAAACATGTACTTATGGACTTTTTTTTTTTTTTTTTTACCTGTGCGCTCCATGTCCATTGGTGTTGATGTGGTGTGAACACATATACAAAAGGGGGGGAAATCAAACGGCTGTTGATATGCTAATGAGGCCCTGTGCCAGTGTTATTACAGAGCTGCTCCAGCCCTCCACTTCCACCATTAGAGGGAGACCTCAGAGCGCAAGACAGACAGACAGCAGCAGCAGCATCAGCAGCAGCGCGCTGGGCAGCTTCAATAAAAGTAAAGATTTGATTTTTTTGGTTACTACAGAGCGGGGGACAGCACAGTTTCACTGAGTGAAAACAAGGCTGCTCACCATAGGTACTTCCACAAATCCATGACAATGCTTTGGAAATTAACTGATAACATTAAATATGAAGACTGCGAGGTAAGAAACTTTTTGTTGGGATTTAAAAAAAAATTTTAATTAAATTTTATTCTAGATTTTTAGGTGAGTGAGGATAATTACTTTGAAACACTAATGTAGTATTTTGATCTTTTTTTATTATATCAAAGCGAAAATTTAGGTACAGATCTTATGCATTTTTTTAACAAATGTATATTTTTTTTGTATATAATAACAACAAAAATAATAAATATTAATAAAAAGAATAAAATAATAATAATAATTGCGCGAATAAAATTAAACTTCACTTTCTAATCTGTAGAAATATTAACATAAATATTGTTACTAAGAAACAAACAAACAGACATTCACTTACCATGATTTTATTTGAAATATGTATTTTTTTTTCCAGAATGCCTTGATTAAAATTTAAGTGACAGCCATATGCTTCCTTTTTTTTTTTTTTTTATAAAAAGCAATTCCTGCTGTGGTTGCTGTGGCCTTTAAATAGTTTTTTTTTTTTTTTTTTTTTTTTTTTTTTTTGAGGAAACAGCCTTCCTGCGAGTGTATGTGGAGTGCTTACTGAGTGAGTGAGTGAGTGTTGTTTTGGACACAGACAAAGTTTTGGCAGTAATATCAGAGGCTTGTTTAGTAGTGGAGAAGCCAGTTGGACGTGTTTTTTTTTTCTTTTCTTTTTTTTTTTTCTTTTCTTTTTTTTTTTTTCACCCGCCTCATGTGCGCACAGAGACGGACATGGATCTGGAAAACAACAACACCTAAGAAAGAAAGAAAGAAAGAAAGAAAGCCTGGGCAGCTTCTTGTTTTCTGTTATGTGGAGCCTTTTAGTTTGTACTTGAAGATCCTCGCGGCTGGTATCGATGCAAAAAGTATCAAAAACATTTGCATGTGAAATCCTGGAGTGTTTCGTAATTCTTAAAACCGTGTATGGGCAAGCAGGGAAGTGTTTAAGTGGTGCGTAAAAGTTCGCTCGGAGCGCTCGATCCAGCTGCTCTCACTTTTTTCTTTTTTTTAATTATTATTTTAAGAGTGTAAGGCGTTTATTTTTTTCCCCGGATCAAAGTTAATGTCAGCCGGTGTCGCTCGGAGATCAGAGGGAACCGGTGAGTACATTCGGAATGAGAAACAGGAGCCCGATGGAGGACAACTCTTCGGAATCGGAGGTGGAAAACAAAGAGACACGCGGTGAAAACGAAACGTCGTCTGATGAATTTTCACCCTCTTCAGAGGTGCACATTAATTCCCTCCTCCGATCGGCTTCTTCTTTCTGTCTGGGTCCGCATCTCTTCATTGCTATGTCATTCTTTCTTTCACTTTTGCGCTTTGGCCCTGGGACGCTTTTAAAATGCCCCCCTTCTTTTACCCCCTCTTCCTGATTCGCCAGTCGCCAGTGAATGTCCCTCTTTTTTTTGTCTCCCATTCCACTCCCCTCCTCTCTCTCTCTCTCTTTCTCTCTTTCTCCCTCCCTCTTTCTCTCTCGCTCCCCCATCTCTGATTAGATATACTGATTCCTCCTTTCAATGGACGTCATTTAAGCACAGACTCCTGCCTTGAGTTGCGTCCTCCACTTCACGCCAGATTTCCGACTATTCTTCCTTTATTATTAAGTGTTGCTGTAATATTAACAGTCATGATTGCGTTCCACTAGGAGTCCAGGAGGGACGACGAAGAAGCGACTCTATTTTTTTTTTTTCTCCTGCTAATATGAGCTCAAGCGAGGGGGACGGTATAGCACTGTGATAGAAGCCGGAGTAACTTGCAGATCCAGCAGCACCGAATAATATCTGCATTTTATTTAGGCGCAAATGACGGCCGGCTCGGATCTTACCACACCTTTCTGATGGATTATCGTCTTGCTTTCGAGGCGCATTTCTGATCCTGCGGGGAGAGAAGACTCTTTTCTGGGGGGCCTATATAATTTTTCCCCTTTTTCGCCCCCCTCCTCTCTCCTCTTTAAACACTAAGAGTGTTTTTTTAAAACAGATTTTTCTTTTGCCAAATCGCACCAAAAATCCTTAAAGATGTTAGTGCACAGTTTTTCCGCGATGGTAAGTTTGTAAGAGCCTTGGTATATTAGACTGATTCTTATTTTATTTTCCCTATGTCTTTTTTTTTTTCTTTTTTGGTTAATTTGCTTCATTCTGCGGACATTGCATGCCTAAAACCAGCGTTCCTTTTGTTGGAAAAAAAAAGGGTAAAAATAGTGGATATTGTCCAATCTGGATTTTGGATTTTTCTGTATTTTATTTATTTTTTTCTTTATGCTTTTCTTTCTTTTTTGCATTTTCTTATGTAAATATAGTGGAAAACTGATTAATTTAGGCTTTAATATGAGAGCAGTAATAAATTCATGCACCAAGGCCACAGTGCCCAAGTCATCGCCTTCAGTATCCAGCGGCTAATATAGACTGGTGCATGACTGTGAGGCTAAAAATATATGCTTATGTCTAAAAATGACTTTTCTCTTCTTCCTTGGCAGGACCGCCACGATGGTACCAGCAACGGGACAGCCAGGCTACCTCAGCTGGGCGGCGTGGGTCAGAGTCCCTACACAAGCGCCCCTCCGCTCTCCCACACACCGAACTCGGACTTCCAACCCCCGTACTTCCCTCCGCCTTACCAGCCCATCTACCCACAGTCTCAGGACCCGTACTCACACGTCAACGACCCGTACTCCCTGAACTCTCTGCACGCCCAGCAGCAGTCGCAGCACCCGGGCTGGCCGGGCCAGAGGCAGAGCCAGGAGAGCGGCCTGCTGCACCAGCACCGCAGCCTGCCCCACCAGCTGTGCCGGGAGTACCGCAGGGAGGTTCTCCTACCGTCCGGCCACGGCATCGATACGGGATTGTCGGACTCTATTCCCATCCATGGAATACCTCACCCTTTAGACGACGTTCAGGTAAGGCAGATTCTCCTTTTTCTATCTAAAAAACCATCAAGAACATGTTAGAATAAATTATATACTTTTTATATATTATGTGCAAACAATTTATATTAATTAAGTATTGCAATCGTATTATATTTTTGCAAAGCACGTATGAAGGGCTTTTAAAAAAATAGATAAAAAAGAAAAGAAATATATTTTCAGTTTTGTCATCATGCTTTTTTTTATTTATCTATTCCTAAAAGTAAAAGTCTATAATAAAAAAAAAAACCTCAAATAATATTGGAACTGTTGTAGGGCAACATATTTATTATTTTCAAATTTGAGCAATTAAATTAAAAAACATTTTTAAACCAAAATTGAGCATTAAAACCTTTGCATGTATTCGCCTCATCTTCTGCGTGACTTTTATTAGATTTTTATTCTTCCGAGCAAAAGCAGATGCAGCCTCTTTATTCTGTGCGAACAAAAACACCGATATGACACTTTTTTTTCTCATTTTTTTCTTTTCTTTTTTTTTTTTTTTTGCACACACGCTAACAAGAGAATTGAGTTTGCTGTATTGAGTTGAGGCAGCTGCGATTACTAAAGACGTATGATAAACGAGCTCCCTTACTGTCAATAAAGGCCCGTTCTTATTGAGATGACTCTGGCCGCTTTTTTCCATCAGAAACAAACACTGATCATTCTCTAATTAGTTCATATAGGCCTTTAATAGGCTGCGACTCTCGTAATTACTAACCAATCATAGATTTGAAGATTTTTTTCCCTTCCTCTCCTTGCTTGTGGAGCCAATCTGACGGCGAAATTAGGTCAGGATTGTGGGGCGAAGCAGTGCTTCGTTATTTAAGTCTGAGTTTTTGTTGCTATTTAAGTTAAAACCCTCAAAAAACCTTAATAATAACAGGTATGGGCCTCCTGAGCCTCCATGTCGGCCGATAACGGTGGCTTCTAATTGTGTCAGGTTTTCTACGTGCAGAAACATCCCAAAGCTGCATTCACTTAACATATTTTGTGACTAAAATTGTTTTTTTTTTGCATTTGTTTCATAGCCTGTTGAGGATCAAGGAATACATATTCCCGACCAGACTGTAATTAAAAAAGGTAAGCAATTTCCTCTGAGATATCATGCATTTTTTTTCCACCCTCCAAGCTTCACACACACACATAGAGCCAAGTATACACCTACATCCATTCTGCTCCAGAGAACTCAGCGCAAAGCGGTGATGCCTGACTGATCCTAATACGCACTATAGCCTATTTTTCATTACATGCTTTCCAAGTGCATCAAACTGGCTGCACCTTTTTCTTTTTTCCCCTTCCTTCGCTGATGGAATTTACTGTCAGCGTTTCAGCGCAGCGGGGAGATGAGTGGAGCTGGTGGGCTTTGTAGGCCCCTGCTATTTGACGGTCAAAAAAAAAAATAATAATAATTCTAGGCGTATATATAGAGAGAAGAATCCAATAGCTGCAATCACGCAGTATGGCCAAATGTAAAATGGATGTTGGTACCGGTGGAAAGAGCACAGGCCAAGTGTGTGCAGGAAGATAATCTGCCATTAAGGAGAGGGAATCAAAACTGGGCATGGAACAAAATTACTGGCTGTGGTGTTATTATCTTTAAATGGAATTTTCATATGTTAGTTGGTAAAGCTTTTTGGAATCATCCGTCTGGTGTATTTTTAACATCATTTGTCAAAAAAAAATGTAATGATTAATTTTGGACATGATACAACATAAGGAGGTCTTTCCGTGGCCATAGTATTTTTTTGTCAGGTCAAATTAAGATCAAGATCCAAAGATATTTTGGTCACCCTTTTTTTTTGCTCGTTTTTGTTTTACTTCAAAAAAATGTATATATATTTTCTACTTATTCCGTCACTATATCTGGGTATCAACATGATAATTGGCTTCTGATATTAGTAATCTCAAGAGTTCGTTTAACTCCTATCGTCTCCATTAGGCTCCCTTGAGCCATTAATGTCACAAGTGATCTATCCAAAGGCGCACAGTTCCCCCCTTTGTCTCCGGTTACTGCACAACAAAACGGTGTAAAGCCTTCTCCCCTTCCCCCACGCACCCCCACCCGGTGTGAATTCACACGCGGCTGATAGTGTTTTTTTTTTTTGCTAGATACAGAAGATATGTCAAAATATGTAGACTTTATTGAATATCTCTGTTCTTTGTGTGCAGCAAATATATATGTTTAAAACATGCTGTTTAAGGGCAAAGCTGCTGCTGTTTCCAACTGTGTGCTCTGAATAAGTACGGTGTTTTTTGTGTTAGAAATAAATATGGAGAGTATTTACAAAGCGTGTTTTGTTCAACTCTTCCCTATAAGCTATAATCTTTCCTTAAATAGTTAAGGCTCTTTATTGCATGAAATTCACTGAGGATATTTCTTTCTCTCTCCTCCTCCTCCTCCCCTCCCCTGCTTCCCTCCATCCATCCCTCCCTCACTGCCCACCTCTTCTCTCCCTGGCTAAAGGTCCAGTTTCTTTATCCAAGAACAACAGCGTCTCCGCCATCCCTGTAAATAAGGACGGTCTTTTTGGAGGAGTGGTCAACCCGAACGAGGTGTTCTGCTCGGTTCCGGGTCGCCTGTCCCTCCTCAGCTCCACTTCAAAGTACAAGGTCACGGTGGCTGAGGTGCAGAGACGCCTCTCGCCGCCCGAGTGCCTCAACGCCTCTCTGCTGGGAGGGGTGCTGAGAAGGTGAGCTTGTACAAGAAAAAAGTGCAAAAAAAAATAAAAAAATAGTGCAATCTCTCCCCCTCTCTCTCTCTTCATCGTGTCTCTACCTGTGCGCGCGTTTGTGCGCTCTTCTCTCTCTCCCGTGCGCTCTCCCTCCTCTGTACCAAGAATAATTAAAATCGACCAACCATGACACCTAGCTCCTGCATTTAAAGCAGGAGGGGTCTGTTAAATTCCATATTAACTTCCCTTAGCTCTCTCTCTCCTTCTCTCTCTCTTTCTCTCAAATTAATGTAGGCCTAGTCTGTTTCAAGCCCCAGCTCTGTAGGCCCAGTGAAGGCATTACACATGAAAACATTGGTCTCTGGTGAACTGTCTACTGAAGTGCTGCAGACACGCAGCCAGTAATAGCACTGCCTATTAAGCAGGACTTTATTTATTCATTTTGCTCTGTATTTGTCGGCTGGTGATGAGGCTCTTAGGGTGTTATTTATTGTTTGCACCGGGGCTCTCAAATTAAATCAGAAATAGAGTGAGTTGATTTTGTTTTTACCCAGAAAAATGTGTTATTATCTGGGTTGATGTTCTTTTTTAAAAAATATATAAGAATAAAACAATCTGCTCTGTTTTAATGTTATAGGGCCAAGTCTAAGAACGGGGGTAGATCTCTAAGGGAGAAGTTGGATAAAATCGGTTTGAATCTACCTGCTGGAAGACGCAAGGCAGCCAACGTCACCTTACTGACGTCACTAGTTGAAGGTAAGTCCAGTGTCCACAAATCAGTTTTTTTTTCTTCCTTAATGCTCCCGCTATGTCAGGTACTTTTATAAAGGGAGAAAATGTTATATTCTACCCCCTCTCTCTCTTTCTCTGTGTTGGAAATCAGCATATGCACTCATCCGTGTAATGTGGACCGACTTTGCCTCGCAAGTAATAAAGCATGAAGGATGTGCGTGTGTGTGTGTGCGCGTGTGTCAAGAGTGAAAGAGACCCCCACGTCCACGCAACACAGAGTGAATGGGTGCTGGTAATTCTAGTGACTCTGCAGCGTTGGCCCTTCGCTTCCTGGAGCGCACACGCAGGTCCACGCCTGGCCTAGTTTATCCACTGGATTAATTTGTGTTGAAGTCCAGTTAATTATTGAGTGCTGCTTGTTTATTGGGCACTGCTGAGGCTCTTTCACCTCATGGATGAGAAGTCGATTGATTTACCAACCCCGCGTTGCTTCAAACATTAATACAGTCTGGATATATAACAATGCATGAGGCAGATTATTTTTTTTTATTATTCTTTTCGTTAATAGCTTCCCCCTGCGTTGGGTTTTACAGTGAAGACATGGCATGCAAAATGGCGCTTGCATGTGCTGACCTATTGGGAGCTGAAGTATGTTTTGGGGGCCTATTAAAGAATAAATTAGGCAATTATGGTGGGCAAAAGAGATGCCTTTTTGCGCGACTGGATACATTCGTCGGCTCGCAGAGTTGAGCCTTATTAATTCAGTGCGGTGGTATTTTGGTGTGCTGCTGGTTTCCTAAAAGGTGAAAACCCGCAATGGTTCATTGGTCCCAAACCAGTTAATGATTGCTGCAGACCAGGACTAAATGTAATATTTAGGGTAGATAGTTTCGCAGAAATTTGCTCCTGTGCAGTGACGAAATGAAGGAGGGGGAGGACCAAGATTCTGATGTCAATTTATATATTTTCATAATCTATTTACCTTTATTGCCTTTGTTACTTTTTTTTCTTGGTAGAAAATGCACTTAAAAAAGAAAGAACATTTTTAGTTAAACTTAGAGATTTGTAATAGTTCGGATAATATGGTGTGTGGTATGTTATTTAGAGTAGAAAAAGCATCATCTGGTCATACTGTATTGGTATGGATATGAAAATGTCTCTATTTTTGATGTGTTGAGTTTCATGTACAGACTAAAGCAAAAATATTTAATTAAAACCCATAAAATTTGGCATTTTTAAAAATGCATATTGCACAAAATGATCTTTAAAAAAATCTGCTCTTTGTATTAAAACACAAGGAGTGTTATATGCTGGTGTCACTGCTTTTAGTGTGGCTTTCTTTTCCAGCAAAAGTCTAGTTTCAGCAAGCTCTCTGGCAGTGAGCAGTAACAAAGGGGGCAGCACTTCCATGCTCTGTACAGCTAAAATAATATTGGCATCCAAATTCAATTATATTAAATCATATAACAGTATTACATTTCAAACCAGCAACTGCCTGCTGCAGAATAAAGCTCACAGAAACACATCATGGCGTTCTTAAATAAGAACCCCACTCCATTTTTTTTTTAAATCAGAAAACCCCCTAGAAAAAAAAAAAATAAGAATGATAAAAACAAAAACCTGGATGGTGTTTCTTGGTTAGAAATTACCCAATAAAAAATGCTTGATTGTGGATGATAGCCAGTGAGAACTGACTGACAAATTGGGGCTGTTTTGTGTTTTTATTGTTTATGGTCGTTCAGTTTTATGGAAAACTGTTTACTGGACTTGAGCTAGATGCTTACTTGGTGCGTGCGTTCTTCCGGGTAAAATAAATAAATAAAAATCAACTGGTCCGGTGGATTAAACCCAGAGACTTCGTGGAAGAAATTTGCAATGGGAAGAAGAAAGAACAGAGTGGCTACTTAAATTTGCAAAGGTGGAATAGCTGGGATTTAGCCATAAAATAAGGTTTCCTGATGCAGGCCTTTCATCAACCTACACATTGATAATCAATGACATGGTCATTAGCAGGCAGCTCCGTGTAGTTTTCATTTCCCCTTACTTTTCTCCTGCTGCAGAATTTGACATGTATGACAGCTCCCGGGGCTCCTTTAATATTATTTCCAGGCGTTTGTTATCATCATGATCATCAATGTTGCTGGGAAAAGCGCACGTGACATAACCCCGATGTCTTAACGCACAAACCCCAAAGAGCGCAGCAGTTCAAATCAGATGAAAAACTTTTTTAATATTTGATTTGACCATATTTCAAACATAAAAATAAAAAATGTCCTCTAAATCGAATGTTTTTTTTTCTTGTCCCCTTTCCTCACAGGCGAAGCGGTGCATCTTGCCAGGGACTTTGGTTATGTGTGCGAGACCGAGTTTCCAGCCAAGGCAGTAGCGGAATATGTAAACCGTCAACATTCCGACCCAAACGAACAAGTCCAAAGAAAAAACATGCTGTTGGCCACGAAGTAAGCCGTTTTCACCGTCTCCCTCTGTGCCCAATGTGTGGCCCTATAGCTGCGTGTTCATTTGGCAGCTTGCGCACACGCATAACCCTCCACCCCCACCCCCTTCCACACACACACACTTAGCAGAGCGATAAAATGCACCACTCACGATGATCTTTTATCTATTCATTAGCTGTTTTTTTTCACGCATCAACCACAGACTATTAACAGACTATTAGGTATTTAATAAACAAAAATTGCTTTAGATTTCCGGTGTTGACACACTTCATCCAGCTTTATTTTAAATTTCACTTGCAAGCAATCCTATAGATTAGAAATAATCTGTTTAAGATGATATTTACAGAGTTTTTTTTCCCCTCTGTCTTTGCTCATCAGCTTCTTTACGCACCGCGGTGCCATCAGTCTTTCAGGGAGACTGGAGTCCTTACAAGGCTCAGAGCAGCAGAGGCCAGCATTTAATACCGATGATGGGCTGCCATAATCAAACAGCTGTCAGCCATAACTGCTTATCGCAGGGACTCTGAAGTGTTGTTAAGACAGGCGGCCAATGTCAGAAGGGGCAGAGAATCTTAAACATGTATTCCAGCCTTCATTTCTTAGGATAGGTCACTAAAAAAAATATTAGCGTCTATCTTGCTTCAGTTTTGCTGTTGATATGTGTTTCAAATGAATATGCATTACCTAATAAACACATATTAGGCTGTAAATATTTAATTTGCACTGCAAAAATGATCTAGAAATAAGTAAAAATGTCTTAAGTTAAGTGTATTTACCCATAAATTAATGAGGTAAATTAGATGTTTTTCCAATGGAATGAGTATTTTTACTCCTAAAATAACATAATTAGATAATATGCACTTTAAATAAGACAATTCAATTGTTTTTTTTTTCTTATTTTGAATGTAAATTGTCTTATTCTATTGGCAAAGTGTCTCACTTGCCTCCTCAATTCAAGAAGAAATGCCCCTTTTTTAAGAAAAAAAATTCTTATTTAGGTTTCAATTTTTGCAGTGTATATCCGACTGCTGACTTTTAGGGAACTTTTAAAAAAATGATATCAACCATGGAATGAATACATTGCAGGGTTTTCTATATGGGAAATAAGAGGTTGAAATAAATCAATTAGAGAAGCTTACTTGCCTTGAGCAATTTAAAGCTTTATGGCTGCTTACTTTTAAAGTGCGTCATCTGTATAAATATATATATTTTCCCATTAGGATACTAATGCATGACTTTGTCACTAATCTCCTCCTATATTTGCTCCATTTTTTTAAGGCAAGTCTGCAAAGAGTTCACAGACCTGCTGTCCCAGGACCGCTCGCCTCTTGGAAACTCCCGGCCGCAGCCCATCCTTGAACCAGGAATTCAAAGCTGTTTGACCCACTTCAGTCTCATCTCACACGGTTTCGGGACCCCAGCGCTGTGCGCGGCTGTCACGGCCCTCCAGAACTATCTGACCGAGGCTATTAAAGCCATGGACAAAATGTACCTCAACAACAACCCCAACAGTCACTCAGATAACGGCACTAAAGGCGGGGACAAAGATGAGAAGCACAGAAAGTGACGTTTCCTCCTCGACCAGTGGGGGGGCAACATGCCAGGGGCGCTTCTTCTGCACCGACCCATACAGCATCCCCTCGCCCCCTATACCCACCCGATATAAATATTATAAATATCTTATAAATATTATTGATAAAGTTAAACGTGCCACTTCCTGATCTGATCTTGCGCCGTTTTTTACATGTTTTCTGTTTTCACGCTCACTTTGGATTCAAACGGGAAGCGACGCAAAGAATCTTCCTCTTCTTCCAACACCTGAACGATATTAAAAGGGTTATTTAAAAAAAAAAGAAAGAAAAAAAGAATGAAAGAAAGAAAAAAACGAAAAGAAGATGCAGAGAAATCGCTCCAGGGCGAAGGGGAAAGGTGCACTGCCTCACCCAGAAGACTTTTTATGTACCCCCCCCCCTTTCTCCACCCTCCTGTTTTTTTATGAGCTGCAACGAATGGACTGAAATCCAGCGACCCCCTTCTCTATATCTCACTTTTACGATTGTGACAAGAGAGGAAAAAAAAAATAAAATAACGAAGCTAAAAGAGGATGAATTCTTATCAGTATTGTGAATAATAAACTTGAAAAAGCAAAGAGAAATTTCACAGCTCTCCATGTCATGACTTCATTTGTAGACTCCCCCCTTCTCTTTCTCTTCTCTTTCTCCGAACGACCAACTTGAACTTTTTTTTTTTTTTTTTTTTTTTTTGAATTTAAACACGATTCACGGTTATATAAGGGAATCCGTGTTCATGTATGTATATATTTATTTATGTGTAATTTAATGGGAATTGTAAATATGGTGCGTCTGTTGAAACTTCTTTTTTTTATTTATCTGGTGCCTCCTGTTTTAGTGGGTTTTGAATATTCGGTTAGTTCTTCATGTGAATTTATGGTTCTAGAAAGCAGAAGTTTTTGGGGTATTTTTTTTTTAATTATTATTATTTTATTTCTCTGGGATATTTCGATTCAGCCCTCTTGTAGCATGCTGAGGTGACACTGAAGCAAGTGAACAAATTTTAATAGAAATAAACTTCAAATTTCTCTCAATATATATCAACTTATTCAGTTTTTTTTTATTATCATTTGACCCCGAGGTAATTTTGTTTATTTTGTGTGTCTAATTTGCGTTAATAGACAAGCTTCTATGTGTTGTGCCAATCAGAATAAGTTTCACCTCTTGTTCTCTTCTTGAAGCACCATAAAAGCAATAAATTGAATATTGTCGTCCCCCCCTCCACCCCAGTGTCCGAAAAGACATTCAGAGAATTTTATTTTCTTTTTTCTTCATTTTTTTTTTTATTTGGAACCACCTGCTATCTTGTTATATGTCCGATTATGTCCAAAACTGGAGGCGGTTTTAGCTGTATTGTATAGACATGTGCTGGCAATAGTTCCTATGCCTGTCAATGTATTATAGTCCTTTGTTGCCCAGAAAAAAATAAATATTTGATACGCTTCATCTCGATTTTTAATCATTTTTTATCATATATTTTTTTCCCCACTTGCTCCAAATTTTTTAGGGATGTAATTTCAATTTTTGTTATTTTTCTTTTCTCACTCTAAACGGCTACAGTAATTGAGTTTAAGCCTCCCTTGACGATTGCTCCTCGCAATAAGCGGCTGAACTCATTGTTTCCCTTAAGTATAATAAAAGAACAATCTTACTTTAAACTCCCTCAGTTCAGAGCAGCGCGGATCTCTGCGCAGGCCGAAGCGGCTCACAACAATGGGCGCGCATTCGCGTTTGAAGTGCGCTGCGCCACCCCTCCAGCTAAAACCCTCTGAGATGTGCAGAGGCCTGGTGTGCGGTGTTTGGTCGTTGCGGGCTATTTTTTTTTTTTTTGGTGCGGTGAAAGTTATTCAAAGACGCGCATCAAATATTTGTTCTGTTTGTTTGCCTCTCGGTGTAATCAATGCACAATCAGCGCTCAGTGTTGCGTTTTCATGCATATCCAGATAAAATCTTCTCCTGCAAACTGATGTTCAACCTGATCTTTATTATTATTATTATTATTCTTTTTTTCGTTCAGCAGGTCTTTTTTGGGCCTTTCTATTTTGCGCACAGGATGCAGGTCATTGCATAAGGTCTTGAATCAGGGCATGTCTGTATATTGATGGTTCAGTCTGGACTGATGATGCTTGCATCTTATTAGGCTATTGCTTCTTGCTTTTCCCCCCTATCTGGCAGCTATGCAGTTGAAACCTCTGCACATACACCCCCCCCCCCCCATTCTCTCTTTCTTCTCTTCAGCGGCTGTATTTATTATCTGGTTTGGGTTTAATTCTGAGGCAGGCAGAGAGTGACTGAAGCCTAACTGTACATGTCCTTGGCATAATTGCGATGCGCAGTGCTGGAGCAGGTGAAGCGCGGCATTGTCTGTCAGGGCCTGTTTTTGTTGGCTCAGTCTTCAGATTGTGTGTGGGATCCTGTCCTCAGGCACAATAGCTCACTCATAAAGGGGGGGTGGACTGCACGGCTGCTATGGTGGATGTGAGGGGCATAAATAGTCACTTTAAGGGGAAGGGAGGGTACAATCGTATTAAAAGCAGCACTCATTTCTATTATAGGGCAAAGGAAGAGTGTGTCATTAATGCTAATGTTATTTAATAAATTTATCGGGGATCGGTTGAAGAAAACAGGTTTTTGAGGGTGAAACAAACGAATTAGAAATAGTTCCATCCTGTGTCATTGGTGTATGTTTGCGCGCATTATTAGTGCATTCCTGTAATTGTGCGCCCCTTTGTAATGACATCCAAATCCGTTACTTTATTTATTTATTTTTTGCCATTTTGTTTACGCTGATTCCAACCTATATGATTTGCATCCCTTTTTAGAGCCAAAAAAAGGGCTCTAAAAATTTGATCGAAAACAGGTAGAACTACCCCCCCCATCCCCCCATCCCCCTACAGAAAAAATAAGTCCCACAGCAAAAGTCATTTGCAAAAGAAGCGGGTCTGAAATTTGAACAGCCAGTCAGCAATACCCAGCTGAATATGGATAATTCAATCCATAACTGCTGCTTGTCTCAACTAAAGCAATTACAGCTGATTCTTGTATAGTAATTAATAAGTGTGAGGCCTGTTGTTATCAAATGTTCTGGAGGATATTTTGAGATAAATGCATCAGGGGTTGTGATGGGGGAAACAAGGTATCTTTTTATATTGTCCCCACATATTTTCAGGGCCGCTTCAAGGTTGTATACAGGCCCTGAGCAGAATTTTCATTAGGGGTGCCAACTTCCTACCATTCCTATTCCAGTTATGGTGCTTTCACTTAGTTCTGAGAAGCCAGAGGTACAACAATAAAGCACTCTGAAGTTGGAATGCTGACTAGGAAGGTCAGATCCCCAAGCATCCCTGAGTTCAATATTCAAAATGGCTGCCGTGCACATAGAAGGTAGCAGGAGTTGCAGTTATAAACTAGAAATTCTGTTGCAAGCTTTATTGGTGAATGTGTTATTTTATTATTTGAATGCATACACTGGAAAAATGTCTTAATTTAAGTGTATTTACTCTTAGTTTGAGTACGTAAATGAGATAATTTGCCAATGGAATGAGTATTTTTACTCTTAAAATCAGATATTTAGATAATATGCACTTGAAATAAGACAATGCAATTGTATTTTCTTATTTTAAATGTAAATTGTCTTGTTCCATTGATAACCTGTCTCACTTACCTCCTAAATTCAAGAACAAATGCACTTGTTTTAAGAAAAAATTACATATCAAGATTTTGATTTTTCCAGTGTAAAATTGAGAGAAATATGCTATCTTTGTGCTACGCTGCTAATAGGAGTTATTGCAAAAAAAAAAAAAAAAAAAAAAATGAGCAAATCAATCTGTTTTTTTAAAGCCGGAAATTTCAAAATATGGACTAGAAGATTATAAAACAAACTCTTAGCAGCCTTTTTACAAACTTGGTTGATTCGAGACATAGGATTTCACTGAAATTCATAAGTAACCACTTGAAATCATAAGGAGTAATAATCTTTAGTAACAAAAGCAATATTATCGCAGCTTAGACAAGAGTAGCACGTATCTGAGTACCATTAGCAAGTTTCCTTTGAGTGTTGTTTTTGTTTTACAGCCCTAAGCATGTGCAAAATTTGCTTATGTCTCATGCTGGCTCCTATGTTTGTGATAATGAAAATTCAGCGTTTGCATTGTGAGGAAAAAAATGCATTTGGAGATAAAGTTATACTTATTTATCCTTTAACTGCAAAGGGCTTTGTGTTGGTTAGTGAAATATGATTGGCCTAAACAGCAGTAATGAATTAGTGCACGCTCTACTACACCATATATATTTCCGTGCTGTCTGAGGAGTGCCCCTTCCAGCAAAACTGCACAACTTCTCATCACCAAATCAGCTGCACGTCAAAGCTTCCTTAACCAAATGTGTCCCCTCCACTTTGAATGCTATTGGAGGAATTTCTGTGGTCAGGAAGTGTTTAGCTGATTCTGCTGAGATCACAGCTCGATGAAGGGACCTAATTAGCCCCGTAGCAACGTTGCTACATTCAGTCTGTACCCTTGACGCTTCAAGGCAGTGCTTTTGGAGCTGAACGGAAAGATATAGGCCAAGCAGTCCTATAAGGCCCAGATTTGTTCCCTCGCACTCACAGAAACACCATGGTGGAATGTGACTCAAGCCCAGCTGTCTTTTTCCTGACATTTAAGCAAAGAGGGGTTTGAGGCTGATGGAGATTGAGAGGATTGGTGGGTGATTTTTTCTTTTTTTCTTTTTATTATTGCGTGGTGCTTTTTGAAGAGGAGAAAAGTTTGCTTTAGCTGGAGATTAGTGTCTTCACTGTGCTGGAAAGTTTCTCCTTATTGATGGAACAGATATGTTTTGATAGGGGCTTTTGGCGGACTAAACATGTTGATGTTATAGAAACTCTAAGATGGGGGCAAAGTCTAAGATAACAGCAAACAGATGGTCATTTTATTAATAGGACTTTACAGTGTGTACAAGGTTAGCCATCTAATTTAATACATCTTAATAAACCTAAAAGTTACATTAAAAAGTTAAAACATGGTTAAATTCTAACAACATTAACTGTTTTAGAAATTTTACCCAAACTCCTGTGAATTGTTCAGCAGAGAACAGCAAGGGAGACATATAGATATGGGTTATATTAGAGAAAGGTCAGATCAATAAAAAACATGAACTTTCATGAGGTTTTGGATTGAAAAATGTTTCTGTTTTGGACCAAGAAATTTGGTTTGTATCCAGGTTAGACTTTTTAGTGACAGCACTAAAGCTTAAGTTAACCTTTTGAACATGCTGAGCTTTACTACCCTGAGGAAGCCTTAGCAACTGAACAGCATTTTTCAGCTGCCATTGGGGCAAAGGTTTACATTTCACCTTGTAAGAATAGACAAAAGATATAATTGAGGCAGTGAATATGACGGCAGGATGTTCAGCTTTAACCGAAAATTCACTACATCAACATTTATCATTAATGTGTATTATAATGTGTATAAAAAAGGCTATCCAGTAATTTTCTGAGTCAAAGCTGCTATCAAGAGGCCTGGGTAGGTAAGGGCTTCAAGTGAGAGAACCTTTGAGGCTCTTATTTTGAATTAAGACAGGAAGAAGGTTCCTTTTACATCCCTAGATTTTGTAAATGACAGAATATTAGTTACCGTGCTTACTAGAAACAGAGAGAGAAAAAAAAAAAAAAATAAGATGACAGACATGATAATAAGTAGGCCTATTTGTAAGCCTGGAATAACAGAGATATTAAATACCAAAGGAGCTAAAGTTGGTATCTGATTAGAGCTGAAATAAAGGGCTATTCCACGGTTTCAAAGAAAGGTGGTCTGAGTGTTTTAGCTTTAAATCAAAACCCGAAATTTTAGGATTTGGCTACAGCCTGACCCTTATAATTCAGCAATTATTATTGTTTCCTTAATGTAATGCTTATTTGTGCCAATTTAGAAAATATTAAAGATAGCATTTTAATGCAATTTGGCAGTAGATGCACTTTAGAAATAATAATAAAAACAAACAATAGAGCCAAAAAAAGACAGAATTACTTAAATTTAGAGATTCTTTAAAACACAGTTTGCATTTTGTACAATACTTTATTTGATTCTTGATTTTCAAGTAAATACATTTGAAAATTTGTTGTTTCTCCCCTCAGGCTCATATCTAAAATATTATATAAATATATTATTTTATTAGAAGTAGTGAAAAGTACTTTCATTTAATTTTTATATAAACTTATTTTCTAAATTGCTTTAATTTTCAATAGTTTTTAAATGTCTTTTAACATTCCATTTAGGCAAATTGAATATTTCAATAGGAAAATGTATCCAAATATTCGCGCCAATATTATTGATTAAATTCTAATTTCATTAGGGCAGTTGCTAAAGGAAAAAAAAAAAGGTAGAGCTCATTGCTTCGTTTTCTTCCAAAGTGTCAGCTTCACAATAAGTGGCTTGGACAAGTTCCGG